TAACAGAATAGGCATTCACTCCCTTCCTTTTTCTGCCCTTGTGCCCTGTCCTGTTCTTGGTTCGGTGCCTTCTGTGTTGTGTCTCCTACTAGTGTTGCTGTGTTGTATCGGGGCTGCGTTCATCTTGAATTTTAAGCTGGTTATCAATGAACAACAAAACTGCATTATCTTAATTTCAAATAAAGTAGTTTGGTGTATAGAAAAACTTCTTCTGTAAAAGGTTTACTTTACTTTTGTGTGTATACGTAGTTATTTTTGTACAAAAGAAATTATCTATATTATCTTGAAATTTCATTCAAAATAGCTTTCAGTAGATATTTCAACGTTAGTGTAACATGTAAAGGTCGGGTGAGCCGTAGCAGATATTTAATTGTAGTTACGTGACACTGTAGAAAAAGTATGTAATTCTTATCAGAATCCGTTCCAGAAAGCGTGATACATCTTCCCCGACAAGGCAGTCCAATTATTCTGCTCTTGAATTCTTAAATAATATCAGTAAATAACTTTTGTGATAACACTATTGATCTTGATTAATAGAAACGTGTTTTAGTGTAACAACTAACAATTTTAGACAGAATGAGATGGCGTTTATTTGTCTGTATTTTTGTATAGAAATCTTTAGTTGTCGATCGTTCCAATGAGTCTTTTGTAAAATCCAAATCCATGATGACATCAAAGATTCACGTCAAGGTAAATTATCATTGTCCACGTTCACATATATTTTGTGTTTTCGTACAACGAATGCAAAACAAACAAAATAGTTTTGGAAAATCAAATGATGCATTGTAAGAATCAACTTTTAAAACATTAAAGATACTTATGTCCACCAGAAAGAAGTTATGTTAGCGAATCTATTTGCCTGACAAATGACATGAGTATGTATGTCCTTGGTGTATATAAAACTGACAACAATCGTATTTGCAAGAGAGGCATATATGTATGCAAAACAAACTTCTGTGATATAATAACTTAATAATAATCTTAAATGTCTCCCAAAATGCACATAACGACAATTTCCATGAAACACATTACGGCAATTATTGGAGGCAAAGGACATTAAGGAAGATCTTATTGACAATGAGGAAATTGTTATAGGAAAGGTACACCCTATGTTAACTTTTGTGTTTGACATTCTGTAAAACGTAAATTGTAACTGAATATTAATTCAGCAATAAAATTAAAATGCACTTGAAAATCATATGATCATGATGAAGTCTTAAATGTAATAAACTTATTAATGTAACTGTATCACGGAAATTGTGACATTACAATTTTGCTGAAAATGCCTGGTTAGTAAAATCAACTAACAGTTATACCCTTATTTTTTGTATACAGGATTACCAACTGCACTTGAATACTGTAACTGCAGTGATTGCTTTCATTGTAGAATTAGGGTTTAAACTATTGTTTGGGGTTCCGAAATTTTTGGGATCGGTAACTTTGTGCACTTTAGGTATGAACACCCAAATGGGCACTGTCAGGAAAAGTAATAATGGACAATAAAGGTCAGTTAAAAAAATGGTTTAAGAGCAACAAATACTTTTCTGAACTAATGCTTGGACATAAGATTGGCACCATTAAACAATTAATGAAAATCTAAATATTCAATAATATCGTCTTAATAAAAAATGTTTTGCCATAATTGATTATAGTAAACAAATAGCTGGCTATCAATTATTATTCATACAGATTTCTGGTAGTGCGGAAATTATTGATTTCTTACCGGATGTCTGGCTTTGCTTCCGGAAATCTCAATAAGATGAAGTTTCCATTCACTTCATGCAGACGAATAATTATCGTAAAACGTGTATTCATGTGAGGCCACACGTCTATCCTTTAGACATAACCTCAGATAAGTTAACATCATTTTACTTGATTAGAATATATTCTGTTTATAACAAAACATATGCCTCTTTTGTTTCCCAGTGATGTTAATTTTATAAATAAGTGCATGTATTAGTTCTAGAAAGTTTAGAAATTCTAATATTTACAACGACGAAATTATTTAAGAAATGAAGGACACTTTCCTTGAAGAAAGAGAAGTATATTTTGGCTGATAAACGACATCACCACATTTTTAATTATCTGTACAGAAACAGAGAACAATGACTATGTGTGCCAATAAAGATTTAATTTCTTTTAGGACAGATTTCTCATGCTTCTTTGACAAGTTGTGACATTGCTCTCTTGGGAATCAGATAGGAAACAGTAATCATCACACGCGAAAAATGGCCGCCTACACTTAAAATTTGATTGACACTACTTAAAAGGGAACCTTAAGGAATTATTAAGGCTTTTCGAAAGTGTGAGAGATTAAGTGCTAATGATTTATAAATGACATCATTGTACCAAATAACTAGTACCCTGAGAAAAAAAGTCAACACAATATATACTGATTTATATACACAAAATGTCAAGTTCGAAGATTTATGGTGTGATAGTCTCAACAGATGTTTTAGTTTAAAAGTAAAACTATACGAACAACATCGTGTTTTGAAGGGATGTGGTTTGAATTATTGTGGCTGCAGCAAGTATTGTCTTTTTATAATAGTTGCGTCACCATGTACAATTTATTGAGGTTTTACGTCCGGAAAGAAGAAGAAAACGTGTCTGAAGTGCAATATGCAGTATATTTACCGTAGGATACCTGTTGATATAGTTTAACAGCTAATACTACTCAACATAATTAAATGTTGATTCATTCAATAAAAAGTTTTCTCAATTGTTATAAAGTGTTATTTGTCAGAGATGGATTCCCATGGTTTTAAACAGTTTTATTTAAAATATATGCATTAAGACATTGCAGAATAAAAATTGTCGTCTGTAAGAGATTTCTAAGAAAACAATTTGACAGATGACATATAACAAAGAATAAAGAACGCTTTGGGGAAACGAGCACAACACCGTTCACTTGTCTAACATAGATAATAAATCAAATCCGGAGATACAGCATTGACATTCACAGGATATGTTTTCTATATTTTCATTTCCATTGCAAGAAGTTACCTCTAAATTATTAGGATAAAAAGATCAAAAAGCAAAACAATTTAACGAAACATGTGTCGCTTTAATAAGCTTCTTTAACTAATATGATAATTAAAAAAGGAAATGACGTAACCGTACCAAACAGACGTCTACGTTTATAGACACCACATTTGGCGGGTCAAGGAAACGTTATTAAATAAGATTAATCGTCTATAATTACTGTTTTATACAATAAAATATATACATGTGTATATATAGACGTAATTATTTTAAATAGCACATATTATTTTCAATACGATTTTCATAAAATAACTGGATCAAAAAATGCATACATTTTATTGTATATAATTATAATGTTTGACAAACGTAAATGAGTCATAACGTTGAAAGAATCACGGTGCAATGTCGAACCAACAAAATCTTCTCGTTCCAAACAAGGAATTTGGAATCAATCGAGATAATATTATGTTATTTCATTGTATTTTAGACATATAAAAGTGGGTGTTACGTTTTGTAATAAGACTGAGAATCTTTATTTCGGAAAGATGCCAGACATTGTAGAAAAATAGAATACCTTATACGTTAATCAGAATCTGTTCCTGTAGATAATGGCGATTTTTCCTTATCCCGACAAGGCAGTCATTATGTACATTGTTCCAATTATTTAGTCTTTGAACGTACGACTGATGTCACGGTATGACTAGTTTGATCACATTATTAAGAACTTAAGCGACAAAATCATGTTATCATGTTGGGAAAAACCTAATTGAATAGCTTAGACAGAATGATATGACAAATATTATGAAAGTTTAGTGAGTAAAGATATATATGTTTCTTTAACAAATGTTTAAGGGGTGGGAGTTTTGTTTTGTTGTTTGTTTTTTGTTGTTTTCTTGTAGTTTTTTTTGTTGTTGTTGTTGTTTTGTTGGGGGTTTTCTGTTGTTGTTTAAAAGTGTTTTTTTTTGTTGTTTGTTTTTTTTTTGTTTTTTTTTTTGTTTTTTTTTTTTTGTTTTTTTTTTGGGGGGGGGGGGCGTGTATTTTGTATTCACATGTTCAGGTCCTCGAATGCTTAAACAACCCTCATTGATATAAATACAATTCGGGTACATTCCATGGCCAGTTTCAATCAAACCGACGTTTTCATTTTTTGTCAATTTCGGTTGTTCCTAACGGATTGTTTATATCCCTTTTTGAATCTGGTAATAACACGAGGTTTTCTATTATTTTCCTATATGAATAATGATATATCAAACATTATCGAATCTTAGACATGTGCAGCCAGTGGTCTACAAAACACACTTTCACAATAAAACTCATTGTCATGGTCACATACAATATAATTACAAAATAATGTGATGTGACACTTTAATGCATCAAACCATCAAATAATCAGCCGAATGAAATGTATATTTCTAAGGTGGCTGACTGGCGAAAACACGACAACAATGAAGTTTAAAAATACATCCATATTTTCCTATTTAATCCTGAACGGTATGGAAATTGTCGTATTTGGTACAAACACTATTTTTTGCTATTATGAAAAACATTAATTTATTTAAGAATGAGCGTTACACAATGCCCTCATAACGTCAAAATAATTTGTGAGGGCGTCTTGGTTAGTTACTATTGCGTTGCATGGTATGTATTATTTAATTATGGATATACATTAATGTCAGTTCAAAGCATTGGCGTAATAATTAATCAATTTTATTAATCTAAAGGTGTATGTGAAAAAAGCATGTAAATGGTAAGATGATTGGTCGACAACACAACACCTATATAATATTAAACTCGGACCTGTTAAGCGTAAAGTGCGTGCCCCGCCGCTTGGACCAAATTTAGGGACCTTAGATTTATACTTTCAGATTTAATTGTTTTTGCATTATTTTGTAATTTTTGTTTTAGAGGTGAAGATGTCAGCCCTCTCTTTTATGCTTGTTTAGGTTAATAAATTGCAACGTAGTTTCTTTTACATATGAGCAATACATGACATTTGGCGTTTATTTTATTATATATATATATATATATTACACAAATACAGTATCAATTTTAAATGCATGTGTATCGCAAAGTGATTGAAATATCCTCAGAAAAGAACAGGTATATTTATACAGATAGCTTTATAATACAATATTATTAGAGTTTTCTTTCTGTCAGTGTTACATTTCTTGTAACAAGAGATATATGATTAATTATCTTTAGCATTTAATGGTTCGAGCTCAGGTTCATTTTCACTTGGTTGCTTCTCTGGAGCAAATGTCTCAAGGGCTTTCATTTCCATTTGGGGCATTTTCTCGGAATTATCACACCGTAGCCAGTTCGTGTCGAGTTGAATCTTTGAGTCTATGGTCTTTGAATTTGTCATCGTTGTTTTCCTTGTCGAACCTTGATGTGATGTTGAAGATGTTTTTGTGATCGAAAGTCTTCGTGGGTCACCAACAAATCGCCTCACTGGTTTGACAACAGTTCTGTATAGTACTTTACGGAATCTTCTGTTAAACACAGTGTATATATAAAAGTTTGCGTGGAAAGAAAGGACAAGTGAAATTTCATACGCCATTGAAATCGCCCTGTTTGTTTCTAAATCAATTCCTTTACCGTCGTTGGCCGCTTTATCTATTGCGTTATACAGCAAGAAAACGCCGTATGGTATTTCCGGTATTAGAAATACAATAACGATGCATGTTACAATGATTGAGATGCGGCGATTTTCTTCAACACGTCGAGATATCTGTGACCGATTACTATCCATCCTACGCAAGCTTTCTTCTCCAACGCGTAACTGTGAAATGAACAGCACGGAAAAGACAACAAGCGTCAAACAAGGCAGGAAGTGACGTATGAAGAATGCTATCCACAAATAGATGCAAACTCCTCCACATCCATGTTCTTGCAGTTCCCATTGGCAAAGTCCGTCCTTTGCTTTGTTGCTTCCCAGGTGATACGAATGTAGCAGTGGGGACAAAACAAATATAACGACGCAAATGACAAGCGTTCGCTTGATATTAAATAGAAACTGCGACTTGTACGGGAAAGCAACGGACACGTATCTTTGAATTCCCAGAAATAATGTCAGAAATATTGAAACTGTGTGAAACGATTTCGACAGAAAGTACTTTGTTATCATAAAACCATTACATAAATCTTCTGTCAGTATATAGCCATCTACTGGTTCCTGCGCTTCTGTATGGGCGGAATAGATTGAATAATCTGGGTAATATGATGACGAGTTGGTTGTTCCATTTGAGTTCGTGTTATAATCATGATTGTACTCAAGTGGGTCGAATCTCTGAAACACCATGATGTATGTTGGTAAAGTCACTATTCCAGTGAGAGAATCCGAAACAGCAATTGCCACGAGAATTATGTTAGTAGCATTCCGCATTTTTCTTCGAAGGAGGACGGAAATAACGACAAAATTAAAGAGGGACGTTACAATAACCATTATTTCCCAAATGTACAGATACAGCGCCCTCTCAAAATCATAGCCTGGATACATGTACACATCCCCATAGCTGTAGTCGTCGTAATTATAAGACGTATTGTCGGTGTATAAACCATAATCATCGGTGTCAGAACTGTTAAATTCACTCTGGTTATTCTGTGACATTTTCACGTGACCTGTAAATGCGTCGCACACACGGTTATGAAATCTGCATCACAAAAAAGCGTTTTGGAGCTCTTAAATGTTGTGGTGAAAAGTCTGGTTGCCTTTTGTTTCCGAAATCATCTAGTTGAAACTTTTTTAGCTTGATGATTCTGATGATGTATGAATTACATGGGTCTATCTGTTAATATCATGTGCTTTCCTCTTACTGCATGGCTCTAAATATAAGAAATGTAAATAATTAGGTTGATAATAAGATTATGATAATTATGATAATAATTGATGTTGTAGAAATAGTAATAAAAAGTAATACATGTAAACAAAATGAAAAATATATCGTCGTCATTATTTTATTATAATTAATGATAATTTATTATTATTGAATTATCATAATCATCATTGCTCTTTATTGTTGCATTTTAATAATAATAATAATAATTATTATTATTATTATTATTATTATTATTATTATTATTATTATTATATTGCAGCTGGTACATGTACAAGAGTCAAAAATAACAAAATATGAAAATAAAATAACGATAACAGTAATAATTACAACAAAAATATGTAATAATAAGTAGTAGAAGTAATAATAATAATAACAACAAAAACAATTACAATGTATAATGATAATAATAATAATAATAATAATAATTATAATAATAATAATAATAATAATAATGATAATAATAATATTATTATTATTATTAAACATGAAAATAATATAGTTATCAAATCTATATAATAATAATAATAATAATGATAATAATGATAATAAAGATAATAATGATAATAATAATATAATAATAATAATAATAAAAATGATAATAATGATGATAATAATAATAATATAATAATAAAACAACAAAACATAAAGCTATTTTACTCCGCAAATGCTCTATACGTAAAAAGTGGTTTAATGCAAGACATCCATATGTATTTGTTAGCCTTTTCCAGTCTTATAATTATAAAAAGAAAGAAATTTATTCTTACACCTATTAATAAATGTAAATATATAGGATCATATATTATTTGTTAATAATGTTGGTAAGTTATGAACGTACCTTTATCGTAGCAAAATTAAAACTTCACGATATATTTGTGTCCCATCCGATATCATATATTATTATGATATACAACTTTTATTTGCATTAACGATTAGTAGTAGTAAATCATTTATCAGTTACATATAGCCCTTTGTAATATATTAATGAATAACAATGATTAACGCAGGTCAAGTGTTATTAGTGCGATTTTCCTGTTTTCCTAGATTATCACAAACCACTTACAAAACATACGTTTTCAACTGAACTTTCGACATAATAATGCAGACTTGACAATTTAAGATAACTTTTTAGTCAGGGAAACTCTGAACTTTTCAAATCCATGATATTTTAAAACAGCAGTTCTTTACTATGAAAAATCTCATACAATTCATATTTGAGAGGAAATTTTCCGCAATATCGTATTGCTAAATATTTTGATAATGTACATGATGACTAGACCCTAATAAAGTTTCTTATTGGCGACACCGGTGAGCGGCGTCGTCTTTTATGGAATGCTTCGTTTTTTGGCCCCTGTTTTTATTATTAGCAGTTAATCTCATTTTATGTTAATTAGTTTTATAATTATTCTTAAATATCAAGTAAACAAATATGTTGTTACACTTGTTTTTTTCTCTTTATAAGATAATGAAAATATCTTGTTCTTGATACGCCAAATCGGGTTTGGTCAAGTCATATTCATGTAATCGCAATAGAAATATGATGGTATAATTGTTTTATTCTGGTAACTATGGTAACAAACGTATAAAACGATTTATTATGAACATTCAGAAGACAGTTTATAAGTGTAAGAACATTTCTAAACGCCATTTTTTCTATTCAACTGTTATCTGGGGTTTTGAGGCTATTTTTGAAGTAACGCCTATATTTTACTCTTTTCGTGAGATAGCGCTTTGATTCCTACTCATACCACGAATCACTTATTCCTGAATGATCTTGAAAAAAAAGTTTGCTGTCTCATCAACCTGCATCCATTTTCTCGTTCTATTTCTCTTAAAAGCACCATGCCTCTAGATTAGTGCTGGTTTTTATGAAAAAATAAAACAAAAACAGGTTTAAGAATAAAATATTATGAAGTGAACAAAGAACATATTTTCACTTGAAATTCATGTAAATCACCAAAAAGGGGTCAATATTAGCAAAAAAAAAACCTTACTGCGTTAGTAAATACTGCAAAATCAGTCCTTAATCACGTACAACATGTAATTCATTCCAAGAGTCTTACATCTTTTTACTTTTTTATAAATCTTAGTACTTTTTGTCAGGTTTAATTTTCTTGAAATATTTTGGCACATCTGGAGGCATGCAAGATTAATGTTCTGCTGGTTTCTGGTAATTTCAGTACTTTGATTTTAGTATTTTATCGTCAGAAATAACGGCAATATTTCGTATTGACTTTGATTTCATACGTTGATATGAGAACCAACTTAAATCAGATTGTTAAAGTTTAATAAAATCGTTCGCCATCAGCTATTTCCCTTGACGCATTGTGGTTGTTTAAATGTAAGTAAGCAATTCAGAATCAATCATTATTATCACCGCACGTGCCATATTGTTGCGCATGCGTATTTTATTAGTCACATGACTTCATCCAGGATAACATTGCAGCTGTTTCTTCACAAAATTTAGCTCACAAGTTACGCATTTAAACAGGAGGGTATAGGCAAAATAAAACTGAAATAAATGACACATAAAGGTTAAAGATTTGTAGTTTGTTCAATCTAATTTCCCTTTGAAAACAAAGTTAACCTGTTTATAGTACTTTCTCAGAGAACTGTGCGGACAGGACACTTAGTAGGCATCAAAATTGTGACATTTTTCGGTCAAAAATTAAACAGTTGAGTAGGAAGAACAATGTATAATGACACAGGTCAGTGGTATATTTTGTGAATTTGACAAAATGAAGGAGACTAGTAGAGAAAAAAATGTTTGATACTTTGCTTGAAACAACTCTTATCGACCAAGCAAGTTCAGTCACAGAACAGTGAATGAAAGAGAAAATGATGGGTAGTCAGTAATCAACGAATAATGGACGAATACAAGGTGACGTCACATTTCCTATATTGCAATAGTTAATAGCCAAATCAAATTTTGTTATATTTGAAAAATTACTAAACAATGAGGTTATTGTTAAAGTATTACTGAATCAATTCATTCTTCTAACCAAACCTGTGTTTTTTACCACAAACATGTTCTGACTGAATTAATTCATTCTTCTAACCGCACATGTATGTATGTATTCTAGGCTTAATGAGGGTCCATCCGCCCTTTCAGGCAATGAGAGTACGGACCCCGGACATGTCAACATTCATTTCCTAAAATGTTACTATCAACCAAAAGGTGACCAATAAATTTTAAATTCAATAATTCACTGAATTATACTAAATATATATACAAGTCGATTTTTGTGATGATACAATGTTGATGCACGGGAGGCCAATGAGACCATTAGATTCTATATGCATCATGGAGAAAAATAAATGATGAGCTTGACTGACTGATAAGATTATGTAACTGACACATATTTGCGTATGCACGACCGATATGCACGAGCATTCTTTCCAGGTTTTTGCAGGCGAATTTGGAATGATATTTTAGCCAAACATTGGTCTCTTTTTCAATTTGTTATTACCACATTTCAAGCAGTTGTGTTTATTTTGAAACGTTCAATGTTTATACTTATAAATTGATAATGTGAGATACATGTACACAAAGACAGCTTTATTGTTGACAATAAAGTAATAAATTTAATCTATCTATCATACAATTTCGTATGTGAAATACATACACTTAACAAAAACATCTTACAAAAATATGTTTGCAGATGAGTTAGTGAATTGGTTAGTAAAGCACTTGAAACGATAAATATGTTTCCTATTATATACAAAGATAGTATTGAAAGAAGGTTGTTAGGAACAAAAAAAACAATTATAGAATTATAAACAATACTTGAACTATAATCTGAAGATACTATAACATGAACACGCACATACTTCTAACATTAACTTGATGAGTCAAGTTTATAGGTGTTGTTGTTGTTGTTGTTGTTGTTGTTGTTGTTGTTGTTGTTGCTGCTGCTGCTGTTTTTGTTGCTGCTGCTGTCGGTGCTGAAATTGTTGTTGTTGTTGTTGTTGTTGTTGTTGTTGTTGTTGTTGTTGTTGCTACTATTGTTGCTGTTGATCTTGTTATGGTTGTTGTTGTTGTATTGTTGTTTTTGTTGTTGTTATGGTTGTTGTCGTCGTTGCTGCTATTGCTGCTACTGCTATTCCTGCTTTTTACTACTATTGTTGTTGTTGTTGTTGTTGTCATTTTCGCCGCTATTGTTGTCGTCGTCTTGTTGGGTTGCTTGTTAGGCTTGTTAAAAAAAAAATTATTAGCATGGAGTTTCGCTAAATATAAAGTAAGGATTGTGTTATAGTATATGACAAAGCCACATTTTTTTTAAATTTCAGTTAGTAAACCATCAGTTTGATGTACATGTACCATCAGCCATTAAAAAGTACTTAAGTTCAAATCTTTAAATGAGACAATTTTTCATGGTTGCTCCTGCAATGCATACATGTAGCTGTAACCTTTAAGGAATCTCGACATCTAATATATACAGAGATGATGTGTTACAAAAAAGTATAATAAAGAAACTAAAAATCATAAGTTCACACTGCTATACGACTTTCAGCAGCATATTTAAATATAGAAGGTATAAAATAATTGCACTAACAGGAAACTTACCAGTTGTTAGGGTAATATGGCACGAGATTTGCTTATTATATTTAGTTTCTTTCAGCGTTTTTGAACTTTTAATTTTAAGAATTCAAACATTTCTGTGGTGGTACGATATATTCTACTTAAGAATTAGTTATAATTGGTGGTTCGAGTTATATAAAGAAAAAAAAAGACAATATTAACAATGTGGTCAAAGACCGGTTACTCACGGCTATACTCTAAAAAAGAGTCAGTTTTGATTGATGTCCCTTTGTCCATAAATAATTTTGAGTAAAATCGTCAATGACTTTGAATTAGAATAGATGTATTGCTTAGCAAGAGAGAAAGATTATTTTTTTAAAGTTTTTTTCTTCATTAAGTAAGTTTCCTCTTTTTTAAAGTAAGTTTCTTTCTTTTCTTTTAAATTATTTCTTTTCTTTTCTTTCTTTCTTTCTTTCTTTCTTTCTACATGTCGTAGGCTGGCGAACACTGAGGTTTTGTTTGTCACGCTTCAAAGAATGGTCGGCTACTCTATCTTAATTCTTTTATTACACTAAATAAACCTACAATTGTCGTGTTTTATTTAGTAGCCGATTAACCTTAGCGTGACCTGGCACAATATCGGGTATTTTCATCTAAGTCACATTGTTTATAATCGATTTCTGGTTGTTGTAAATAATTGATTTAGATATTCATATAACTGCGTTTCTTTCGTTTCAAAAATTTTCATAATTCGTTATCCGATTTTACATATGTTTAGTAATTAATATTAATCATTATTACAAATGAATTATCTGTAAACATTGATTCTATACATGAAGCGGATTAATTATATGAATATATGAATACTGAACAAGAGTGTCCGGAAGTGAAAATACATGTTTATTAAAGACAGGGTCATATCGTTTGGGATATATATCTAAACCATTCCATTATGGTAATAAAATAATTTTAAGTAGTTCTAAGGACTCTGACCTTATCATAGAAAATGTGACATTTTAGACAATGAGGACGTTGGGCCTATTAAACAATGCAAAGGTTTTTTAAATGAAACTAATATTTAATATTAACAAGGTAGATATGCTGTGTGAACCAACAGATGCGTACGATCTCGAGCATCTTCGATATGGTGCATGCATCAGTTGGAATAGTTATCGTTATTCTCTCAAGGAAAAAAGTATTAACTAAAATAATGCCTGAAGATTCTACTGGAACTTATTTGGAACGCGAACGGTACAAGTTGGATAGGCAGCTTGATTATTATAAAAATGGACAATTTAAAAACGACATGGACAATAAATTGAGGGAGTGTTAAGAGAGTTAATAAAAATAGAATCAAAAAGATTTTTGTAATCATTGGAAAAAAAAATCAGGCTATAGAATCACTTTTGATATACTCTTCCTTCCATACATTCTTGTAGAGCATATTAGTTTTGTAAATACAGAATTTATTTAGTTCGATTTTGTAAGAAGATATAAGCTTATAGGCACCCTCTTTAATCGGTTCTTGGAACCAACCGGTGCTGAGCAATGAGCGTAAAGTTTCCTGCTGAAAGAAACAACGGGTCGCCTCTGAAGAGATTTGAACCCAGGAATCCTTAGATTACCAGTCCTATCGTTTAACACTCGGTCATGCGGCGGAATATTGATATTATAATTAAACCATCCTTAAAAGGTTTTATAAAATGTTGGATTTGCATTTTTATTGAGCAAAATTACCAAAAAAAAAAGAAATGTCTATGGAGCTCCTTCTTTTGTTTCTTATGTTGAGCTAATATACATAGTGTACGGAAAATCAACCACTTAACGACTTATATTATTTAAACATCTGTATTTGTTACTTCGTAAATTTATGATTAACGTCTGGATCACTTATGATAAAAATATAGAAAAACAAATGTATGTTGAAGTATATTAAAATAGCACAAAATATGATTTTCAATTTATTTGATTTTATATTTCTAAATAATCTATATATAATTATCTTTCTGTTTGATCTATGTGAGCAACTCAAATTTTATGATTTTAGGTTTTTGGACTTCAGTGGAGTTCCTTTAATTTTTAATAATGCGGATGGCACATGTGTGAATTTAGCATAAAACATAATTTAACAGTTTGGTATTTCACGTTTTATTCTGTCAACTTATTTTCAGGTGCAACTTTGTCCACATACACATTTAATATCGACCAATCTTTCTTCCGCCCAAACCTGTTTTTCCATACTATGTCCTTTCTTTTATTCCCTCAGTGAAGTTTGAACTATATATAACTTTGTCTATGTCATAACTATTTCAAGACCAGAACCCTTTAACTGTTGAATCATTGTGTCTACTTTCTCACTTTGTTCAGTTGTAAGTATTTCATGCCAGGTACCCGGCTTTCCTGAAGAAAGATGCAAAGACAAAGTAAGTTCAACTTAATAACACAAATAATATAATGTATATTGTGTAATTTAAATAGATTTTGGTGCCATAGAAATATTGTTATTGTAGGAGTATCTTGAGCTGGAACTTGTATTTGTTTGGAGTAGACGTTACTTAGCTAGGATCTCAAAAGATGCGCATGCGCTGAGTGTGACCCGTTCTTGTAAAGTCTATGAGAGCTAAATATAAGTAAGTAATTAACATCCTCTTGTTCGTAATAAACATTTTATATTTTAAGAAGGAAAATACAGCAATATCTCTGGCAGAGTCAATAAACATTACATTACAATAAAAGCAATAATCCTTCTCAAAATGTAATACTTCACTTTATAACTTTAAAGATATACTATATATGCTCAATCTTGGTATTTGAAAATACTGATAATAAAATTATTGCCACACGGTCCCTTTGTAAATATAAAATAAACATGTTTTGATTTTACATCTGCAGATATGTCATATTTTAAACTCTACACACTATAGATTCACAAATTGGCAGTTGTTGTTGTTTTTTTAATAAAGGAACAACTTTACTTGATCCGTTATAGAAATGCAGCTTCACATGCATAGTTTGTACATTCTGTTACACAAATTATACATATTGAGTAAGTAATAGAAAGAGCACCGAAACACGAGGCTATCTGATTTGTACGAGGGGACGTAGCCCCCCCCCCCGGGTATAATTCAGATTGCCGAGTGTTTTGGTGTTCTCATAGTCCAACATAAAAACACGTTCCCTGTTGTCACAATATGAAACCGCAGAAAAAAGTAACCAATGAACGACATCTAAGTATGATATTTCTGTCGTTTTTTCTTTCTCTGTCGTCACAATAAGTAAACCCCAGCAAAAATGGGCCAATCAATGGGCATGCTCTTTAGTGCAGGTAACTAATATCTGCACTCCAGTTTACGCACTGTGCATGTATATGTATATACGATTTAACTATGACATATTTTCAACAGAAAGGTCGTCCCCAAACTATGAACAAGAATTCCATAGATTGCATTACATTTCCGCGAAAAAAAATTATTCCAAGAATGTCTTTAACGTGTCTAGAGCAACATTTCTCCGCAACAATTAAATTCTTTGTTTGCTCTGCAAATGTTAACTTTGATTGTCAGAAATTCAGGTTTCATAATAAAATAAAAGAAATAAATGAAAGTAAACCTAATGAACATAATCTAATGGATTTGCCCATATCTGAATTTGGAACAGTCCATTTGAGGTGTATAGGATTTCATATAAAATTTTGCTTAGTTGGTCGTTTTGTTTGTGATAATATGGCGACTTTCCAGCTTTACTAGTGGAAGAAGACCCCATGCGACCTTCCGTGCTTTATTTCAGTCCCGAACCGGCACCTGAGTAGAACTACAGACATTCCGTAAGCTAGCTGGATCACTTCCTCACATTTTCGAATCAAAAATAACTGCTTTTAGGATTCGAACTCCGCAGCGGTGAGGGGCAAATTGTTTAAAGTCAACGACCTTAACAACTCGGCCACGGACACATTGCATATAAAAATTGTAGGGACTAGTCTGATTGCATAGATTTGTAGGCTAAATCTATACAGGTGACAAAGGCTAATCACATTTTTGTGTGCGCAATGGGGTAATGGTTATAAAATGTTTTTCTCTGGAATTTAACAATAATTATTATTTCAATTTTAAATTTGTAAAACGTTTAAGCAAACCTTTATTGATATGTTTTCTGGCTATGTGTGTGTGAACAAAATCCATATCCTCATAGTATTTTAAATTCACCATTGGATTGTCCCTCATATTGTCCACGTGACAATGTTCCGTGATCTTCTGAACATTCTCGTCGCTTAGTTTTTTACCAAGAAAGTCAGCAATACGTCTAATAGTTTGGGATTTGTCCTGAAAGAATGGTTAGATGGTTCTGCTATAAATACTTTTTGTTATATTTTTGGTACATTAAACAATGAATGTTCACAAAGAAAACAAGTGTGTTGTACAGTAAGTCCTTCTTATTGTTGATTATGTCATTGACCTTCCTTTTAACAATCTGGTAAATAATTAAATGTTGTTTCAGCAAGTTTGTAAGTAATATAAGCTCACACTAGACGTATGTTGTAAGTTTTATAAGCTCAGTGAAAAACATCATAGAAATCAGTAATATTTTTGTCGTAACTAAGTACCAAAAAACTGATGAAATGTTACTTCAACTTATGCACAAAGCTAATGCTTTATCTGTGGCACCTAGGCTAGACTTTGAAACGTATCTAAGATTTAGCGATAGTAAAGCGTCATTTAGCGATTAAAAAAATTACTGGCGTTATATTGATGGAAAAATATAATATTATAGATTAAATAATGAAAAAGGCGAATCGGATTACCGCTACAATATCTTCGAATCTCAAAAACAATACATTCTTATCATTTCTTCTTTCCCAGTATTCCAGCAGGTGCCTTGGCCAGGGACAGGCGTATTCTATGAAATGGATCATATGTCTTTAAATTAATTTACTTGCGATTACAAATGCAAACCTGATTGATAAGTTAGCCATGAAAGATTTAAGTATAACTTTCAGATAATAATCACAGGCTATTGTAATGTATAAAATAAATGGCAAAAGTTATCAAACAATGTTGATTAAGTTCCGTTACCCCTTTTTATGTGTGTTCGTTAAATGAACATTTCCCGTAATTCTGGATTCTTGAGTACTTGAATTATTTTATTGAATGAAACACCATATGCAAAGATAGGATAAATGCATGACCTTTTAGTCGTGTGATATATGTGTGCATATTACTAGTATTGGTGGCAACAAAGTAATCATATTATTTAATAAGTTATATCCATTCAATCAGCTTTGAATCAATCAATAATTATCAAATATACACACATGTACCTGTTCCATTGACGATGTTGTTCAAACATTTATCTAATGTGTTATCTCGTTCTCCAGCAAAGCCCACCCACTCAATCCATCGAAAATATGATATAATTACGTCCTTTGGATTTCTGCATACGTATATAATCTGAAGAATATAAAAATATTCTATTTACAACTTTACCGGAGACTCTCTTTTTAGCAAAGTGATGTCTAAATTGGCAACGGGAATATAAAAAATGAGCGAAATATGACGTTAGTGGCGGACCAGCCGATTGGTTAACGCGTAAGACTTGACGTTAGTGACAAGCCGTTGTTTCCTTAAGAAGAAACGTTTCCCTTATTGCTTTGATCTGGTTGGTCTGAGGGACGGATTCAAGTCGGTGGTTCTTCTCAGGTGCCCATTCGTGCCTGACATTTTGCTCAGAGGGGCATTCCTCCACAAGTTAAGCTGGAAAGTCCCACTATGGTCTTTACAGTGTTCGTGCGACGTAAAACCCAAACCAAAGAATTAACCATACCGAATACAGGACCAGCTATCGAGACAACGTACGTTATCAAGATACAGGTAAATCTTGTAACCTGTGACAAATAAAACTAAAGTGCTATTGTGATCGAATTCAATTTACCCTGCCTTTTCCTTCTTTAAGTTGTTTCGGTAAAAGTGAATAGTGAAGGTGTGATTTAATCATGCGAGGAGATTTTCTCTGTTCAATATCTCTTAGTCCTACAATTGAAATGTTAACAAAAGTTAAATCATCTAGGTAACAGTGAATAGTGAAGTTGTGTTTTTTATACATTATGGCAGATGATTACTTCTAGTCAAGGTATCTGAGAGTTACACGACAAACCGACAAAGAAACTGATAACATACCTAACGGGTTACAAAAACAAAGGAAACGATAACAAAGGTTAACGATGATATCAGTTCATAAACTATGTATCTTTGTATTGAAAGTGCAATAACCTTTTTAACCTTTTAGATGGCAACTACTAAGTCCAATTTATATATAAGCAGAGTATAAGACTATATAGCCTACATTTCAATTATCGAGATATACATATCAATTGTTTTTCTGGTCTGAATTTATGTCAAATTTATAATTTTGTTATCTTTATATATTTCTAACTTGCAAACGTTTTGTTTTCAGGTATTATCAATTTAGCTCTATTTCCCGCCTCCCTTCCCAGAGTCCAATAAATCTATATCAAGCCTATTTTACTCCATCTACGCTCGTTTTATTTTCGATTCCATTATTCCTGATTAGATATATATTGTATTCAAAATAAAGGAAGTTAAATGATAAAAACTGGTGGTGTGGTGGTGTGGATTAAAGAAGTCATTATACATTATTGAATAGAAAACTTTTTTTTTCAAAACTCGGACACACGAGCAAAAGCTATATTGGACTCGGCTTAACTAACCTGACAATATGACGAATAATTGTTACCTTTAAAGTACGGAAACCTCTCGTCGTGAAGTTCAGCTTGTGGAAATCTGGAATCTAGGTGTACTGTGTTTGCCGTTTCAAAATCTAAAGTTTGTACGAGGTAAACCATCTCTTGTGTTAAGGTAGTTCCTATGAAGAACAGAAAGTAATTTCTTAGCAGTGTGCTTTACATTGCATTAAACGTATGTGTATCAAATACACTAAGAAAGTCCCTGTCACATAATCCGCGCATGCCCTTAACATCAATTGTTTTTGTTTGTTGTTGTTTTTTGTGTTTTTTAATTGAAAAGTGTTCATAAGATATATATAATTTAAGAACAAAATGCTTATCTCAAACTGATTCAGTAAAAAACAAAAGCTGACATAAATATAAAGCAACTTATTTCATCTTAGAAATCATATTATATATTTATTACTAACTAGTATATCCCATTAATAACAATCAAATATTAAAAAGCTATTGAATATGGAATATATCTGTTGGTATGTGCTTGAAGCAAATAATATCTATATATCAATAATTGTTATTAGTTCACCTTATAAAATATAACAAATGAATTGTCAGCGTTTGAAATACAAATGTACTTAATGTTCAAATAGAAAACATGACTGAATTAAATCCTATCAATTTAGCCTCGTTTCCATTTCTAGAGTCATTAAATCCATATCAAATGCATATCATAAACAATACAGTTGCGTTTTCATTTCCAGAGTCCAAATATCTATATTAGATGCATTTCGTACCTCATATAGCCTCGTTTTCATTTTCAGAGTCCAAAATATCTACATCAAATACATATTGTACTCATTTTAGCCTCGTTTTCTTTATCTGGGCCTAAAAATCATATATATTTCTTATTGTACTTGAAGTAAGAAATTTTTTTCAAGCTTCGTCAAAAATGAAAAAAAATGGTGATGTGAAAAATATTGGTCATTACACATTGTTGAGAACAATACTGACGTTACACAGTTGCAAAATATATATATATCGGACTCGACGAACGTCTGATATAAAGTTTACATCTTGAACAATGCAAATTATAACCTCATCTTTGAATTGAAACTAGAAAATATTACACAAAGTACTTACCAGATATTACACAGAAAACAATAAATAAAAATTAAAGCAACAAATGAATCAAACCTGATCTCGGGAAGGTACAGACCCATATATCATCGTCTCTTGTTTCCATTTCTTCAATTTCATCTACCTGATGATTGGCATCTTTAAACGTAACTACTCCTTTATAAATTCTTAAACCGAACTTCTGCAAGCGTTCCTCTTCTTCTACTTCTTGTGACATGTTTAACTTTTGGAAAATAATTATCTAGATAATTGAAATCACTTTAGAACACTGTTAACATTGAAATCCCTATACAGTCTTTTTATTTCATAGTTGTAGCTTTTCTTTTAAATAGGTCAGGTTTAAACTCTCATCGCTTCAAGATGTTTATATACTATATGATGGTTTTCTCTTACACTCTTGATGTTATATGTAAATGTTGGTGCGCAAACAAATAGGACTTTTAAACGTACCGTGTGCTAATGTAAAAGATTAATAAATATGTAACATATGATAAGCTGTTGATGTATAAAAATATACTCATTAACAAACACCGTATTACTACATTGCATTTATGTAGGCATGGCTTAACAACAGTGTAAGTTATTTTTAAATATTCTGCCGATATTTATATAAAACATTGTGATTTCTCATTAACAATATTAAATCAACAAGTTAAAATTGTCGCAAATACTAATATTATTTAATTTAAAAAGTTTTGAAAGTTGTTGTCAATATTAAATGATAAATTACAAAGAATAAAAATGATACAATGTAATTTAATTCCCAAACAAAGAAATTTAGTTGTATTTGACAAGAGCTAAATTAGAAATAGTCAAACAAATGATTCGAAAATAATGCGGCGCACATCAGATTTAATTACTCTTAGATTAACGTTTTCTTCATAATGGGTGGTTTTCAATCTTCCGGTAAGCCAGTGCAATCTGCAAGTCATTACTGAATATTAAACACTCTCAATACAACCCTTTTTAATAATTATTTTGTGTTATTGCTGATATAATTGAGTTAAAAACAGGCAATTTATAAGGGAATACTAAACCGACATTTAATTGAAAGGAGTTGGTTGGGCGTGATTAAAAAATTTACGATTAAGATAATTTTAAAAATACATTTATAATTTTTTAGCATAAATTATTCAAAAGAGTTATTATTATTATTATTATCATCATCATCATCATCATCATCATCATCATCATCATCATTATTATTTTGATTATCATTTTTATTTTTTTTATTATAATTATTATTAAAAACTAAATTATACATAAAAAAATGATCCCCTTAAAAGTGCATTCAAATGTACAATTCACTCCAAGTTTTAAGTCAAAATTTAAGTTTCAATCAAAAATGATCTAAACGTTCTCGTAATGTTATGCGCATATTAACAAGTGTTGATCTGTGAAATTATTCAAAGCCCCATTATATCATAATATTTTAATGTATCGTGTATCAACATTGAGATTTGAGAAGTCAAGCATATAGTAGGCAAGAAGATGATGCTAAAACTAATGAATGTTCAATAGCGCGAGGTAATGTATACGAAATTCATTTTGTCATATTGTATTTGTGCAACGATGTGGGCAAGAACACTTGCGATGATATCTGATTAAATTTAGGTATCATTTAACATTAAGGTATTTCAACACACTTGGACTAGATTCTTAAATTTAAAGAAATGTTAAAGATGTTTGACAGTGTATAACAACGGTGTATTTCAAAAGAGAAGATACTAATTTTAATTATGAAGTGAATGAAGGAACATATACAGATTCGTGGTTGTTTCGTTTAAGTCTTTGCTGAAATGTATATTAAATTTACACGAAATAGCAATGTGAGTCTTAGGTCGGTTAACATCATGAACTGAACAAAACCAAAATAGTTTACCTTATTGTTTTATTGTAAAAACAAATTGAATTTTATTTTAAAAAGTTTATTGCTACTTTTTAAACCTCCTGCTGACCTTTTTAATTTACCATTAAATTTACGTATTATACACAATTACTATAAAACAATATGTTTTCGCCCATCACAATTCGTGTATAATAATATGTTGATCTACCTTAAAGAAAATAACTTTGTAAAAGTAGGCACACGTGAATATCACAATGATCAAGTTGAATAGTTTAACAAGGAAAATTTAGATAGTCCAATGAAAAGCGTTGATGTTGAAGATGGATTAACGACTTACAGGGCGTAATATTATGATAGCTAATGGACTGCACATGTAGATGATTTTCGGAAGCCTGTCTTAATTAATACCACTATTAATGATATTATGGATTGATTATTTACAACGCGCATTATAGTGGTAAAAAAAGTTGAATAAAATTCAAACAAATATCAAAACGTATAAATATGATATCTTCACATGGTGAGGTTAGTGGGAGAAAATCTATAACAAGACGTGTAACAGAAGGAACTGCCAATCAACGCATCCGTACAACTTTACATAGAGGAGTTAATGCTGACGTTGGTCAGGATCGCGACCAAGATACTACAGAAGGACTTATTTGTGATCCATGTAAGTCTGAACAAAATATCGTTGGAGCTGACAGATATTGTAACACCTGTAGGGAATACCTTTGTAAAACATGCGTAAGATTCCACAAGAAATTTTCTGCAACCGCGTCCCATTCTCTTCAGACTATAGCAGATACTTCAGATGCCGTAGATTTTGGCGCTGTAAATTCGCCAGAAAATCGTCACCAACGTGTCAAAGAAAAACGATTGTATGATATGGTACCGATTTATTACGATGAAATTAATGTAAAGACGTCATTTGATAGACATAGTTGTAATATAACTGGATGCGGTCTTCTCTCATCCGGAAATCTCGTGTTGTGCGACAACGAAAATGGCGCTCTAAAAATTTTAGATCTCAGCAGCCGACATATTATATCATACGACTTTGAATCTAATCCATGGGATATTACAATTTCAAACGATCAGGAAATAGCTGTTTCTCTTCCACATGAAGAGAAGATTGAGTTATTTACGTTATTTAGTACAGATACAACTCGTGCAAGAAAACGAAGTTTAAAAGTAAACGGTAAATGCATGGGTTTGGAAAGTTTCGGGGATCATCTAGTCATTTCGTATCCATTTAAGATAGAAATTATATCTTTACGAGGTAAGGTTGAAGTAAAGGGTGTTATTGACATCAAATCAAGTACAGTGCCTGAACAGTTTGACCCTGGACCATGGTATTTGGCAGCCAGTTACGTGAACAAGTTTTTATTTGTATCTTGTAGAAATAGCGGTGAGGTTCTTAAGTTAAACATTAGTCGAGAACGGTCTTGTAGACGGGTGAAAGACGAAGATATTATATACCCAGCGGGACTCTGTGTTGTGAATGATTCGGAACTGTTAATATGCAATTGGGATTTAAATGAAATAGAGCTTATCGGAATCGCTAGTGGATCTGGGAAGAAAATTTTACTTGATGAACATGACAGACTCAAACATCCTCAGGCTGTTTGCTATTGTAGCAAGCAAAGGAAGATGTTTGTTAGCAGTTATTGGTTAGGTGGTGACCCAAAATGTTTAAATAATATTAAAGTGTTTCAGTTTTCTCCTAATATGTATATTAAGTCTTCAACTGAATGTTGAGTTTTTGAACTTGCTGTTCTTGAAACACATACCAGTTAACCATCAACATTTTCATTCTTTGTATAACATTAAAAAGATAAGGGCGAAGACGTTTAACAATGCTGTAACAAATGTCTTTTAAATATGAAACTATTAATGATAAGTTTAGTTTGAAATTTAAATTATTTTCTACCTAACCTGTTTTGCTAATGCACATATTTTTGTCAATTTTGAGTATTTTATACTGTATTGAGGTTTGTTTAGATACCCTAAAAAATATCTCTCTTTCCATTGCTATGTTTTATCTCAACATACCTTACCGGTCAATATCGAAATCTGTGATCCGAACCGCACAGGATCCGGGATCGTATCATAAATATACGTAATTTTACCATTGTTATTACTGGTTGATAAATTACACTGAACGGATTTTACAATACTATTTGGGTCATTGGCAATATAAAAACTTTGGTACCAATTGTGAACCAATGGTATAAATAGCATCCCTGCCCACTGATCTTGATCATAATTATAATTATTAATTTGGTCCAGTTTATTATTGTACTTTGTGTTCTTATTAATAACTTTACCCTAAAACAAAGTCTTACATTTTAGAAATGTGCAATATTTTTTACAGTCCAATTAGAGAGGTCATTACATCAGGATCGTCATTTTGAATGACGTCTTTAGCAACAGTCTACAATGACACTTGTCTGTCTGTCTGCAAATTAATCTACCAATGGCAAATTGGCAAATTTTGAGACATTAGTACCCATGCTATGCCAACTTTAAGTAAAACCTACCAATGGTTACCAAACGCACAATTATCTTTCCTAATTATAACGGCTATTGGGTTAGAAACGCAGTAGATTATGAAAAAACACGTTTGTTTGTTTGTTTTGGGGTTTTACCATGTTTACGTCACATCGACACAGTATAGGTCATATCGCGACGTTCCAGCTTTACTGGTGGAGGAAGACCTCAGGTGCCCTTCCGTGCATATTTCAGGCACGAACAAAAAAACACGTTAAACTGACTTTTTTTAATCATTGTTTCAAAGAGTCAGTAATAATGGATGTTCACATTTAAACCTATAGTTACCGCTTACTTCAAATTTCCTGTCTTTTTTGTCATTTTTATCATGTGGAGGCTAGTGGCTTTAAAGTAGAAATGATTTAAAAGCTACAATCTATTTGCCGATCTGGGCATGAGTGACAGAGGGATCGCTTCAGCTATTACCTAGTTAATTTATCAAATTTCATCTAATGATAATAATGCTATTTTGGATCATTGCACGCGTGTTTAGTCTATGAGTTTTGATAACTAATTGAGTCAGTGATAGAGGCATCGGATGCTTTTCTTTATCAAGTCTGTCTTCTCAGGTCTTTGTACATATATTTTCATTTATGTACATATTTCCACGACTGTTTTTTTGTTTTCACACTTAAATATTGTGATAGCATAATAATGGTCTATTGTGTATCATGTCATGTTATATAGAGAAATGTATGTTTGGTCAAATCGTTTGAACAGCATTTGTACTCATGATTTAATGCTGTAGTGATGAATTAAACTACGTGAGCAATATGTTTTGGCTATGTTTTCATGCACAAAAGCAACTAAAGGGAAATCATAGACAGTTCATAACTAGCTGTTAAATATTTACCACCTCGGCATCAGCTGAACAATTGAGAGAGATAACTGATGAACAGTCATCGATCTTAACTACATGGTATATCTCCATGCTAAAAGGTCAATGATGTTTATCCAAAGAAACTCATCTACACGCTACCATTTAATAATATGGGGACTGATATTATGGTTGTATAGACAATAACATGTCTTACACTAATGATCTTTATTTCTCCAATTATGTGTTTCATCTCATGAAATATAAGATAAGGTATAAAAGATGATATTGTTGAATAAATAAGTCATATTTCATTAACAAGTACAATCACAAATGTCAATAAATACAGTCTGATACATTATCACAATTTATTTTTAACTAAATATTTTTAACTACGATCAATAAAGAGCTTTGATATGCAATGTCTAATGATTCTTGATCCAAACAAGAGTTCAACTTTTTTAGGTTTAATCTGCGGACGTTTCTGAATTCAAATACTTTCCAGTTCATGTTAAATGAAGGGGCGTTGATGTTAACTTGCACTTTCCAGCACTTTCTTTAGATATTGTATTTCTCTCATTTTTAGACCAAATAATTTTATAATCAATGTTAATATGTATCAATTAATCAATCGACTTGTACATGTTCTCTGTGGACGAAGGGTAATAATAAAAATTATTTCTAGAAGCAGTCAATCCATTTTTCAAACTCTTCATTTGTTTTTGCTATCTTCACACGGACGTGTATTTCAGTGTCACCAAAATAATAATAACTTGTAATTTTTTTGTCGGAAATGCTCCTTGACTGCGGTAAATCAATTGCTAACATTCCCAATTCTTGACATCCCAACTCTGTTGTATAAGTAACATTACGACTTGTAGAACTATATAATTTAATAGCTGATGCTTTTTGATTTGCAGAAACTGGCATTAATCGCTCTTCATGTGTCATATTTACGGGAATTTCATCACCAATTTTAATCATTTGCTTGACAATATCTTTACAACGCTCTTTTTCATCCACTTTGATTTTTTTGGCTGGGTTGTGATGTTTTTCAAACTCAGGCCATATTTCTCTTCCAATAGTGAACCTTGAAATTCTCGTCTTAATTGCATCCAAATGATGACCGAAGCGAACGGCTCCTTTAAGTACAGCCAGACCGGCTTCCTTTGGAATTAGGAGCCTTTTGTCAGGAAAACTTTGTTCGAATGCTTCTGTCACGAGATCACACTCGCTAAATCCGCCAACAAGAAGTATAGCATCAATATTTTGTATTTCTGGTTGTTCAAACATCTTTTTAACATGGTTAATAAGCATTTCTAGCGGAGGAGCAAATAAAGTTTTTGCGGCAACCTTTTCAATTCTCAATTTATCTCCAGTCCACCTGTATTTTGACTTATCGTGTAACCTTTCTATTTTTGTAGCCATTTTTACCCCATCTAATTCGGCGAGTTTGCACAGGGATTGGGGAAGTTTGAATGTTATTTTCCCTTCATTATCTCTCGTTATCGATCTTTTCTTTGTCTCAAACTCTCTAAGAAGGTCAAAATAGTCAGTCATTTCCTCTCGCTTAAATTTGTCCATTGCCTCCGCCTGCACTATATTTTCAAGCAATTGTAAGTAGCTCTTATCAACTTCATTTCCACCCCATGCTCCTCCACTTGCTTTTTGAATCTCTTTCAAACTTCCATCGTCCATTTTCTGATGTACTGTTATATCAGCTGTTCCTCCTGAATAACATATCAAGATATTAGAAAATACAGTGGTGGAGTACTTGTATAAAATATGTGAATAGTAAAATACATAGTCACAATGGAACTATGATACGATTTTCTAAAACCAGATCGATAGGAACTGATATTAGCTTTAAATATGATGAATGTGTTTATACAAAAGCCTAATAGTATCAATTTATGTAAAATTAAATAAAGAAAAGGCATAAAGGACAATAAAGATGTTATAACGCGCTAATATTGGTATTTACGCAAAACAAAAGGCATGATAACGCGAATGAAGCGGTTATAACGCGAAACAAAAGGTATTATATGGCAAAAAAGGGCCAGGTAACGCAAAAAAGGTATGAAATAATTGCGCACGATATATATGCGTCATTATATCAATTATCTACGAATACGCTCTGTTGCCACAATCTGATTTTGTTTCTCTCCACTCTCTGTTATACAAATGTGCAGTTTGACTATTTATTAATGCAGAAGTATATACAAATATAATCAATTAAAATTTACCTCCTAAGTCTACGACCATATATTTAGTTAATGGCTCTGAGAGACTACTGAGCTTGTCATCTGTTTCAACCTGACACCAAAGTGACGCTGCTTCAGGTTCAAGCGCAAATGATATTTGCTCGTTTGGAATTCCAGCCTATTGATAATAATGTATTTATCAAAGTTCTGGTATATTCCACATTATGGGTCAGATAATAGAGAAAAAATATTTAGCGTTAATTAAGGTATTTAAAAAATATCTTTTGACTTCAAATTTCGCACAGCATAGAACTCTTCATTGTGAAATTTTATGCATTTTACCTTATCTTAAAAACAAATGTATTCAATCATATTGTATTCATCGAAATGAGAAGAATTCCAAATTCTAATTATGCCATTATTACTTTACCTTATAAGCTGCCCTTCTCATGAACTGTTTTGCCCTTGGATCCCAAATGGCCGGAACTGTAATCACATACTGAATGTCAGTTTCAAGGATTCCACATACCCTTGACTGCAACGTTTTCCAAAGATGATTCTTTAGAAATGAAATTGAATGAGCAAATATATCAAAAGCTGGCATATTCTTTCCTGAAATGTCTTCTATGGGAGTGTCCAGTTTCAAATTCTAAAAAGATACAACATAATCATGACAAAACAATATATTTATTTGAAAAGGCTATAGTCGTATCAATGGTAATTGTTGTCTAATGTTATGGACAGTGATTACATCTTTTAACGTATGTGATCAATTATAGAAACATTCAAGACATTGTAACATGTTTATAACAAACAACAAATCTTTCGTTACTTACTGTTGTTTCATAAAGTGTCAGTTTGAATCGTCGGAAAAGGTACCAGCCATGGTGTTCGTCATCCTCGGCCAAATCACTATACTTATTTTCAGCCTCAAATCCAAAAGAATGAAATGTCTTGTTGGGTTTAAGCAGAACGGTAGAGGGACATTTCAATGACACGAGTTTCTCAGAACCAGCTACCCAGTTTGGGTTGGTGTGTATATCGTTTGGCTTGTCACGGAACGAGAAAGCATATCCACTGTAAGTGGTTCCAAAGTCTATAGCTGCAACTAGTAGTCTGCTACAAGTTGACTTTTCAGCTGCCATTGCCATTGTTGCTAAAATATACAAAAAAAGATGAATTGTCAAAGATCATGAACTATTCGAGGTACGATTTTAACTTGTCATAAGTTTATTTTTTTAATTGTCACCTAATAACAAATATCCCACCAGGTAATTAAAGTTATGCCCACGCAAACTGTCATCCGTCTATGAAATAGATTTTAGCTATCTGGTGAGGTTATAAGGCAAACGGCTAATGCATATCAACATAACTACACTACACTACTACATAACTATTAACATTAACATATATATATAAGTCATTGTTAAAAACCAACCAAATAATGTAATTTGGCAAATGAAGAATAAAACAAGAATCAAAACATTTATCAGATCTATCCGCATTGATTTTATACCATTATAAACTGTATAGTTCTTAAGTAATCATATCATCTCAGTATTATTATGATAAATTATTGGTTAAGCTACGTACCAAAGAGAAAATTGAAACACAATCTTGGGAATTACCTGTCCTATAGGTACAGTCGTGTTAAACAAATCGGTATCAGATGTAATCCGATTTACAATGTATTTTAAATCACTTGTTCAATAAAGTATTTTAATTTTTTAACTAAATGATTCAGAAAACGTAGAAACGTAGCTTATTACATTTCAATATTAATTATCAAGCTATGTTTAAATAATTATACATCTATTGTTTTGATTAAAAATATCTATATAATACACCTTCTCTATATATAGTCCATTCGTGGAAAATTTATTTCCTGGTCTAGTTTGAGCATTTTAACAGGGCAGATCGAGATAACAGATATGTCATGTATTACATAAACAAACTCTTTTAGCTATTATTTTCATAGATCGACCACAAAACACTCTTTTTATATATATTTTCTTTAACTTTAAAAATATTTTCGATTACTTTAGAATTATTGCCTACAGGTGTTTTATGATTTTTTGCTGAGAAGATATATGAAGGAGAATGAAAACACGCCGAAAAGTAGGTCTGTTCCTAAAACTTACGGTTCTGTTATAAACATATATGTTTTCACAAACTACTCGCTAGTTTCTTGAAAGAAAATTAAGGGGGCCATTGGCCCTAAAGCGCTCACCTGAGGACAGAGTGTTATTTATGTAAAAGCAATGAAAGCTAGTATTTATTACACGAATTTGAAAGATGTTGGTAACTATGCCATACTTAAAATTGCATATATATACATGTATATTATCTTTTACTATATATATGGTCCTAATTTCATAGCTATATTTAGAAGCAGGAATGTAGGTCACTAGGTCCAAATGTAAAACAGCTGTTACATGTAACAAAGTTCAATTTTTCATCTAAAACGGTGTACTTATCCTGATTTCAATACTGTACTTAGAAACGAGAATGTAGGTCACTAGATCAAAATCTAGGTCAGTTGAAATCAAAGTTCAATTTTACAACTGTGCACATGCTCCAACTTTCATAGCTGTACATCAAATTTGTCACGAATACATATTTTTTTCTAATTCAAATCTCCGACCAGGTAAAGTTATACCGGCGTCCGTCTAAACAAATAGATTTTTGCTATCTAGTGTGGCATTATGGCAAAAGGCGTGTATATCTACCTAACTGTATAGATATATATTTTTTCTGTTATTAACAAAGCAAAGAAAGTATCGCAAGAAGAAGGTGCATTATTGTTGTTTTGCTTACTAAAATATTATAAAACGTGTCACAACTAGAAATGTAGATAATATATTTCTGTCCTCGTAGGTCAAGATGTGTATTTGCTAATGCTAGACAAATAATAAATCAATTCAAACGATTCAACATAATCTAAGTTTCCATTTTTACTATTACTACCGTATTTACCTTTTATTTCTTGCACTTATTTTTCGTCGAAAGAACAAAAAGGAAGTTAGATCTACTTTTGGTTTCACATATTTGAAAACAAAATCGCCAGCGTTTCAAACATTTCTTAAGTCTATCAGTATTTATTTAATTCCATTGAAAACTGTATAGTTCGTAAGTTAACAGATCATTTAAAAATTATTGTGCTTTAAAGTATGGTTTAGTATTAAATTTTATCTACTTACCAAAGAGACAATTATAACACTATCTTCAGAATTACCATGCGTGTTAAACAAATCGGTGCTAGATGAAAACCAATTTATTTTGTAGCATAATCACATGTAAAATAAAGTATTTGAATCTATTTTAAACTTAAATATTCAGAGATGTATACGTAGGAAATTGCGTACTTATATTTGTTATCAAGCTATGTATATAGAGTTCTCGATTAGGTAAGTTTTCGACTTCAAATTTTAAACCTTTAAGCTTAAACAAATAACTTTATCTATACCGTATTCATGGAAAAAATACTTCCTGGTCAAATTTGTAATCTTTTACAGGTGCTGGATTAGATTGAGTATAGTTGATATACCAAAGCTTAGACAGCATATACAAAACAGATACACAACTACATGCAAACATAAGACAAAACATTATCATATACATAAATGCTGTAATTGTTGATTTAAAGCCAAAGGGCCGGACCACAGGTTTTAAATAAATTAGAAAGTGTGACCTTCCCACAGTGTTTAAATAATAGTAATAGATATGCATACATTCGGTTGTAATTGAAATACAATAAATGGTACATTTTTTTCAATCAATAAAATATCACTTGAAAAATAGAATTTGTAATAAAAATAAATTTAAGACGAAGAAAAGAAAGGAAGAAAGAAAAAAAGAAAAAGATTCATGGAAAGATTCAGCATCATCTGGTAAATGATCAACAGTCATCAGTCTAAACTACAAGATGTATATTCATGATGAAAAGTCAGCGATGTATATATATATAAAAAAAACAACAACAAAAAATGCCACGAAATAAGGTTTTTAATGATCATACTGTATAGTTTTGTTTTCATTGGAATATAAATATAAGCAACCTAGTAGGTAACTTTGTGCATGGTAACAGTGATAATGAGCCTATGGTCTGAAAAGCAATCCATATTAAGGCTTTCAGATAGGAATAAACAAGCGTAATTAAAATCTCATTCTTACATCTAGTTATTGACCGGAAACCATTTTTTTTCATTTAATACACCAAGTTTTATTAAAAAAGCTTATTCTTTTCTCAGGTTATTGACTATAAACAGATTCCATTTGTAGTAACAGTGACCTTGACTTTGACTCTGTAGGGCCCAAAAATAATTTAAATGTTTGTTTACATATATGGAAAAAAACAAAGGTCCATTATAAGGTTAACACATATTGAATCTCTTAACCGCAATAATGTGCAACAGGGCACATGATGACAAAGCTTCTGTACAAGTAAGGGAAATATAAGAGGAGTTGCGAGCAGAAGAAATTGTTCACTGTATATTTCAAATATTGAAGAAAACAAAGGGCCAAAATTAGGTAAAAATATAAAAAAAACCGAATCTCAAAACCCCGACAGGGCACATGATTAGAAAGTTTCTGTGAAAATTTAGACAAAATCTCTTGAGAAATGTAGGAGTTGAGCACAGAAGAAATTGTTCATTACATATCATATATAAGAGAAAAAACAAAGGGCCATGATTAGGTAAAACATTATCTAACAACGAAACCCAACAATATGTTCCAGCGCACTTGATGACAAAGTTTCTGTAAGTTTGTTAAAATCCCTTGTAAAATGTAGGAGCGGCGCACGGAAGAAATTGTTAAAGCCCGCCCGTCCGACCATCCGCTCGACCGCCATCCGATATACACAGTTTTTTCCTGGTTAAATCTGGTTAAAAAAGCCTCAACTAATCGCTACCATTGAATGATATAGGGAATGACAGTATGGTTATATTGTCTTACATTTATGAACATTATTTCCCTAATTAAAAGATTATATAGATAATTTTGTTAAATTGTTCAGTCATATTTCCTTAACAGTATCACAAAAGTCAAAACCTGTATATAATAAGAGTATATTTTTTCGTTTGAGTGAAATATGGAATATATTTCCAAGAAATGTGATAAAAAATCCATATATTATATTAAATAAATAGAATTTTATCATATTAAGTGAAAATAATTTCCATATTTCTCGGAAAAATAAGAAAAAAGAACCTTTTTATTAAGGTTTACCTTCAAGGAAAAAAGTTGTTTACGAATACAACTATTTACTACCCAGTTGTAATTGTACAGCGAGCAGTAATTCATTGATTAATGATAGGCGTGTGACGTTCGAATTCAATACACAATTTATCTCAATTCGATTCAATGCACAATTATCTCAGCCATCTTGAACCGTTTTGAGAAACATAACCATATAATTTCCGAAGATGAAATGAATAGCTAAAGCTACTGAAAGCAACAGAGAAAGTAGTCTTAAAATAAATATGAGTGTTGGTTCCGCACACTTTCATATTTATTATAATTATGTTTTCTTTTGTTTGTTTTCTTTTCACAAACAGGATATATATTTGGCTGATATAGCACCATATTTCATGGGTAAAATTTCATTAAGTCTGATACAATTTCAAAATATGTTTTAATTATATTTTTACGTTTACGGCCAATTAAAAGCTTTGATATGTAATGTCTAATGTGATGCTTCGAGATCCAAACAAGATTTCATCATTTTTAGGTTTAATCTGTTCCTAAATTTAAATATGTTCAAGTTTATGTTAAATGTAAATTCTGTTAAAGCCGATGCTAGGAAGCGTGGACGGTAACTTGTACTTTCAAGTAAGCTCATTAACAAGCTCAATCAAACGTGCCTGCACTATTTTCAGTTTCGCCGTTCTGTACTTTCTTTATGCATATTATTTCTGTTGTTTTTTTTAATCACCAAATAATTTGTTAATCAATGTTACTCTATATCAATTAAACAAACGACTTGTACATGTCAAAATCAAAATAATGCCGATTATTGATCTAGCATCTAAAACGGTAATTCATCTTCTAAGTAAAAATAGGTGATGGAATTTGTTTTGATAAACAAACGGTTGCGGAAGAATTTAATACGTTTAACTGAACTGTTACATCAAATCTTATTGCAAGACTACATCCAGCACTAAATATTTGATGATAAACAGTATCTTCATTCTATTTATCAAAAAAGAATTTTACATAATAATTGTTCTTTTAATTGACGTCTAAATAAGTGTGATCTGGATAAACAAGGTGCAAACATATCCACTGTTCTGGATGGTATTCCTTCTCGTTTTGTTAGAGAGAGCGCATCTATTTTTGCCTTTCCTATAACACACATAATCTCACATTACACTAAAAAAAACACTTCTTGTTTGGTCCTCATCCAATGTCTCTTTGTTGTATTACCCTAGGTATGATGTTTTTGAAGTGGTTTCATTTCTTATACATGTGATATCTGCTTTTATTGTTTTATCATGTATTGGATATATTTAACCATGTTATTACATAATACTGAAATCAATCAATCATCAGTCGAGAAGCAGTCAATCCATTTTTCAAACTCTTCATTTGTTTTCTTCATCTTTACACGAACGTGTATTTCAGTGTCGCCAAAAAAATAACAAATCGTATATTTTTTCTCGGAAATGCTTTCTGATTTCGGCAAATCAATTGTAAAAGTTCCCAATTTTTGACATCCCATATCTGTTGTATAAGTAACATGACGATTTGTAGAACTAAATAATACAATATCAGATTGCACTTGACTTGCACAAGCTGGATGCGATTTCTCTACATGCGTCATTGCTGCCGGAATTTCCTCTCCAATTTCAATTATTTTTTTAAAAATGCATGTACAATATTCCTGGCCAGACATTATAATTTTTCTAGCTGGGTCGTCGTGACTTTCTTCAAACAGACGCCATTTTTCTGCTCCAATAGTGAATCTTGCAATTCTCGTTTTAAATGCATACAAATGATGACCAAAGCGAACGGCCCCTTTAAGTACAGCTAAACCTGCATCCTTTGGAATAAGGAGTCTTTTGTCAGGGAAGCTTTGTTCGAATGTTTCTGTCACGAGATCACACTCGCTAAACCCGCCAACAAGAAGTATAGCCTCAATATCTTGTATTTCTGGTTGTTCGAACATCTTTTTAACATGGGTAATAAGCTTTTCTAGTGGAGGAGTAAATAAGGCTTTTGCGGCAACCTTTTCAATTCTCAATTTATCTCCAGTCCAGCAATATTTTGTCGTATCGTGTAACCGTTCTATTTTTGCAGCCATTTTTATCCCATCTAGCTCGGCGAGTCTGCACAGGGATTGGGGAAGTTTGATTGTTATTTTCCCTTCATTATCTCTCGTTATCGATCTTTTCTTTGTCTCAAACTCTCTAAGAAGGTCAAAATAGTCAGACATTTCCTCTCGCTTAAATTTGTCCATTGCCTCCGCCTGCACTATATTTTCAAGCAATTGTAAGTAGCACTTATCAACTTCATTACCACCCCATGCTCCTCCACTTGCTTTATGAATTTCTTTCAAACTTCCATCGCCCATTTTCTGATGTACTGTTATATCGGCTGTTCCTCCTGAATAATATATCAAAATATTGTAAAATAAAGTGTTGGAGATGTGTCAATAGTAAAATACATAGTAACAATAGAACTATGATACGATTTCCTAAAACCAGACCGATAGTAACTGATGTGAGCTTTGAAAATGGTGAAAGTATTTATACAAAAGCTTAATATTATCATGTTATGTAAAATAAAACATTGAAAAGGCATTATACTCGAATAAAGATGTTATTGTAATGCGAAACAAATGGCGTATTTACGCAAAACTTAAAACATAATAACGCAAATAAAGACGTAATAACGCAAACAAAGGCGAAGTTCAACGCAAATAAAAGCGTTTTAATACACTTACTATATTTAGTAACAAAATTGTCTATGATTTCAACTGATTATGAGTGTAATGATTATGAGTATATGATTATGAGCTGCGGTCTCACTTAGTCCCGGCAGAGCCTAGGTAAGTTACCGGGATGATCCAGGACGATTCGGGTGAAATTATTGTTGCGGTCACACTAAACCCGGCAGCACAACGGTAATCCCCAATAAACCACCCAGGATGCGCTGCGGATCATCAAGGCAGCGCCCAGGTGAAGCTAAGGTTCAGGCCGGTGCTTCCCCGGTCGTTCCCGGATGACGCCGGAAGAGCCCCGGTTGACCCAGGCAGAAACCCGATCGAACCAGGCTGAGTCCCGGTAGAGCCCAGGACGATCCAGGCAGAACCCCGGTAGAACCCCGGTTTATTGAAAACGCGCGAAAATGATTACATTGATACATAATTCTTATTTAATATAATATCTATAGTTCCAGAATTTTAATTCATGGTGTAACCCCGGTCGTTCCCGGCAGAGCTAAGGATGAAGCCGGCAAAGCTATACTTCCCGGATCATCCCTGACCACCCCAGTGATATTAAATATTTTTTTTCATCCGGTGTCGAATGCCGGATGTTCCCGGATCATCCCGGACGTTGCCGGCAGAGTTACGGATGTACCCCTTTTGTTCCAGGTCGTAACCCGGTCGTTCCCGGATCACCCCGGATGTCTACCGGGGCTTTGCCGAGGCTCTGCCGGGATGTCAGTGAGGCTGTAGCTTTAACATGACCGATTATGAGTTTGCGGCCCGGAGCCGATAAGTGATAATCATAATCGGCTCGCTGAACACGAGTACGTGCACAAACTGAAACAATGACGTCACAATTTTAGGTCATCAAATCAGCTAGTTGTAAAAGTGAAAGAAGGATTAAAGCACGAATAGCTTAATTTTTTAACTAGAACATAAGCGTAATTTCAACAAACACAGCTTTATTGAAATTTAAAGAAATAAAATGCTAGCTACAATTTCATTCCTAGAGAAAATGAAATCGCGTTTCTAAATTCTGTCGGTTGCAAATGATCAGATACTGTACCGTACAGTAGATATAATATTATACAGAGATAGGAATGCTAACGAAAGAAATGTCAAAGTAAATTTTTGAAAACTGCTTCAGTTAGATCTATCAAGTGTATTAATGACATTAATACACATCACAGATGGACCAGAATGTCATAATCGGCCCTACTCTGTCGTGTATTAATCTCTTATCAATATCTATGTTGCTATATATATTAACAAAATCAAGGGTATTTCAAGGCGATTATGGCAAGATCTATGTCATTTTGCAATTTTGGCTGCCTTGCTACTTGGCATTTTTTTTCCAAAATGGGCGAGTGAATGAGCGCACGTGCAGAATGACGTAATCAACTCTCAGTGACTGCTGACGTTGAATGAACTGTAGTCACTTGCACACAAAATATTTAAATAGTTTAAATGGCATAATTAATCACAATCAGTAAAGCTTAACATTGAAGATTTAAAAACTGAAGACAATACATGACCCTTAGAAATATTCCAAAAAAGTGATTTCAGATTGACGGTAGGGAAAGGTAGGATCGTTCGCATTTACACCTAGACATCAGTCTCAAAAACCTAACTTGAAGGCACAAAACTTCATAAAAAAATGGAAAATGTAAAGAGAAGGATTCTGTATTTATCGATAAAAATAACAATTTCTTACACATTTTGTATTTATTTTGTGTTGTCTTGTTTTCTAAGTTAATGGGAGTGTTAAACTGTATGACAGATATTATTTACATTGATGGCCCTCGAGTTCATAATGTCCTTCGGACTTGCGGCTCTCAGGCCATCGTGCACATTTGCAGGCCATTATCGCATAATGGCGAGCAGCAACCAAGTATTAACCTCAAAATAAATTGAATGCTGATCAAATGGCCTGGAAAAGCGAAAAGGATATGAATTAATTGCGCACGACATATGTGTGTCATAATTTCAATTATCTACGGATACGATCTGTTGCCAGAATCTGAATTTCTATCTCTCATTACAAAAGACATACATTGTACAGTTTGACTATTTATTAATGCAGAAGTATTGACAAATGTAATATCAATTAAGGATTACCTCCTAAGTCCACGACCATATATTTGGTTAATGGCTCTGAGAGTCTACTGAGCTTGTCATCTGTTTCAACCTGACACCAAAGTGACGCTGCTTCAGGTTCAAGGGCAAATGATATTTGCTCGTTAGGAATTCCGGCCTATTAATAATAATTCATTTATCAAAGTTCTGGTATATTTCACATTATGATAATCAGATAACAGAGAAAAGATATTTAAAGTGTAAGGTTATTTAACAAATACCTCAAGACCTCACATTTCGCACAGCATATAACTCTTTAATTATTGTTAATAGTGCATTTTACCATATCTTAAAATTATCGCATGGTTTGGAACTTTTCCTTTGTTCTTACTAACCCATTATACTCAGTACACTTTCAATGAGCATTTGTAAACTGTATTGATATATAGCAGTACAGTTTTTTCATAAACAGCCACCGGAAAATCTTTGAACGACCGGAAAAGTGGCAAACTTCACTACCATTTATACTTGCCCTACACACTTGAAAATCATTTCATCTGATAGATTTAAGGTTAGTTATAAATAATTGACTTCATTTAATGCTATTTTAATTTTTTTTCTTATCAAAAATTTTATTTTAAAAAAATTGTCCGGGCGGATTTATTTAAATTCCAATTGGATTTTTTTCCAACATATTTATTTATTCCAACGGGAATTTCAATTTTTTTCATATCACATTTGCGAGGGTGTGTGTGTGTTTTTTTTTTTTTTTTTTTTTTTTTTTTTTTTTTTTTTTTTTTTGCTTCAAATTATTAAAAAAAATGAGTCATTTCACTTCAGTGATGTTTGCAAGAAAAATATAATCCTTCCAAAATTCATTGTTGAAACAATTTGCAACAGACTGATTTTCAGACGCTCACTTGATGCGACATATCGAACTTGTACGTCTCATATCCATAACTGTCGGAACTTGCACACATATTTTGTTATATTAATCACATTTAAATTCAGTCAAATCAATTTGTTTTAATATTAAGAACGTGCCCTATTCCGCTCAAAATAAAACTTAAGTCACTTATAGATATCACATTTATAATACCTAAAATTTAAGAAATTTCGTTTCGACATATTGTCTTACATGTTTTTGTGATATATATGACATGTCGATATTACGATATTATCAAAATCTCTGCAATATTTTCTTTTATACATAACATTTAAAAGAATGGCAACTTTTTCAAAAGCAAATGTATTGTTTCGTAATATTTCACGGAAAGAGCTTGTATTTGAGCTACAATTGTGAGGCGAATTTAATACAAAAGTTGATCACACAGAGGTACCTATATCTACATAAAAAACAAATGAATAATTTTATATAACTATGTAAAAATAGAATCTAGTACATTATAATTGAGGGTCTTAACTATGGTATTTTTCATAAATTGCGTAAGTTGACCGCAGTCCGAATAGCACTAGTTTTTAAGCCATTTTTCGCATTGAAATGATTTTCTAATTTTTCACCTCCCAAAATGAATTGTACGCACGTGCGTACATTGTATTTGGCGTATAGGCAGCTACGCCACTGTAGCGGTTGAGATTTTTTCGCACCTTGTATATATCTATGTAGTGTTTTCACTGAGGCTCCAATGGGGCAACGGTAACGAACATTCCCAGAAGCAAAAAATAAAATAATAATAATAATAACAATAATAATAATAATTATTATTATTATTATTATTATTATTATTATTATTATTATAATTATTATTATTATTATTATTATTATTATTATTATTATTATTATTATTATTATTATTATAAGAAAGAAGAAAATTAATGAAACGAATTTATTCTCATATAATTATGCAACTGCTGAAATCAAAAAGAACATCCGCTGAATTATTTCCACTGAAAAAGCTGTAAGGTAGCTTACGACATCATTAGCTGGTATTGGATGATTGGTATTGGTTTATTTTATCTGGCACGTTTTTTGTATTTTTTCTGATTTCTATAATTGCAAAAAAATGAAAATGCGATAAAACATTTATAGTATATGAAACGAGTAAGTTATGGGGGTATAACACTGACTGGGGCGACATCTCGAGATGTTTCTGCAAAACATTGACACGGCCTAACGGTCTCGACTTTTTTTGCAGAAACACCCCTTGATGTCACCCCAGGCAGTCGTAACTAATTCGTTTCATATACTATAACATTTACACAAATGTATTCAATCATATTGTATTCATCGCTATGAGAAGAATTCCAAATTCTAGATATTCCATTATTACTTTACCTTATAAGCTGCCCTTCTCATGAATTGCTTCGCCTTTGGATCCCAAATGGCGGGAACTGTAATCACATAATGTATGTCAGTTTCAAGAACTTCACATACCCTTGAATGCAACGTTTTCCAAAGATGATCCTTTAGAAATGAAATTGAATGAGCAAATATATCTATTGCTGGCATATTCTTTCCCGAAATGTCTTCTATGGGAGTGTCAAGTTTCAAATTCTGAAAAGATAGAACATAAAATTGACAAAATTTATGTGTATTTGAAAAAGCTATAAGTCTTATCAATGGTAAATGTCGTCTAATGTTGTAGACATTAAAACAGCCTTTAATGTATGTGATCGGAAATAGAAACATTCAAAACATTGTAAAATGTTTATAATTATAATAAACAACAAATCTTTCGTTACTTACTGTTGTTTCATAAAGTGTCGAAAAAGGTACCAGCCATGGTGTTTGTCATCCTCCGCCAAATCACTATACCTATTTTCAGCCTCAAATCCAAACGAATGAAACGTCCTGTCGGGTTTTAGCAGAACCGAAGAGGGACATTTCATTGACACCAATTTCTCAGAACCAGCTACCCAGTTTGGGTTGGTGTGTATATCGTTTGGCTTGTCACGGAACGAAAAAGCATATCCACTGTAAGTGGTTCCAAAGTCTATAGCTGCAACTAGTAATCTGCTACAAGTTGACTGTTCAGCTGCCATTGCCATTGTGGCTGATATATACAAAAATGAAGATAAATTGCCGAAAATCATGAACAATTAGAGATATGATTTTAACTTGTCACAAGTTATTTTTTTAACAAGATAACAAGATAAAGTTTCTCCCACTTAAACTAACAGGCATCCGTATAAAATTAAGCTATCTGCAAACGGATAATGTATATCTACTAAGTGATACCTCTTATTTTTATTGCCTTAGAATTATTTTGTGCCAATTATGAAGGGGCGTTATTGGATGTTTGCTCACTAAAATATTATAAAACATGTCACAACAAGAAATGTAGATATGATTCCTTCTGTCCTCTTAGGTCAACCTGTGTATTTGTAAATTCCAGACAAAAGATTCATCCACTTAAAACGAGTAAACGTCAACTACGTGTCCATTTTTTTACTACCTTACCAATTTTATTCATTGCAACAACTTTTCGTCGGATGAAACACAAAGAGGAAAAAGATCTACTTTTGGCTTCATTTTTTTGAAAACTATTAACCCATTACCAGATATACACGCCATTTTACGCCTTTTTCACGCCCCCCCCCCCCCTTCTGTTGTCTCAAATGGTGAAAAAATGAATTATTTAGGTCCCACTTGTTTTTGTTGTAATGTTGTTAAAATAAAGTATTTTTGGCGCCCCCACCTATCCGAAAGATACATCAAGGGGTTGCCAGAAAAGGGGGTTTGAAGGGGGCGACCAGCCCCTTTCAACGCAAAAAAAATTTGGACTTGTGAGAGGCTAAAAATGATCCCAGGTCGATCATAAGGTAATGTGTAACCAACGCTGAAAAGCCTTTGACTCTATCTCCATTGAGAAGTTGCAGCACTTTGATGAAAAGAAATCAACAAAAAAATTATTTTTTGGCAATTTTGAGATGTCCCCTCGTTGCCATGGTAACAGGAAATTTGAGACTGCGCATGTTGTTACAAAGGCAATGTTCCAGTCAACATTTGTGCCAAGTTTGATTAGTATTGAAGCAGATCTAATAGTTTTATAGCAATTTGAACTTGTAACGGGAGACTTTTCATTGAAAACTATTTTTCACAAAATGCTCATGAAGTAATGGGTTAACCATTTCTCAGATCTATCCGCATATGTTATATACCATTGTAAACTGTTTAGTTCTTAAATTAACACAACACCTCAGAATCATTGTGATAAAATATTGGTTTAGCTACTACCAAAGAGCGAACTGTAACACTATCTTGAGAAGAACATGTTCTATATCAAATCGGTACCAAATGTAATCCGACTTAATCCGCAAAAATCACTCGTTTAATAAAATATTTGAATGTTTTAACTTAATATTTCAAACACGTACAAACGTAGCAAATATATGTAAACATTAATCATCAAGCTATCTTTATATAGATATATATCTAAGGTTTTGATTAGAAAAGTATTGACTCCATTTAAAATTTCAAACTAAAGCATTTATAGTTTAAACTTTTTCTTTTAAATTTGAAACGAATACACCCTCTCTATGTATAAACCCTTCGTGGAAAAAGTACTTCCTGGTCTAGTTTGCGAATTTTAACAGGGCATATCTGTCATATTATAATACGTTCATAAACTCTTTTGGCTATTTTGTCATCGGTCGACCACAAACCCTCCTTTATATATATATTTTTTATTACATTAAAAACAGTTTCGATTTCTTAAGGAAAAAACTTTTTTTCCGAAGATTTGTGGATCAAAATTGATTTCAGGAGAATAAAATATTTTGCGAATTAATGCCTATAGGTGTTTTTTTAATTTTTTGCTGAGAATATATACGTAGGAGAATAAAAACACGCCGTGAAGTAGGTCTGTCCTCAAATAACGGTTCTGTTATAAACATATATGACAACAACCCTTATATATTCACAAACTATAGACGCCAGTTTCTTGAAAGAAATCAAGGGGAATATTGGCGCCAAAGCGCTCACCTGACAGACTGTTATTTGTGTTTAAAAGCTGTGAAAACTAGTGTTTAGTACAAAATTTGAACGATAATGGTCACTATGCCATACATATTTCATATACGTGTATATATACATGTATATTAACTTATAACTAAGTTATATCCATTAAATCTGTCAGGCATCCGTAGCTATACAGTGTGGTAATATGGCAAAAGGCATGTATATCTACATAACTTTTTAGATATCTGCTTGTGACTGTTAATCACTGTAATAATTTGCGCATATGAAGAAGGGCTGGCGTTGAAAGTTTGCTCACTGTAACATTATGAAGCATGTCACAACTAGAAATGTATATAATATTTCTTCTGTTCTCCTTGTTCAAGCTTTGTATTTGCTAATTCCAAACAAATAATTCGATTAAACGTCATTTGTATCATAGTTTGGGGATCTTTCTGTTGAAAATGTGTCGGAGTTAAATCGTACGTATACATATACATGCACAGTGCGTTAACTGGAGTGCAGGTATTAGTTACCCGCACTCAAGAGCATGCCTGTTAATAGGCTCATTTTTGTTGGGGTTTACGTATTGTGACGGAAGAGAAAGGGAAATCGACAGAAATATCATATTCAGATGCTCGTTCATTGGTTACCTTTTCCCGGGGTTTCATATTGTGACAACAGGGAATGTGTTTTTATGTTTGACTATGATACATAAGAGAAAGAGCATCAAAACACTTGGCAATCTGATTAATACCCGGGGGCCTAGTGTTTCGATGCTCTTTCTATTACTTAAGTTTCCCTTTTTAATACTTTATTTACCTTTTATTCATTGCACTAACTTTTCGTCGGAATAAGATCTACTTTTGGTTTCATATATATTTGAAAACAAAATCGCCAGCGCTCCAAACATTTATCAGATCTATTCGCATATATCGTGTTTTATTCAGTTCTAAACTGCTTAGTTTTTAAGTTAATATAACACCTCAGAATTATTATTATTCAAATTTGGGTTTGATATAAAAATTCATTTACTTACCAAAGAGACAACTGTAACACTATCACCTGTTTTACCTGAATTTCCTGTTCAATAGGCACATTCGTGTTAAACAAATCGGTGCCAGACGAAATTCTATTTATTTTGGTGCATAATCACATGTTAAATAAAGTACATTGCATTTGAACTTTTTAACTTAAATATTCAAAGACCTATGTAATGGCGTGCTAACATTTGTAGACAAGCTATGTATGTAATTATATAGTTCTTTATTGTAACAGTATCGACTCCATTTAAGACTTCAAACTTTAAATGTTTAAGTTGAAACGAATATACCCTCTCTCTATACATGTATATATACCCTTTGCGTGGAAAAATTAGTTCCTGATAAAGTTTGCGAAATTTTCAGGTGCTGATCCTGCACTTAAATTGGCAACAACTACAAATATTGTATTCACAATTCTAGAAGAAACATCACAGATTTTAATTAAAAATACTTGAAGATTGTCGAGATATGAAGATCTAATATAAATTACGTTTGTAAACTCTTGTGGCTTTTTTCATTGATCGTTCACAAAACACTCCTTTTTATCCATTTTTCTTTTACTTTAAAACAGATTCGATTTCTTGGACAAAAAAAATGTTGGGTCTTAATTTGATTTATGGAGGAGGAATTTGTTTGTGAATTGCCTTTTTCCTTTGGGAATAGGTGCTTTATAATTTTTGCGAAAGAAAAACACACCGTGAAGTAGGCCCGGTCCTAACACTTACGGTTCTGATATATAGAGAATACCATGCATGCTAGTATCTGATATATCTAAATCTATCAGGCAAGGCTTGCCTAGCCTGATAAATCTATAATATCAGACACTTGGTAGTTTATTTATTATGTTTTCAATTTCGGTATGCATTTCTTTCTTAGGCAAGATGACAAGAACCTCTCGAGTTCATGTAAGAGAGACTTTATATTCGAAAAATATATTCGTTTCAAAGTTTATCAGTTTAATATTTTCAAACTAGTGAAAGTAAAAAAATATTCCATTCTTTTCATTTTATCTTTATATGTAATGATAAAGCTGAGATTGACTGATAAAGCTATATATACATTTATCAAGCATGCACTTTTTCAAAGGAAATGAATGTAATGACAACAAATTATATGACAACAACCCTTATTTTCCACATTAAGTCACCGTTTCTTAACCAAACTAGACCTTTCACTGAAGGTGATTAATACCCCCACCAGCAACTTTTTGAAAAATAAGTAGTCTGAAGAAAAATTTCAACACAAACTATCAACTGTGTACAAAGAAATATTTCAATTAATTGTAATCCCAACTGGGGTCTCCAAATAAGCTTGCTTTTCACAAAGTTTGATTACAATATCTCATTCCTAACTCTAGTTATTGTCCGGAAACCATTTTTCTATTTTTAGGAATGGTGACCTTGACCTTGACCCAAGGGGGTCCAAATGCAATACCAACCCAGGTCTTCATATAAGCTTGCTATACACCAAGTTTGATAACAATATCTCATTCCTAACTCTAGTTATTGTCCGGAAACCATTTTTCTATTTTAGTAACGGTGACCTTGACCTTGACCCCAGGGGTCCAAAAACAATACCAACCCAGGTCTTCATATAAGCTTGCTATACACCAATTTTGATTACAATATCTCATTCCTAACTCAAGTTATTGTCCGGAAAGCATTTTCTATTTTTAGTAAGGATGGCATTGACCTTGACCCCAGGGGGTCCAAAAACAATACCAACCCAGGTCTTCATATAAGCTTGCTATACACCAATTTTGATTACAATATCTCATTCCTAACTCAAGTTATTGTCCGGAAACCATTTTTCTATTTTTAGTAACGGTGACCTTGACCTTGACCCAAGGGGGTCCAAATGCAATACCAACCCAGGTCTTCATATAAGCTTGCTATACACCAATTATGATTACAATAGCTCATTCCTAACTCAAGTTATTGTCCGGAAACCATTTTTCTATTTTTAGTAACGGTGACCTTGACCTTGACCCCAGGGGGTCCAAATGCAATACCAACCGGAGTTTTCACATAAGGTTGCTATATACCAAGTTTGATTACAATACCTCATTCCAAACTCTAGTTATCGTCCGGAAACCATGATGTGGACCGACCGACGGACCGACCGACCAACCGACCGACCGACCGACCGACAAGCTGACTCCTATATACCCCCCCTAAACTTCGTTTGTGGGGGTATAAAAATGAACAAAAGAAACAGACACTTGCACAAACGGAATGCTGTCATTATTTAATGTATTTGGGATAATATTACAATATAAGTTTCACTAGAAGATGGTAAACCGTATTTTACATTTGACATTTATTTATTCTTTGCGCTTGCAAAATCTATCAGTATTTTTAAAATTGAACTTGAGAAAGATGCTGCGTATTAAGCATGTATTGTGTATGGAAGTCAAATTATCTCGTTTTTATTTTGCACCAATTATTTCAAATTTAGCGTTATTTTCGTCATGTTTTAAGCATATCACATGTTCTTAATCTTTTAATGTAACATTATAAATTACATGTTTGCCCATTCTATAGAAAAAAAATATACATATCATAGGTATGATACTAATATTATCACATTTTTGTTGAGTTTTTCCTTTATAAAATAATATATGATGTACACAATTACAAACGCAAAGAGACTTGGATACGCAATTAGATGCTGGGCAATTTAATAATCCTTCAATTTAATTGATTCACATCTATCTTATAAACGCAAATAATTAACACATAATATTTTGTACTGAAATGTGACAAGCATTGTTTTATTCACTACATAGTTTTAATTTTATACCTAAAATTCATTCTTTTTTAGAAATTCGTCTCAAATATTCTTTGCCTAAATATAATTTTAAATGGTATTTTTTATGTTTCGTATTTGTTATATTTTAAAACATAAGAATCTTTATTATAAACTGATAAATGAAATATTTAGAAATATTGATGAAATTAAATGTGTATTTTCATTTTCCGTATTTTCACTTTAAAAAGATTATTTTCACTGCAGTGAAACATATTTTCCGTATTTTACTGGTGTCTTGCCAGATTATTTTCTTCTAAATTCAGCCAAAGCACAAAATTTAAGGGGAAATCTTTCAAATTGTAATATCAACTTTATTTTTTATATTTACCGCTGCACTTGATTTGTAAATAGTTATTAGACCTATAATGTTATGACAATTCTACACGTTTGTCTGCAAATAGTTTGTAGTTAATTGATATTGTTTGATATGAAGGTATAACCACATGCCACATAATTGATTATTAGAATTCTATTTCAAAGACCCTGGTCTGCTGCAATATTGCATAGTTAACACTTAACCAGACATATTTCTTCCATTTTAATTTTTCCCCTAAAATCATTTCAAGATTTTAGATTTTATTCAATACTAGTATGGTTCATCAGAAAATGTGACATAAAATACAAAATTGTGAATAAACATGTAACAACCGGAACACAGAAAAATATACACAAAACAGGAAAATGAGTGACAATTATAAATATTATACCGTAAAATAAAATAAAGATATGACTAGATTCTTAATAACAACCGAAATTTATGCTTCATTAACATTTTTTTCTGGGAGACTAATGATACAACATTATACTTGATTATTATATATGTGCATGTTGTAATTATTTCTTTACAAAATAGAGAAAAACAGAATCCCTTTAGAAAGCCCAACACGACAAAATTGAAAATGTTGCAGGCTCGGTTTGATTGAGCCTATTCATGGACGGTACTGGAAAGTGCAAGTTACAGTCGTGAAATTCGTCAACCAGTTGGTTTGGCTCACATAAAGTACAAATTAATACGTATACGTTTCTCTCTATATTTAGGAATCTATACCTTTCTCTGTTGGCATTTGCGATAAATTGAAATTCACAATCAATTAAAATCTAAATACACCCCCAACTTAATTATTTTGAAAGTACAACCCTACTAGGTTTCCGTTTCCGGTAGTAAACAAGATGGCAGCCCACAAATTTTGCTGGGCGTAAACAAACAAATATTGTGAACTTGTGCTGAAACTTGAAGGCTACAACTCTTTTAACACATCTTAAAGTGGTAAGGTTATAAAGAAGTGAAAAATAGAATATGGCTGAACGCTCAAAATACACGATATCTACCCAAAATATGTATGAATTGCTCGACCACGAGGGCCATGCACGTAATTCACGGACTCAGTTATCCGAAATTCAAGATTATTGTGATAGCCAAGATGACCACTGGCGTTTCCAACGAAATAAACATTCAAAAAGGGCTAGAATAAGTAGTTCAGATGTTCCTCTTGACGAATTCAATACCCTAAGCATCGATGATAAACTTTCCGTCATGTATTCTGATGTTAGAAAAGTGTCCGAAATTGAGGCCAAGCTTGACATGTGTATGAATCTAAGTCCCCGTTTAGAGCAGGCTGAAACATTATTGACTGATCATGAAAAAAGGCTTAAGTTTCTTGAATATAAGTCCTTAGAGCTAGATACCAAAAGTAGAAGATGTAACCTAATATTTGAAGGTTTTGCAGAACGCAAGGCAGAGAACTGTGCTGAACGGGTGCAAAACTTCTTAAAGGATTATCTCAATTTCGACTGGCCTATCTCTATTGAACGTGCATATCGGCTAGGAGCATTTCAACGTGGGAAAACGCGCGCAATTATAGTTACATTTGCGAATTTTTCGGATGTTCAAGAAATACTACGTAACGCATACTTGTTGCAGGGGCATGGGTATAGCATTAACAAGGATTTACCACGGGCTATCGCTTTAGCTAGCAAAGATCTCTGGTCGACTTATAAAAACCTACGTAGAACATTTCAAGATAGTAAAGTTATCCTAGCATTCCCGGCGAAAATCATTTAAGACGGTGAAATTGTTATAGACAGATTCCCTGATTGGGACCAAGTAATGAACCCACCAGTTGTAAAATCAGCTGATCGTAGTAAAACAGCTGACCGTAGTAAACAAATCTATCAAACGTGAATGAATCGCGTAGTGATACACAGCGCAGTAACGTACGGCCAGATAATTCGACCAATCAGAGCGAGCCAATGGACCACGAGGTGATTCATTCGCAACCACGTGACCAACAGCTATATACTGCCCAGCGTACCGACTCACCTGAACGAAGGGGGCGTCTCACACGTGCGAATTCCGCTTCTCCAAGACGTCCAGCCACATACAGTCATGTTTCGAGCCCACTAACTAGCCGCGCCAGTACACCAGAACCGAACCTACGTAGCAACATATCGCGTCCATGGGACAATGATTCAAAGGACAAAAATAAAAAATCATTACTAAATGAAACTAACTCGCATACCGATGGTAAAAAAATAGGACATTCGGGGGAATTCTTTTCCAAAATATAACAAAAATGAAATAAAATGTGTTTCTCTTAATGTGAATGGTTTAAAAAAAACGCCTTCAATATCCGGACTTTGTCGATTTTATTAACTTGCATGATTTTGTATGTATATACAAGAAACTCATATGGATGCTTCTGATATTGTTGACATTGAAAATTTTTGTATATTTTTCAAAATGTCGTAGTCAAGCTTATTTTGAGAAAATCAGGGGGTATCGGACTATATGTTAAAGAATCCTTAAGTCAATTTGTAAAACCTATAGAAAATGATACTGACTATATTTTTGGGTTTTCCTTGGATAAACATATGTTTAAGCTAAGTGAGCATGTCATACTAGGTATAATATATTTACCGCCAGAAGTTCAAGATTTTTTAACGATTTAGACTACAGTACTTTTGAAAATGAAATTATTTCAAAGTATAGTTCTAATAAATATGTCCTCTTAGCTGGCGATCTGAACTCACGTATTGCAGAATTATCTGATTTCATCCCATCTGATTCTTTCTTAAATGATCATTTTAACATTGACGACGAATCGGTGTCTTTCTTTGATAAATATAAAGTATTAGAGGAATTATCAATTCCTCTACGTAGATTGTCAAGTGACAAAAGAATGAATAATCATGGCATTCAACTGATCGAACTCTGTAGGAGCAATAACATTTTTGTTGTTAATGGTAGATTTGAAACTGATAGGCCGCAAATTTAACTTTCAGGGATAAATCAATTATTGACTATCTCATGGCGAGTGTTGATGCATTTAAAACTTATATCTGACTTTAAAGTTATAGAAACAGACTCGCTTTTTTCCGATGGACACAACGCGTTATATTGGACATTAAGTAACTTTGACACTAATTTTGACAAATCATATAAGAATGAAAATAAATCGCAAACTAAATCAAAACCGAAATGGCGAGAAGAGCAAAGCGACAACTTTGTAACAAATATTGACACTAATCATTTATCATACATACAACAGCTGTGTAACTCAACTAGTGCTCAGAATGTAAATGGAAATATAGAACTTATAACAACAGAACTTCAATTACTGTTTGAAAATTCATCAACCAAAACATTTCCACCATTGACTCGTAAAACATACCATAAGAATAACAAGAATAAGCCTTGGTTTGGACCGAAATGCCACAAAGCACGAAAAAAATTATCACGATGCTAAAATTAGATATAACTTAAATAAAACAGACGATAATAAGTTGCGCTTAAAAAATAGCAGCAAGCAATATAAAAGAACAATGAACTATTACATAAACAAATTTAAACATGATAACTCATACAAGCTAAGAAAAATGCAAACCAAAAACACAAAAACAATACTGGAATTTTTCTAAAATCTATTAATCCAAAATCAGGTAGTAAGCCATCTCCCTCTATCAACGAGTTTTACGAGTACTTTAAAAATGTAAATAGTAATCCACATAATGATACACATATTAATTTAGATCAAACATTTATAGATAATTCAAATGTCTATTTAAATAAAGTCATAACGCAGGAAGAAATTCTAATTTGTATCAACAAATTAAATAATGGCAAGGCCTCGAGTCCTTCTGACAGTATAACAAATGAATATATTAAGAGTACAAAATCTATTCTTTTTACCCATCTATGAACGTCTTTTTTTAACATAATTCTTGATTACGGACATTTACCGCCTGTTTGGCTGGAAGGCTGGATATATCCAATTTATAAAAATATAGGAGAATCGAAAAGCACTAATTCTTACAGACCAATAACAATATTATCATGTCTTGGTAAATTATTCACTGCTGTCCTAAATTCAAGGCTTAACAATTATATGGAAGAATTCAATCTTCTAAATGAAGCACAAGCAGGTTTTAGAAATGGCTACTCTTGCTCGGACCACTTATTTACATTGCATACATTAATTGAAATTTTAAAGAAGCGTAAACAAAAACTATTCTGCGGATTTATTGATTTCTCTAAATGTTTTGATACTATCTGGCGTTTTGGGCTATGGCGTAAATTACTTCAATATTTTATTAATGGTAAAGTTTTTCAAGTTATTTTCAATATGTACAATAATATCAAGTCCTGCGTTGTACATTTAGGAGAAACATCTCAATTTTTTACTTCAGAAATAGGGGTCCGCCAGGGGGAAAATTTGAGCCCGATACTTTTTTCCATTTATCTAAACGACCTTGAATCTTATCTTATATCAAATGGAGCTTTGGAGTAAATCTAACTGATACTATAACTAATGAAACATGGCTTAAACTATTACTCTTATTATACGCAGACGACACAATTATAATGTCAGAATCAGCTGACGACTTTCAAAAATGCTTATCTTCATTTAATTCATATTGTAATGAATGGAAACTAAAAGTTAATGCTGAGAAAACCAAAATAGTTGTTTTCGGAAGTAGAAATGCAAAGAATAGATATAATTTTACTCTAGGTAACCAGGCCATAGCTATTGAAGACTGTTATCATTATCTTGGAGTAACCTTTACCAGTAACGGCTCTTTTCTAAATGCAAGGAAACATGTGACCCAACAAGCAAATAAAGCCCTAAATCTGCTATATTCACGCTGCAATAATGCAGACTTACCAAATCGATCTTACACTTAAACTTTTTGATCATACTGTAATGCCTATCTTAACCTACGGATCTGAAATATTTGGCTTTGAGAACTTAGAACTTCTTTGAAAAAATCCATAACACATTTCTTAGAAGAATAACCTGTGCTAGGAAAAGCACTCCAAAATATATGCTTTTTGGTGAATTAGGCAGATACCCTGTCGAAATCATAGTCAAGACTAGGATGATATCTTTCTGGGTTATACTTTTACTTGGAAAGCAAAGTAAACTTTCATATATCCTATACCAATTTATGTTAAATCATTCAGACCAAAATTATAAGTGGATAAATAAAATTAAAGATATTTTAAACTCTGTTGACAGGACTGACTTATGGATTAATCAAAATACAGCCGTAAATAAAAGTATTCCATATCGCATTAAACTCACCTTAATTGATCAATATAAACAAATATGGCACGATCAAATGCAATCATCAAATAAAGGCCGCATATACAATGGCTTTAAAAAGTCGCTTACTTATGAAAACTATCTAAATTTAATCCCGCGCAATGACTACATTACCCTTTTCAAATTTAGAACATGTAATACAAGACTCCCATCAGAGACCGGGCGCTATGATGGTACCGCTTTCTTAGATAGAACCTGTCCTCTGTGTACAAGTGGCTCCCCAGGCACAGAAAGACATTACATCTTTAACTGTAGCTATTTTAACAATCAACGCAGCATGTATTTTAATAACGTTCACTTAGTTGATAACGAAAACAGTTTTGAAAGCTTAATAAATTCAACAAATGTGCCCAAACTGTTGAATCTTTGTAAATTTATCCGTATAGTCTTGGCAAAATTTTAATTATATATAGCATCCAACATGTTTATGATAATAGTTTTACAGACTTACCCTTTTTCTCGCCAAAATAATCCATAAAGATACTTCTGCAATACTTGAATACATATATACTCAGTGTGAGAACTTTCTCATATTGAGCGCGCGCATATCTATTTATATCTTTCGCCAATTATAAATTATCCGTTATAATGCTACCTGATTGAATTTTACCCGAAACAGCGTAATTAAATTACAAACTTATCGCTTCAAAACTCTTTCAAAAATATACTTATTTTATTTATTTTGTTTATTATTATTATTATTATTATTATTATTATTATTATTATTACTATTTTCCAATAATGGTAATAATAACAATAATAATAAATACACCAAGGTCAAGATCTATATTGAAGCGTGACATACAGTAATCAAGGGAGAATCTCAAAATTATATTTGAACGTAAAGTTTTATTTATAACTTGATTGAATCTCTTAGTACATTCTTTTTTATATGTCTGTTTTTTTGTTTTTGTTTTTATTAATATTTCTTGTTTTTCTTATCAAGATGAACTGTTAAATTATCTAGAATTAAGAATATCCGAATCCCCCCCCCCCCACCAGAAAACACACTGTAATAATTCACTTCACCATATTGTTTACATTATAGGAAAAAAAATATATTATGCAAAATTATGTATGTTTACTGCTGGAAAACTAATGTATTATATATGTGTTATATTAGAAAATCCTCATATTGTACAAATGTGCTTGAGTGAATAAAGATATCTGTCTGTCTGTCTGTCTGTCTGACTTAATCATCAGGTCCTACAAGCTGAAAATTTGACATTTATAAAAGATGCCGCCGTGACAAAGGTGCACATTTCCAGATAGTAATTATAACATTACAAGTGTTATAAACAATAAACACCCGTGCCAAACACGTGCATGATAGTTTAAACATTTGCTTAAGAATGGACATTACTGTTACCAAGTTTGGACTTGATAAAACTTTTCTTATTGATATTTAAATTTCTTTATGGTATTTAAATATCCTTTCCGTTGTTCAAATTGAATAGGTCAACCAGTCTGTCGTACGGTTAATTCGGAATGTGTCAGTGTTTTCCGTTCAGCATGACCTCCACAGAACTTTTATGAAAAACCCATTTTATCCGACACTTTCTACATCTATTTGTACATATGAAACATTTTGACGTAGAAGGAACTTTATCGCAATGTTGAAAATTTTGTTTGGAAGCTTTGGGTAAACAGCGTGATAAATTTCGTCATCCTTCACATTTGGTGAAAACCCACTAGTCCTAACGGTGCATAGAAAAACCGGAAAGCACCGGATAGCACCGAAATACCGGAAAGCACTCAAATTTCTCATAAAAACATATGAAAGCTTTATTTTATCGGTTTGAAAGTGTTACCAATCGATTTATTAGATCAAAATCTGGCAGACAAGTCATTTTCATAAATATATATTGATATTTATTACGAGTATTTAGGAAAATAGATGTATCGATTGCTTTCCGGTCCTGCTAAGATACATGTACATTACCGAATAGCAATATTGTTTGTCAAAGTTATACATGAAAACATTATTTTATTGGTTTGAAAGCGTTACCAATCGATTTATTATATCAAATTCTTTCAGACAACATGTTTTTATAATTATAATATGATTATTATTACGAGTATTTAGGAAAATAGATATATCGAGTGCTTTCCGGTCCTGCTAAGATACATGTACATTACCGAATAGCAATATTGTTTGTCAAAGTTATACATGAAAACATTATTTTATTGGTTTGAAAGCGTTACCAATCGATTTATTATATCAAATTCTTTCAGACAACATGTTTTTATAATTATAATATGATTATTATTACGAGTATTTAGGAAAATAGATGTATCGAGTGCTTTCCGGTCCTGCTAAGTTACATGTACATTACCGAATAGCAATATTGTTTATCAAAGTAATACATGAAAACTTTATTTTATTGGTTTGAAAGTGTTACAAATCGATTTATTAGATCAAAATCTTTCAGACAACATGTTTTTATAAATATATATTGATAATTATTACGAGTATTTAGGAATATAGATATATCGAGTGCTTTCCGGTCCTGCTAAGATACGTGTACATTATCGAATAGCAATATTGTTTATCCAAGTGAAAACTGTATTTTTTTTTAGTTTGAAAGTGTTTTCAATCTATTTATTAGGTGAAGATCTGTATATCATGACGTTTTTATAAATATTTTATGTTTAATAACGCGATTTTCAAAGTGTTAGAAATTGATTTATTAAAGTGAACTTATTTTATTCATGTATAATATTATGATTAGTTACACGATTTTTCAATCTTGCTCATACCATATATCATTGTATCATATTCTAATATTTTATAGGTTGTGTGAAAGACAGAAAGATGATGTGTAAAAAGTACAAAGAAGTTGTTCAAAGCATTGATCCATATTTATTATTATTATATTGTTATATTATGTGAAATAAAGAAAAACTTAAAATTTTTCGTTCAGTTATGTCTTTATTTTGACCATATTATGTGTACCGAAAAGCAATGTGGTCATCAGTGGAGGACAGTAGTTGTTGTATTGTTTATCACACGTGCTAATCCATGCTGATTTAAGACCTTGTTTATTGTAGCACCTAAAGGTGATGATTTAATCAAATTGTATACAATTATGATAATCGAATGTACCGACCTGCACATCAAAGTTGCATTAATCCGACACTGTCCTTTACATGCACACTAAATTAGATAATTAGAAATTGCAATTAATTACACACTCTTTTGATATAAAAACTAATTTTTTTTAATGAAGAATTAAATTTACGGCACTCATAACGGATATATACGGAATCTCTTAGAACTTAATATCAAGGTCTTATTAAAATTTACTCTTATTTGAATAAAATTGTATATAAACCTCAACAAAATTAATCCATTACCATATTTTTTCTGTAAATGCCAGCAGTGCTATTAAATCTAAATTGGAATATCTCTTAAATAAAATATCAAAAATCATGACAATCGTTAAGACTTATCATATATGAATATAGAAATTTATAATCAACCTTATTTTTAAATGTAATCTGAAAAAGAAGAAGACATATCTGTTGATGTATTCTATATTTGAACCCATTCCATTACTTACTTACGTAATTTATGCGCGGAACCTGAAAATCAAATGGCACATATAAAAGAATATATTTTAAATATGTAAAAAGCTTTATTGATAAACAAATTGACAATATAAATCTGGATTTCTTTCGTAATATATGTTGGGCCCTTAAAAGGGCCGTTTTTATCAACAATACGTTTTATGTTTTTAAGCTACACAAAACTCTGCGTAGTTTGCACTGATATTTGTGCATGCCGTTGTTTCTCGGTGTTTTACCCTCTAGATGCACGAGATCTCGCGCATAGTTCTCCAGGAAATTTTATGTTAGGAAATCTCAAGAAATTGTTTTTGAAAGTTTTTGCCAAAAGCTTATTTATTTGTACCCGTCAAAACATTTTTTGGTTAGCCCCGGACACTTGGAAAAATCACCACGTTACGGTCACATGCTACAAAGGCTATAGTCTAGCCCATACTCGAACTGAAATGGATTTACCATAATATAATATGCATTGATATTGATATTAAATAAAAAAAATCTAGGGGTCTGCCTATGTACATATATTGTAGTTTTTTGTGTATATAATATAGAGATAGTTATTTGTTGATTTTGTTTCGAACACATCACTGTTTGTAGAATATTATTAAATTTTAAGTTTAATTGACATCTCAATATCATAATATCTCAATCAGTTAAATATATCCAGCTATTGTGTAAATAAATTAACACCTGTATAAATGTGATAATTTAATCAGATTGGTAATCAGCGTGTGTCCGTGGAATAAACAAGGCGTGAAGAGTGCCTTGATTGATGTCAATATCATATTTCGTCACCTTGGAGCAAAAAGTAATGTAACTGACATTTTTTGAGAAAATCACTTTTTGTCATTATTTGGTTAGAAATACAAACTTTCACCAGTCTCTGAAGTTTAGAAGCTGAATTTTGATAAAAAATGACTTTTTTGGCATAAAAATAAAAAATGTAAGTGCAGCTTCAGAATTTGTTGGTGCAAAAACTACAGTAAGTACACTTACATGAGTTTTTGCGCCAATGTTTACACAGATAAGTTGAAAATAATTTGATGCAAAAAGTATTGTAACTGCATTAAAATATTTCACTAATGCATTATTAAATAGCAAAATTATTTCTAAAATACAAATTTTATATATAAATCGACTTAAACAAACTAACATTTAAAGAAAATGTTTTATTTTAATTCAACAACAAATAATATAGCCAAGAATATTTCAGTATTCAAATTTTGTTGATATTTTTAAATGATTCAAGTAATAAGAGCTGTCATTGATTCGGTGGAAAACAAATTTAAGATGAAATTTTTTTAAAGATACACAGATATATTGATAATTACGTACTACTTGTCTCTTAATTCTTTTCCATTATAAATTGTTTAAATGCTTTCAGTAAAAACATGGTCTTTTCATAAATGTGTCCAGAGTAGTGTTTCAAACAAATGCCCGTTACATGATTTTTGCTAACAATTTTTTATCATCACTGCCATGAAATATGCTTCTGCATCATTATGTTTTGGTTGAATTTTCATAATTTCTAGACATTCAATTATTAAATCAAAATTATCGATTTTCTAAAATGTGTACTGATCAACAAAAAATTATCAACGATGCACATCAATATCATTTCTATGGACGACAGCTCTAAGTATTTTTTTTTTAATTGTTTACTCAATTATTTATTATAAAGATAAAACTTGCTTAAAAGATTTACATTCTTATTGCATTATATAAGGACAACAGTCAACTGCATTATAAAAATGTAACTGCAATTTCACTGTTTATAGCCCTGGAAAGAAACAGTTGCTAACATTGGTTTATCTTTTCTATTTTAATTTCTATAAAAACATGGCAGACAAAGACATGTAATCTGTTTCAATAATATATTGGTCAAAACCATAATTGCTAGTAATTGTTAAGTCTAATGTGGTGCATCTACAACTCCCATACATTCATACATATAGAACGGGGTCTATTATCAAAATTAGAATGACTTCATTCTCTATGTGGGGCATGTAAAACACTTTAATTAACAGAAAATCTCAATTTTCAAAGACCCAAAAAATAGATAAATACAGAATCCCTAAAGAAAGCCCAACACGGCAAAATTGAAAATGTTGCAGGCTCGGTTTGATTGAGCCTGTTCATGGACGGTACTGGAAAGTGTAAGTTACCGTCCACGCCCCCTAGCACCGGCTTAAGCAGAATTCAACATTTAAACGCGAAATAGTAAAATTTTGAATTAAGAAACATCCGCAGATGTGTTCATACGGCGGTTATCATGGCACCTTCAATGTGACACTTCCATGCCATTCCATGAAAAGCGTCGTATGGTCCCCAAGTAATAAAAAGCGTGTGCCCTAAATGAGAAAACAATGGGCGGAACTAAATAAAATGGAATTTTCCAAACCACATTATGTCACAGAAATTAATCTGAATTTTTATATAAAATCATAGCTATTAAACCATGATAGTGATATGGCGTATAATGTTTAAAGTTTGGTGGCAGGAAATAAGACAATTTGAATTCAAAATATCAAAATTTTGAAAAGAAGAAGTAATGAAAACAAAATTATATATAAAAATTAAAGTCTGTTCATGAGATATAATATAAAAGGATCTCACAGGGATATGTTGGACAAGAAAAGTTTAGGATTCTTAGCAGGTTCATCCAAAATCTCGACTAGTAACATCCAACCAAAATGTTCAGAAAAGTTCAAGATTACAAGTGGTTTTATCCAAAATCTCAAAGTCTATGTCCCTGTGATGGTTGGATATTATTGAGACATAGATATTATGATATATAGATCTCCAAATGCCCCTTTTTATAACAAATACATAAATAAACTGTACCATTAGAAAATGACAACAGTAAAAAACATGGTTAATAAGTTGTCACGTACTTCACTTCAGTGTTGTTATGTTTTTTCTAATTCTCTGTAATCATTGATTCCAGTACTTTTAAGTGTTGAAAATTGAGTACAGCTTAAGTCGGTGCTAGGGTTCGTGAGATATGTTGCACTTTTTCATTATTGCTCATGTACAGACTTAATCAGCCGTTTCTGCAGTTTTCATGTAATTTTGTTGTGATTAATGCTTACGTTTACTTTGAAAGTAAAACAATAAGACTTCATTGGACTTACTGTTACTGTATAAAATTAACTTTAAAATGTTCGGTTTTATGTTTAATGCATTAAATGTGGTTCATAATCCACAATAACCCATTTTAAACAAACCTTTCAATAAATTTGTTTATAATAAACATCTTTCAATGTCTATGCAATGCAGTAACTTCGATACTTAAAATTAGAGTTAGTGCAAAAACTATGGTAAGTGCACTTACATCACTTTTTGCATTTAAAATCACAGTGCAAAAAGTCATGTAAGTGTAGAAGAATGTCTAATTACTTTTTATCCATAAATGAATAATTGTAATGTTTAAAACCAATTTAATAATACTTATTAATGATATTTTAACATTATTGTCTGGCATTAAAAGGGTTTACTCAAAATGAACAAATCAGTTTTTTGTGTCTCCTGTAAAATTTCAAAAATGTCAGTTACAGTACTTTTTGCGCCAAGGTGACGATTTATTTTTCAATTATGTATGTATATATGTTTGCTAAGTTCTGTTTTATATCTGTTTATTTTGTTCTTAGTAATTAGTTTCGTTAATTTTCTTCTCTTCATGCGATTTTGAATCCTCTTGTCCTCCACATAGCCTACAACAAATGAACATATATAAATATATTAGACAAGGTATATATATATACATTTTAAATAATCATAGAATTTAGAATAAAACATGAAATCATACTATATCATACCTAATAAATCGATTGGTAACATTTACAATACAACAAAACAAAGATCTTATGTGATTGTCTGAGAAATTATATTGCTATTCGGTAAAGTATATGTAACTTCACAGGACCGGAAAGCACTCGATATATCTATTTTCTTAAATAATCGTAATAATAATCATATTATAATTATAAAAACATGTTGTCTGAAAGATTTTGACCTAATAAATCGATTGAAACACTTTCAAACTAAAAAAATAAAGTTTTCATGTATTACTTTGATAAACTATATTGCTATTCGGTAAAGTACATGTACCTTAGCAGGACCGGAAAGCACTCGATATATCTATTTTCTTAAATAATCGTAATAATAATCATATTATAATTATAAAAACATGTTGTCTGAAAGATTTTGACCTAATAAATCGATTGAAAACACTTTCAAACCAATAACATAATGTTTTCATGTATAACTTTGATAAACAATATTGCTATTCGGTAATGTACATGTATCTTAGCAGGACCGGAAAGCACTCGATATATCTATTTTCTTAAATAATCGTAATAATAATCATATTATAATTATAAAAACATGTTGTCTGAAAGATTTTGACCTAATAAATCGATTGAAACACTTTCAAACTAAAAAAATAAAGTTTTCATGTATTACTTTGATAAACTATATTGCTATTCGGTAAAGTACATGTACCTTAGCAGGACCGGAAAGCACTCGATATATCTATTTTCTTAAATAATCGTAATAATAATCATATTATAATTATAAAAACATGTTGTCTGAAAGATTTTGACCTAATAAATCGATTGGTAACACTTTCAAACCAATAAAATAATGTTTTCATGTATAACTTTGATAAACAATATTGCTATTCGGTAATGTACATGTATCTTAGCAGGACCGGAAAGCACTCGATATATATCTATTTTCTTAAATAATCGTAATAATAATCATATTATAATTAAAAAAACATGTCTGAAAGAATTTGATATAATAAATCGATTGGTAACACTTTCAAACCAATAAAATAATGTTTTCATGTATAACTTTGACAAACAATATTGCTATTCGGTAATGTACATGTATCTTAGCAGGACCGGAAAGCAATCGATATATCTATTTTCCTAAATACTCGTAATAAATATCAATAAATATTTATAAAAATGACTTGTCTGCCAGATTTTGATCTAATTAATCGATTGGTAGCACTTTCAAACCGATAAAATAAAGCTTTCATATGTTTTTATGAGAAATTTGAGTGCTTTCCGGTATTTCGGTGCTATCCGGTGCTTTCCGGTTTTTCTATGCACCCCTAGTCCTAATTATAAGACCTATACGTAACCTATTTCATATTTATCATTCATTAATCTGATATTTTACATTTTTCATTTTCCATGTTACGTTAGGTCTTAACAGATCTTTGCAAAATCGTGTAGCAAAAAAATTGACATTAGACATCGATTTAGATCTAATGAATTTAAACAATTAAAACAGCGTGTATTCACATTAATTTTGACCTATTTATGAACAAAAACTAAAAAATAAATACCTTTTAACAAAATAATTGAACTGTCACATCCGAAAAGTCATGATTAAATCCTCTCATTTAATTAAATTCCTTGTACAGCCAATATACAAATGGCCGCCATACAGTGCGCGAAATCTGATTGGCTAATTCAAATGCAAGCGTTTAAATGAGTCCAGAAGTTTCTAACGGAATATTTTTCAACGAAATAATTGCCCATGCACCGTCAGTGTGTTCGAATATATTTTTCCGTTCAAAAAATTGGAATCAATCTGTAAAACGCTTATACTTAACCAGTATGGCCGATGAGCGAAATAGACTGATATGTATATTTTATTTTTAATTGATAAGTACATTGTTTGAAAGTTTTTGTTAATGATAGACCATGCATTTGAAAGAACAAAAGATAAGCTGTTGAATAAAGCTTGAAAGGCAAGTCAACAGACATTTTTTTAAATTTTCAAAATGCTACGCGTTTTTGAGCAATAACTATTAGACGTCAGGCTTGACCAACATAAAACTATAACAAGCCTGTAACGTCTAATCTATTGGACTAAAAACCCACCAGCCCACTCACTAACAAAGTTTGCACTCTTACCCTATGCTACGACCGGATGTAAACAATACGTTCGCACAGGGCATGCGCGGTGGTTAAATCCCACCCATTTTATTCGATAAAATTCTAAAACAACCTCTACTTTCGGTTTCAATTTTGCTGACAAGGAACAGTTTGAGTCAAATTAAGTGTTAATTTTAATGGCAATGTTCAAAACTTTGCACTACACGGCGTAATTTTCATTACATATCCAGTATTATCACCGTCATAGTAGTTTTATTCCAGTCGGTCAAAATGACGGTACACATTTACATGTAAACAAACAGATTTAACTTCTCAGACAATTTAAATAAGGAATGGACACACGGTAAACTCTGTTGCAACGTAAAGTATATTCATAAACCTGTTTGAGAAAAATTGTCTCCGTGTTCAAATAAATTTCAAAAACGGGTAAAAAAGCAGTCTTTTACCGATACCCTGCAACAAAACCTTATTATTCTGACAAATTAAATTGACTTTATAAAGCTCGTATACAATTATTTATTGATCGATTTTCATTATATTTATTTTGTAATACCTATCATTCAATATGCAATCAAACAAAACCAAGTTTTCCTACATTCAATGAAATTGTAAGTGAGGACGAGCTTTCGAAACGAACAGGTAGCAATTTCCAACACGCTTACCGAAACTCCAACATGGCGGCTCAATCTGGCTCATTTGCATAATTTATTCGTAAACGCAGGAGCATAGAACTTTGTTAGTGCCACTGTCACTGCCACTGGTTGTGAAACTACAGTGTTACATTAGTTAAAATCCAAATAAAGTATAATTTATAATGCAATCCCAACACATCCCCAAGGTAGCGCGAAAGCTCAGTTGGTTAGGCCACTGGCTGTCACTCCTGAGGTCCCGGGTTCGATTCTGGGCTTTGGATTTTTCAGAGACACTTTCGGTGTTTTCCAGCTAACTAGAGGGGTACTGGTAAGAAATCCAGGTAATGATCCTCGCATGTGTCGGTGCAATACACTGGGCATGTTAAAGAACCAAGGGGTCTTTTCAATAAGAGCTAGGGACTGGTTCCCGGATTCCTTAGTATCTCATATAGCTGTCTCTAAAGTGACTGATTTAGAGTCATGTCTATGTCCCCGCGAGGGGTTTGGCATTAATGGAAGGTAGGTAGGTGGGTAGGTGGGGTAGGTAGGTTACTTAGGTTAGGTAGGTTAGGTTAGGTAGTTAGGTAGGGTAGGTAGGTAGGTTAGGTAGGGTTAAACGTTAATAAGCTTATTGATTATGATATGTAAGATAAGTGTATGTGCTGGGACTGACAAATATGCAATTTATTTGGATTTTAAAAGGTTTCAAACTTTGGAAATTGGAGCTCCATACCACAAGTGAAAACTGCCAATGGAATGAACGTATAAATAAACAAATAATGATATTCACATGCTCAAATATAATTAAATAAACAGTGTTTTTATTCAGGAAGTAGTATTTATATACAAATAAATTTCAATACAACATTACAGGAATATCTCTGTTATTTGATGAACAACTATACTTGAAAACATTCCATGATCTTATCATATTTAACTGCTATTTATTTTTGTTGGATTAGCCTGGGACACTATTTAATGGGACAAGCAAAGTTTGAACAGCGCACATTCAGGCATGATTTCCTTTTACATTTCAGACCAAATTGCCAGTATTGCGTTAGAAGATTAGGAAATGTTGTACAACAAGGAGAGGGTGCAAAAACAATAACATTATGTAGACGGAATTTAACTAACTCATCTAATGCCAAAAGTGGCAAGAAAAATATCTTAATATTGCAACATACTATTAGAGCGCAAGGATGTTTGAAAAATCTTCATGTCGGCACTCAAAAGGTAGAACGACCACTGTTACGGGTAATCCTCGGTCCACAGATAGTCCTGTGTACCCAACAAGTGCGGCATATGGGCGGCTTTTCAAGATTCATGGGAAGCGTTGGTCGATTCCTGCGTGTCAGATATTTAATCTTTACTGGTGCAATAGGTGGAGGGTTGGCAGCCAACCAGGTTGGTGAAAAAATGGAATATTTTCAGTTTTGATATAATTTTGTTTGAATATATACAATGTACCTTTACTATCATAACCATGTGTCACATTTTGCTCTATTCAGTTTTTAGCTCACCTGTCACAAAGTGACAGGGTGAGCTTTTGTGATCGCTTTTCGTCCGGCGTCCATCCGTCCGTCGTCCGTCCGTCGTCCGTCCGTCCGTAAACTTTTACTTTAAATGACATCTCCTCATAAACCACTAAGCCAATTTCATCCAAACTTCACAGGAATGTTCCTTTGGTGGTCACCTTTAAAAATTGTTCAAAGAATTTAATTCCATGCAGAACTCTTGTTGCCATGGCAACCGAAAGAAAAACTTTAAATATCTTCTTCTTTAAAACCCAAAGAGCTAGAGCTTAGATATTTGGCATGAAACATCTTCTAGTGAGTGTCTACCAAGTTTGTTCAAATAAAAGCCCTTGGGTCAAAATTGGCCCCGCCCCATGGGGGTAATTGATTTTCCCTATATGCATATAGTAAAAACTTAAAAAAAATCTTCTTTTAAAGAACCCAAAGAGCTAGAGCTAAGATATTTAGCATGAAACATGTTCTAATGGGTGTCTACCAAGTTTGTTCAAATAAAAGCCCTGGGGTGAAAATTGGCCCCGCCCCGGGGGTCATTGATTTTCCCTATATGCATATAGTAAAAACTTAAAAAATCTTCTTTTAAAGAACTCAAAGAGCTAGAGCTTAGATATTTAGCATGAAACATCTTCTAGTGAGTGTCTACCAAGTTTGTTCAAATAAAAGCCCTGGGGTCAAAATTGGCCCCGCCCCGGGGGGTCATTGATTTTCCCTATATGCATATAGTAAAAACTTAAAAAATCTTCTTTTAAAGAACCCAAAGAGCTAGAGCTAAGATATTTAGCATGAAACATGTTCTAATGGGTGTCTACCAAGTTTTGTTCAAATAAAAGCCCTAGGGTGAAAATTGGCCCCGCCCCGGGGGTCATTGATTTTCCCTATATGCATATAGTAAAAACTTAAAAATCTTCTTTTAAAGAACTCAAAGAGCTAGAGCTTAGATATTTGGCATGAAACATCTTCTAGTGTGTGTCTACCAAGTTTGTTCAAATAAAAGCCCTGGGGTGAAAATTGGCCCCGCCCCGGGGGGTCATTGATTTTCCCTATATGCATATAGTAAAAACTTAAAAAATCTTCTTTTAAAGAACTCAAAGAGCTATGGCTAAGATATTGAGCATCAAACATGTTCTAATAGGTGTCTACCAAGTTTGTTCAAAATACAAGCCCAGGGGTCAAAATTGGCCCCGCCCCGGGGGTCATTGATTTTCTTTATATGTGTTTAGCAAAAAACTTTAAATCTTTCTTTGAAAAAACCCAAATAGCTAGAGTTTTAGATATTAAGCATGAAACATCTTCTAGTAAGTGTCTACAAAGTTTGTTCAAATAAAAGCCCTGGGGTCAAAACTGGCCCTGCCCCAGGGGTGTCATTGTTTTTAACTATATGTGTATAGTAAAAAACTTTAAAAAAATCTTCTTTTAAAAAGCCCAATGAGCTAGAGCTTAAATGTTTAGCATGAAACATCTTCTTATGGGTGTCTACCAAGTTTGTGCAAATAAAAGCTCTTGGGTTAAATTGGCTCTGCAACGTTGGGGGGGGGGGGGCCTATATACAGGTGAGCGACCTCAGGGCCATCATGGCCCTCTTGTTGTATTTACAGTGTTTATTGTGCACTTAATCTCACCAAAATTAATTATAAAACAAAAAAAGCTGATAAGAAGCAAATATGTGATCAAACAATAAGTTTTATAATATTGCATTAGGCTAGATTCATATATGTAGTACAAATGTTTAGAGTTTACCTTCAGTTGCTGAATTTATTTTTGAAACAGATAGTTACCAATTATGAACGTCAAAATGACAGTCTTGAAATAATTGATATAAATGTACAGCCTCACCAAGCTATAAACCCAGCTGAAGATAATGGTGGCAAAGGCTTTGCAGTATTAGATTTCAGCACTATTCAGCATTTATAAACTCAGCTGGCTAAGGCTTTGCGATATCAGACTTCAACATTTATAGAGTTAAATAAATATTTGTCTATTTTTAGACATATGAGTCGTGGAAAGAACGTATACCAGATATAAAGTGGTTGAAGGATTATCTTCCTGAAGCTGATACTTTGGATAAAATGGCTGTGCCATTCACGCAAGTGAGAGCTTTCGTCAACAGAATGCACCTGCCTGAAAAGGTATGTTATTCTTGAAGCGTAATTTCTGGGTGATTTTCGATCTCAGACATTGAGTCTAATGCTCATTTGTCTCTAACCGCTGATTGAGAAATATGGGTGATTAGTAGTCAGTCACTTGGGTAGAAGTTACTTATTAATGGTTAGTTATCCAGGAATGCTGGTTAAGGTGGAAGAACCACTGAGATGACCCAAAATGCTAAAATCAGCATTAAAACGGAACAAACAAACAAAGTTATATTCTTGTATATAGATGGTATATGAGGACCGAGGTTGTTTTTATCATATGTACAATGATCAGAAAAACTTGAAAAGTGTTTTCAGGTTTGCTAAATTATGTTCTCAATTTTCATATGGTCAACACATTTGAGTTTCCAATATAAGAGGTATGGGTTGTTGCTAAAAATAACTTTTAAGTTATAATGTCACTGGTAAGTTTTGTATATTTTTATTTGTCTGGGAGAAAAAGTGTAGCTACATGTATCTCTGCTTCATCTTCAAGCAAATGCTTGAATGAAGCCCATTATTAAAACATTTCAAAAGGCATCAAGATGAAATTTCGAGTACTTGCAGAACATGACAAAGTGCAGCTCTTAGACAAGGGACATTATTCTGAAGGCAATATTTTTTTTTAATTATGCCCCTTTTTATCTTAGAATTATTAACAGACAGGCTTAACACTGAATGCGGTGCTCTTGTTCTTGTAGGGATGGTTGAAAGAGAGGTTTCCACAGATGAAGGGCATGTCTGATTGGGTGTCACAGAACTCTGATGGTATGATTCTTGTTTTACTGAGATATTAGAAATAACTGTCTTTTACACAACATATTATTTCACTATCATTTTGAGAGGTTTAATTCCTCCTTTTTTATGAATCAAAATAGTACATATTTTACATATTACATTTTTGATAAATGTATGTTTTAGTTATTTATAATACTGGAAACGACCTTTTTTCTTTTCTATCAGTAATTTGATGTATGTTTATTGATAAATATTTGATGTATAAGCAATAGAAATAGTTAAACTTGACCTCCAAAATAGAAACACTAAAATTTGATGTCAACAATAGAAGTGCAATCACTACAATGTAGTAAAATTTGACTCAACAATTAAAAAGAATAAAATTTTGATGTTAAATTCTTACTGTTGGGTATTTTGAACGATTGAATGTTTGACATAGGTTTTTCATTAATAATCATTTAAAACCAATTAGCTAAATAAATCACTGAATTTGAAATACAGTACAGCAGGTGATCAAATAATGTTAGATTGCCGAAAAGCTGCATGTCTCCAGATTATATGCAGAAAAAAAAGAAGAATTTTGCAAAAGTTTTTTTTAGAAAAAAATCATTAAAGATGTCAGGGCCAAAACACCATTTTTGGGGAAGGGGCCTCAGCCTTTTTCTTGGGGAAAATATGCGTGATTTTGGCATACTTTGGGAAAAGGGGTCTCAAATTTAACACAAACTTTTAACAAGTTCTTCAAAATAGAGAAGCAAAAAGCACTGGGAAATACTAATAAGGCAGTAAAAGACCTTAATTCAACACCATCATTTAATTTTGTTCTAAATTTTATGGGAAATATCAAAAGACTTGGGAATTTTGAGGACCAAACGGTGGGGGGGGGGGGTGGAAAGAGGCTAGTTTGGTTGGGGAAGCAGCCTTTATTCAGCCTCTACATTGAAGGGTTTGGCCCTGGATGTACTAAGCTCATCCTTCAGTAAAATATTTTAATCACAGAAATTTATTGAAATCTATGAAATTCTTACTGGATATGTCCAATTTATATAAAAGAATGAAAAAATTATGTTTGGGAAGCTGTGTTCCCTATTACAAGTCAAGTAAAGTTATTCATTTCTTAAAAAAAAACTGCCAGTTTTTTTTTTTAATGATACTATATATTAATATTGTGACCACCTATAGTGTGTAGAATTCAAAACATGACTTATCTTCTTTGTGTAAAGTCATAACATGTTCATTTTATGTTTGCAAAGAGACTGTGTAGCAATCAACATTTTCTGATATCAAATTTGGGCATGGTGTATCTTTAATGTTACGTCTTTTCAAAAAAAACACAAACATTGCCAATTCATAAAGTAGGATTAACTTGAGGTCATATGTGCAAATGTGGTGTGAAAAAAAATTGAAATTCTATCGCCAATTCAGATTTCTTGTTACTAAGGCAGTGAAGTTTAAGGCTACTTTTTAGGTACTTCCTGCAGATTGCAAGTGCCTTATGTTAGTTAAAAACTTGAAAATATTTTCTCTAATTTGATAATTTTGTAAATGTTGTATTCATATTGATATAAATCTGGAGGCATGTTGCTTTAATGTTTAGTGGTTTCATTATTGTCATCATATTGTGTATCTTTCCTTCTCTTATCTTTAATCATTGTGATTTAGTTATGGTCTCGAGTGTCAATGGTGCGAGGGTCCTTACAAACTTAACATGTTTTTAGCATATACTGTGCACATATCAATATAATTATAAAGTAATAAGTTTAGTTTATAACTTTATATTAATTTATTTTAGGTCGATTATGTAGGAAGCTATCAGCTTATTAAAACACTTGCGAATCTGTTCTTTGAAACGATCAGTACTAAGCAATAAGTGTAGTTTCTTGCTTGTAGAAACAACGGCTTGCCTCTGACAGGGTTTGAACTCATGCAGTCAACAATCCTTAGTTTACTAGTCTGACACCTCAACCACTTGGCCACTCTGCCAGTCTTATAATTATATAGATTATCAAGGACATATAATTGTAATATTGTGTGATACTATCTGAAGACAACTTAGACTTTTATCCTTTTTTTTTCTCTTTTTTTTCTCTTTTTTTTTCATTTTATGAGCTAAGGCCTTCACACTTGGTTACAATATACCTCTTGACAAGAACTATTATATTTTAGTTAATTCATTTTTAATGCATTAGGGCATTTTTGTGAACAAAAGTCTTTTTTAATAGTAATGCTTCATGATGTATAAGACAGAAAAAACCTCACTTTTGCCCCAACTGTTGGATTTCATATCATCCATGAAAAGCTGCATAATTTTATGTTTTGAAGTACATCGCAAGATGTGTTCCTCTGCTCCAGAAGTATCAATTGGCTTTTAATAACTTGCAAGCTTAAAGCACTTGATGAAAACCGTTTCAGTTTAAAAGTATATTAAGACAAAATATTTTAATGATAACATTTTTAGTTTATACCAAATTTATTTTAGTTTGACTGTGTTGGAAGCTATAATCCTATTGAAACCCTTGAATTCATTCTTTGAACCAACCAGTACTAAGCAATTAATATAAGTTTCTTGCTCTTAGAAACAACCGTTTGACAATGACAAGGTTTCAACCCACATGGGCAACAATCTTTTAGATTACTAGTCCGAGGCATTTAAGCAAATGAGTATGGTATGTTCGGTACAAATGCTAATGCAGCTAAAATGCATTTCAGCTCATTGATTTAATTATTTATTAATTGTGATGACCTCTTGTTTGTATTTTCTTGTCTCTGGACTGAGGGATCATGGAAAGACCTAACTTGGTCACAGCCATGTATTCTCCTATGACACCACATCAGAAATTTTTTGTCCAAATAGTGGAAGCCAGTGTTATTAAAATAATTTCACTGCTTCTTGCGAATGGGCACTATAGATTAATCAGATTTGAATAAAAACTGTTCACGAGTATGTTAAGATTCGTTCATCACAATTTATTCTGACATGTTGCTATGCTTGTATTCCCAGGTAGAGAGTCAATTCCTCATGTGTTAGGCTATCATATACCAGGTTTGTACTTCACAACTTCTCCTCTTTACCAGTTTTGAGTGCAACAGGACAACTTCTTTCGAACAGTTTGTCTAAGTGTATCATTTGCTGCTCTTGCTAGATAGTACACATGTAAAGCATTTCTGATTGGAAAAAAAATGTCCTTGGCACAAAGATAACTTAAGAGTTTTTATTTAGCAATAAGAGGCTTCTCCATGCTTTATAAGATTTTGATACCTGGATATATTTATTCCCATGTTAGAATTGTTCAAATTTACCACTTTATTGTTCTTTTTGAATAATTCTTATTTGTAAGTTGCAAAGAAAGTTCTGTTATATATGATGTGGTATAAGGTATTGAATGAAATTGCACTCATGAAATTATGCACATAAATTAAAACAAGTAAGAGTTATTGCCCTTTGAATTATACATGACCCGTCAAAAGATTTAGTTGCTGAAGACCAAGGTCTGTTTCTTTTTAGGTTTACTAATATCAAAATGTTCTGCTTTATCTTATAAATGTTTACAGATTTATTAATTGCTGTTTATAATTTAAAGTAACATTTATTTTGATACTTAGTATAAGTGATGCTCGGGACCAAAACCATTTTTTTTTCTTTTTTCTGCTGTATTTCATCATGATCACTAAACCTCATATCATACTTTGAAATAAATAAAAAACAGAGATAATCCATGGATTTGATTTTTATTTTATATGAGTAAGAAACATATAGTTACGGTATCGTACAGTAAATTGGACAAAATTTGTATGAAAATGCCATTTTTTTACCGCAAATAAGGATTAGAGAAAAGGAATGTTTCTTAATGTAAGAAAAATAGTATGTTTTTTTAATGTACAAAAAACTAGTACATGTATGTTCATTTTACAATATTTTCTCTTTAAAGGCACATGATGCAAAAACAAAAACAAAAAATATTTCATTCTTTCAAAAGGGAAAATGTGAAATTTATAATGTTTAAATAATAATTTCAGAGCATGTTAGATGCTTTTCAGCTGAAGAAATTAGCACTGAATTAGTAATTATTTGTCATATAAGTAGCGAAGTGTAAACAAAGTAGTATTTTGACTCTCATACAAAATACTAAATCACTTTAACTGTACTACAGGCCAAAAGGCAACAGAAGCAAAGGGTGGTTTAGGTAATTGGTAGCCAATAAGTAACTTTTTGGAAAGTATAACATTAAACCAAAAATAAAAAAGATTTTTGGAAAATAAAATAAAAACATTTCTGTTGCATAATTGGCCTTTGAAAATACTTCAGTAGAAGAGTCAGACTTTTTGATTAAAAACATGTTAAGGATAATGTTCTTTTTGTACATAAAATTCTGTTTTATTATAATAAAACAATATAAAATTCTTGTAAATAAACTAAATTATATATTTATATGTAAAAAAAACATTTTTAAATCTTTCCTTTAAAGAAAATTTCATAGAAAATTTTTAAAATAAGTAAAATTGTATAATTTAAAAAAGTTAAGTAACTTTTTTTTACACATAATTGTAAAATTTTTTAAAATTCTGAAATACCAAGTTTTGCATTCCGGGAAAAAGGGATCAGCCATTTTCAAAAGGGGGGAAGGGAAAAACAGGTTTTACCATAAGTTGAGTTTTTAAATTTTTCCCTTTGCTTTTTTTAGTTTTTTAAAAAGATGAACCTCTTTCAAAAAAATAAATTGTTTTTTTATTTTTTGGGAAATTTTTTCTGTTAATAAGTATTTTCCCTTTTATTTAAAAGGGTTCTTTGGGCCCAATTATTTTTTTCGTTTAAAGTGTCTGTATAGCAGAGTATTTCCATCACTGAAGGACAGACCTGATTGACCAAATACAGTGTATTTTGTATCAACGAACGGCCTGTTAGGCCAATGTTGTCCACATTGAAGGGCCTTTGTGACGAAGTAATTCATGGAAGAACTTTGGGATAACTTGTCTACAAAATGAAATTCGTAGTCAATCATTGTCAGATAAAATGTCAGAATTTAAAGAATTTTTACAATAAATAATTAAAGGCATCAAAGATATTTTTATGATAATTTAGCTACACCTTGATGAGTTCAGTCTAACACGTCTATTTTCAGGTACATGTATCTTATAAATATTTTGTGTTATCCATGAATACTGGGTCAAGGTCACTAAGATTGAGAAAACTCTTGTTGAAAGGGTATCCTTTTATATTTGTCAAATCAACATGCAGGAGTAACTGTAAATATTATGAATAGTTTGGTCTCTGAATTATGTATCTTGATGAACTAAGAATAGGTGATCATTCTACTTGTTATGAATGTAAGAATGTTTTATGTATAAGAATTGGGTATGATGAACTACACTTGGTTTACTTTCAGATGGAAGACAGGGCTAGACAAGACACCATGAATGATGAAATTTTGAAAATGCAGGTACGAAAGATTTCAGATTTTCATATATATGTATATATATATATATATATTATAATAACTAGCAATGAGCTTGATGACCCATAAGTTATTTTCTATTTAAATGTTTCTGTTATCCTTTTTGAAGATCATGCTAAATTTAAAGAAATTTTTATTATATAGTTTTCTTCTGCCAATATGTCTATATATGTAACTTAAGCAACGCCGTAAAATTTTTTTTAATTATGCCCCCACTTCGAAGAAGAGGGGGTATATTGCTTTGCACTTGTCGGTCCATCGGTCCGTAGACCAAATGGTTTCCGAGTGATAACTAAAGAACCCTTAGGCCTAGGAACTTCAAACTTGGTATGGTGATTGGTCATGACCAGTAGATGACCCCTATTGATTTTGGGGTCAAGGGGTCAAAGATCAAGGTCACATTGACCTCTTAGGTAAAAACGGTTTCCTATCAATAACTAAAGAACCCTTAGGCCTAGGAACGTCAAACTTAGTATGGTAATTGGTCATGACCAGCAGATGACCCCTATTGATTTTGGGGTCAAGGGGTCATAGGTCAAGGTCACATTGACCTCTTGGGTAAAAACGGTTTCCGATCAATAACTAAAGAACCCTTAGGCCTAGGAACGTCAATCTTGGTATGATAATTGGTCGTGACCAGCAGATGACCCCTATTGATTTTGGGATCAAGGGGTCAAAGGTCACGGTCACATTGACCTTGTAAGCAAAAACGGTTTCCGATCAATAACTAAAGAACCCTTAGGCCTAGGAACATCAAACTTGGCATGGTGATTGGTCATGACCAGGAGATGACCCCTATTGATTTTGGGGTCAAAGGTCAAGGTCACATTGACCTTGTAGGTAAAAACTGTTTCCGATCAATAACTAAAGAATCCTTAGGCCTAGGGACTTCAAACTTGGTATGGTGATTGGTCATGATCAGTAGATGACCCCTATTGATTTTGGGGTCAAAGGTCAAGGTCACATTGACCTCTTAGGTAAAAACGGTTTCCGATCAATAACTAAAGAACCCTTAGGCCTAGGAACTTTAAACTTGGTATGATGATTGGTCATGACCAGTAGATGACCCGTATTGATTTTGGGGTCAAGGGGTCAATGTCATATTGACCTTGTACTTAATGACGGTTTCTGACTAATAACTCAACAACTCAAGTTGCCTTTGTTGATATTTTTATATTAAACTAAAATGCTTTTGGTATACACATTTGAAGGTCTTATGTAATATAACAACTTGGCTGTCATTAATGAGGCCTACATGATTCATAAAATGTATGCATATATATTATTTAGTAAGATTTGTAATAACTTAAATTGCTGCACAATAATTATTACCTTGTGACTAGTCATGACCAGTAGATACTAGATAACCCTTATTAATTGTTTGTTCACTGGGTCAGAAGTCATGCATAATAACCTGATCACATGACTAATTGGCTGCCGATAGGGGGCATACATGTTTTACAAACATATCTTGTTTTATATAGTAATTATTATATTAAGGACATGATTTAACCACAGATTATGAAATTTGTTTAGCATATTTCCGCACTTAAAACTTCACACCTTTAATGGCATTTTGATTGTATCAAACATTGGGTGTGCTTTGGAAAAGCTGTATAGCTTAGATTTTAAAGTGAAGAAAGTTGTATATCTACTGCAAAAATTACAATTCTGATTTTCAAAAATAATATTTCCAAAATGTTTGAATGAAATAAATATGGTAGTAAATGGACTTAAAACTGAATGGTGCCTGGTATTAGTCATTGCTAAAGAACCCAACAATTTCTTTTATGCACAACTCATCCTGCATTTCTAAATGGATTTTAAGCAAATTTAATCTGAACTACTGTTACCCAGTGCCTTTGCACATATTTCATGGTTTGTTAATTTCATCATATGTGGCAGAAGTATAGTCCTTTGTTTATTCACGTATAATATTACATACCGTCACCTTAGTGCAGTAATGTAATAAGTTCTTCTAAATTCGATAGGAGTTAGTCAGTTATTGCACTAAGGTGACGGTATGTAATATTTGCTAAAATACCTGGTTGCACAACATTGTCCAACTAATATTATAGCTTTTATCAAAAATGTTTTCTGCAGACAAAATACCAGAAAGAGGTTGATAGATTAGAAAAGGAAAACCGAGACTTGAGAAAGCAGCTGAACCTGATGGAGCAAAAGACCGGCAAGAAACGTAAAATGAATGTAAGCTATGGTTTTTAAAATAATTACAATTTGAAACAAAATCAAGATTTCTATTTCATTGGTAGCTTGTAACATATTTCTAAGCCTTTAACTATGGTAAATTTGTATATTGGATTTGCCCTGCTTTGAAATTTGATCTGCCCATTGTTAATGGGGGGGGGGGGGCGGATTTTGATATCACTATGAGAAAATGAAAACATCTATATTATAGAGTCATAGTCAGACTGCATGAATGTGAATGCTTTTGGTTTATTTAAGCTCGTTTGCGAAACAAGTTCTTGCAACTTATATTAATCACTTACAAGTCCGCTTGCTGGAACTGGCCAGTACTGGTGCCCTATGAAGAAACATGGTCGTGACCCAAATAGGTCTCGAACCCATGATCCCTGGGTTGAGAGGCAGACACCTTAACCACTAAGCCACCGCTCTCGTTGAATGCTTTTGCAACTTTTTTCAGTAAGCAAAGGCAAATTATAATTGTCACTAAAATTTTAAAGTTGAATAAAGCCTTTATACCCATATCATGCTAAAGTTTTTAAATAGACTTGTCCATCTTTCAATATTGGCTAAATCATTTTTACGAGAAATTTCAAAAATATTAACTGACTGAATAGTGAACAGTGCAGACCATGATCAGATGGTACAGATGTGCCCAGCTGATCTTGGTCTGCGATGGTGGCATGGGTAGCTTGTGATTGGATGAAAAGGTATGAAAACTCTATTTCTGTGCTTTTGCACTATTAAATCTTCAGGTTCACAAAAAGTAAAAAATCTTGCATATTTTGTCATGAAGCCTCATAATTAGTGGCACTTAATAAAAGATTGATGAAAGATTTTAAAGTTGATCATTGTGATAGAAACTAAGAGGTTGTATTCAAGTTTAAGTATGAGTTTTTATATTGTATATAATTTTTGCTTTCTTTTTTACTATAGAAATCCTTGATTGACATGTACTCTGAAATACTAGATGTTCTCACAGATTTTGACTCTAGTTACAACACACAGGATCATTTACCAAGGGTAAATATATTGTTATACATGTATGTTATGTTCAAATCGGTTATTCTGCATTTGGTTATGTATATTTTGTATAAAGAAACCATTGCTTCTTTAGTGCTATCCAGTGTTAGTGCCAAGTTGTAAAATAATTTTATTTGAGAAAAAAATCAAACCCAACAAAATCAAAAATTAAATCTGAATTTTGAATATTGATTGACCACAGTTTTGGGGAAAATAAGAAGGTTTTACAAATAGGAATGGATCGGGTTGCCAGACTAGTATGAAGGGGGAAAACTACATAGTGATAGGGTTAAACACAACCTATTTAAAGCAATTTGTCAACCAAAGCTACATCAAGAAATTCAGAAGAATCTGTTATTTCCTTGAAGAAATAAACATATACTTGCAATATATATTAAGCTAGAAATAGATTGACTGATGGAATAAGCACAAGTCAGTGTTCTTACCACCAAAATATTTGGCGATATCGGTCCCATTCTCCCCTCAAAATAATATGCTTTTTTCCCCCTGAAAGCAGAAATTTCCCCCTATACAGCAGCCCGAATTTGCCTTCAATGAATATAATTTTTTTTTGCAACTACTGCCGAAAGAATGTTTTATTTTATGCCTGTAAGAGTTATTGTTAAGCAAGATTCTTTACAAATCGTAGGTAAGGGGAGCCACTTCCAGCGTCCCAAGTTTAACATGCGACATGTCGATATTAAAGATCTGATATATTAAGAAAAAGCGACATATTTTTAACTTGTGTTGCAAGAGTTGCTCCCCTTTTCTACTGAAAGAAAACAATATAAAATAAATTAACAAATAAAATTCCCCCTCCTATTGCATTTTTCTCCCCTCCAAAGGGCACCGACCCCCTTCCCCCAAAAGTGAAAAAAACACTGCAAGTAAACATATTCTTTTGTGCAAGAATAGTGCTTATGCACCTTTTTTTGTGCACTTACATTTGCAGAAGCCCTTGAACCTACTAAATCCCTCACCCAGCAGGCTTGGGCTTTGAATATATCCTCATGCTTCTGCAGAATTTAATGGAAGAAATATGGTGCATTAACCTTATAATTTTTTTTTTTTTTTTTTTTTTTTCTAAAAAGATATACAATATTAATGTTTTTTTTTTTTGACCAGGTAGTTGTAGTTGGTGACCAGAGTGCTGGTAAAACAAGTGTTTTGGAAATGATTGCCAGAGCTAGGATATTCCCAAGGTATTTGATAAATTTAATTTAATACTGCTCTTTCTTGGTATTCATTCAATAGATGATAAGAAATAGAAAGAGGCATAGCCACTTAGTAAAGTATTATGATGTTCTTTCTCTTTTGTATCATAGGCAGACATAAAAACATGTTCCCTGTTGCCACAATATGAAATCCCAAAAAAAAGAAACCAATGAACGAGCATCTGAATTTGACTTTCCTATCGTTATCCCCTTTCCCTGTCATCACAGTAAGTAAACCCCCCAGAAAAAATGAGTCAATCAATGAGTTTAATTTAATTTTAATCCCTACAGACAGAGTATTAACTTGGGTGCGGGTAACTAATACCTGCATTCCAGTTAATGCACTGTACATGTACGAGTAAACAATTTAAATCCGACACATTTTCTTCAATAGAAAGTTCTTCAAACTATGTTACAATTGGTAATAAGTCATCTCTTTAATTGAGATATATTGTATTATTAGCTCACCTGTCACAAAGTGACAGGGTGAGCTTTTGTGATCGCTTTTCGTCCGTCCGTCGTCCGTCCGTCCGTAAACTTTTACTTTAAATGACATCTCCTCATAAACCACTAAGCCAATTTCATCCAAACTTCACAGGAATGTTCCTTTGGTGGTCACCTTTAAAAATTGTTCAAAGAATTTAATTCCATGCAGAACTCTGGTTGCCATGGCAACCGAAAGAAAAAAACTTTAAATATCTTCTTTTAAAAAACCCAAAGAGCTAGAGCTTAGATATTTGGCATGAAACATCTTCTAGTGAGTGTCTACCAAGTTTGTTTCAAATAAAATCCCTGGGGTCAAAAATTGGCCCCGCCCCGGGGGTCATTGATTTTCCCTATATGCATATAGTAAAAACTTAAAAATCTTTCTTTTAAAGAACCCAAAGAGCTAGAGCTAAGATATTTAGCATGAAACATGTCTATGGGTGTCTACCAAAGTTTGTTCAAATAAAAGCCCTGGGCGTCAAAATTGGCCCCGCCCCGGGGGTTATTGATTTTCCCTATATGCATATAGTAAAAAACTTAAAAAAATCTTCTTTTAAAGAACTCAAAGAGCTATGGCTAAGATATTGAGCATCAAACATGTTCTAATAGGTGTCTACCAAAGTTTGTTTCAAATAAAAGCCCTGGGGTTCAAAATTGGCCCCGCCCCAGGGGGTCATTGATTTTCCCTATATGCATATAGTAAAAAACTTAAAAAATCTCTTTTAAAGAACCCAAAGAGCTAGAGCTAAGATATTTAGCATGAAACATGTTCTAATGGGTGTCTACCAAGTTTGTTCAAATAAAAAGCCCTGGGGTCAAAATTGGCCCCCGCCCCGGGGGTCATTGATTTTCCTATATGCATATAGTAAAAACTTTTAAAAATCTTCTTTTAAAGAACTCAAAGAGCTATGGCTAAGATATTGAGCATCAAACATGTTCTAATAGGTGTCTACCAAGTTTGTTCAAATAAAAGCCCTGGGGTCAAAATTGGCCCATCCCCGGGGGGTCATTGATTTTCCCTATATGCATATAGTAAAAACTTAAAAAATCTTCTTTTAAAGAACTCAAAAAGCTATGGCTAAGATATTGAGCATCAAACATGTTCTAATAGGTGTCTACCAAGTTTGTTCAAATGAAAGCCCTGGGGTCAAAATTGGCCCCGCCCCGGGTCATTGATTTTCTTTATATGTGTTTAGCAAAAACTTGAAATCTTCTTTGAAAAAACCAAATAGCTAGAGTTTAGATATTAAGCATGAAACATCTTCTAGTAAGTGTCTACAAAGTTTGTTCAAATAAAAACCCTGGGGTCAAAACTGGCCCGGCCCCAGGGGTGTCATTGTTTTTAACTATATGTGTATAGTAAAAACTTTAAAAAAATCTTCTTTTAAAAAGCCCAATGAGCTAGAGCTTAGATGTTTAGCATGAAACATCTTCTTATGGGTGTCTACCAAGTTTGTGCAAATAAAAGCCCTTGGGTGAAATTGGCCCTGCAACGTTGGGTGGGGGGGGCCTATATACAGGTGAGCGACCTCAGGGCCATCATGGCCCTCTTGTTTTTTCTTAACAATAGCAGATTTTCAATCTATGTAAGATAGCCAATCTGTCAGTTATAGCTTAAATTTTCATCGATTTAAAATCATTAGTTTTTAATACAACCCCTTTGGGCATCGTCCCAAACAGACCTTTTATCTCCCATTATTTAAAGGGGCATTTTTCTGTCAATTTTTTTGAAAATACCATCAATTTTCAAAACTTTTTGGTCTTGTTTTTTAAACAACGCAATTTCCTAAAATTTGATCTCAGACTTGAGATCCTGTCATTTGTCTGTCACTACGATTAAAAACCCTTTTATACCGGGAAAAGCCGGTCGGGGTATCATTTGCAGAGTATAAAAAATAATTGTTCAAAATAAACCAACAGTTTAAAAAACTATAGTTTTTCATATAGCCCTTTATTATAAAAAACCTTGGGGTTCTTTTTTTTTTCTTTTTAATTTTTTTCTCTTTATTATTGCTTCAATTACACGGGGTTTTTGAATGTGAAAAGGTCACCAGTTCAAGGTCACGCTAAGTTTGAAGGTCCAGTATTCATGTGGCACAGTTTAAGGACAGTACCAGAGAATTTTGACCTGACAAAGGAAGAGGATGTAAGATACTTGTTTAAATTCAGTCACATAAATTGATCTTAGAGTTGAATTTTTCACTTCTAATTAATAAGTTAATAAAACTCTAGTTTTCCTGGAATGAGTAATCTGGAAGAAACAGTTTTTCATGATGTTTTGAATATTTATTGAAATTGTTTGCTACAAAAGAAAATGTTTACACTCCATTGTTATATTAATTTCCATTTAAACAAAAAAAATATTTTAACAATGAAAAATTTGTCACACTTTACAGACAGATGAAGCATAAGGAAGGAAGTCGAGCATAGGATGAAAAGAGTGTTAAAGGTGGACAGACTGTCAGTACTGAGGTATTGTGATTTGTTTAAAATTTACTGAATAATATCTTAAGTGTATAAAATTTTAGAACAACTATTATAGTGTCGCCTTCTTCAGAGTAACAGATTGGTACTTCAAGTGCTTGTGCATATTTAACAGGTTTTCCAGTGAAATAATTGTTGGCTGAGTTATGGTCTTTGAATATAAAATGTGTTTGGGCCTGTTAATGATTTTTTTTGTCTCCTGCTACACTGTAGCTGCAACATGCAATTGCCTATTATCAGGCAACACAAGTGATCACTGATCACAAAAAATATTCAAGATTGGATTGAGACATTTCATCAGTAAGTTCTTTATGTTAATTTATCACTTCTATGAATAACATATTCTGAAAGTTGATAAGGCTGTCTGTTTGACCTGGTGATCTTACACGTTTTCATTTTTTTTCTTTTTTCAGTAAATACCTTCTTTTCCCTGTAAAGCATTGCAAGTGATGGTATTTTTATATCACTTTATATAGCACAATTTAGTTGCATCTTGATTTGAACTCCCATTAAAAATATAACCTTTATTTATTCCAATGGATGTTTCAGTGTATATCAATGTCTGTGAAAGGGCCTGGTATTCAGAGAATGGTACTGGTTGATTTACCTGGAATTATTTCTGTAAGTTTATCATTTATTGTTTATATTTGTAACAGGATATCTTAAATAATAATTTTAGAGTCAGGAAGTCTAATCCCTTGTTAAAATATATCAGTGAGATATAATTTACATTAAAATATATCAGTGAGATATAATTTACATTGAAATATATCAGTGAGATATAATTAATATATAGAGGATATTGAACGAGTGTAGGTTAAATACTACAATTTATTGAACGAGTTGAATGAAATCATATTATGCGAGCCTCTGGCGAGCATAATATTGTTTTATTCAACGAGTTCAATAAATTTAGTATTGAATCTACACGAAAATAATATTCTATAAGTATTTATCACATAGATAAAATAAGAACGGTAAACTGTTAACAAGAGTCATTTTTCTTTGACGCGCCTATAGTGTAACGCTAACATTAGCGTACTTTAACGCTATGTTTATAGTGCAAATGGCATTATGTCTAAGTGTTATTACACTAGTGTAATATCGTCTTGTGTAATATCGTTTTTATTAAGTTGCTTTATTACACTCCTGCGCCGCGGTTTATGTCATAATAAAATATATCAGTGAGAAATAACTAATATCACTTTATTTGAAACTACATGAGTTATCTTTGTAAATTTTGGGACCCATTCTGTATTTTATAACAGGGTGCACAAAAATTTATATTTACTACCATCTTATTTTATTATTTCAGACTGAAACAACAGTTATGGCCCCTGATACTAAAGAAGGTATCAAAAGGCTTGTGAAAAGTTACATGGAAAATCCGAATGCAATTATACTGTGTATACAAGGTAGGTAATTTGTTCAATTCTGCTTCTTTTTAAACAGTAAAACTAATGTCAAACTGTTGAGAGTTTCTGTTTGAAAGGATGCATAATGTATGAGAAGAAAAACTACCTAAAAGACAAGACAAGTAAGTTATGTTAAACACAAATGTGGTGCATTACAGGTCTTAGTTACCAGTCTTAAAAGAACAAGTTATGGCTATGTTGCATTGAGAGAGAGGCATCATATGTTGAATTGCCAAAGCAATTGGTAAAATGCGGGGTTGTAACTTGTGGAAATTAGGTAAAATGAAAATAAACATTTGCTTTTATTCTGCTGATAGTTAACTTAAAAGAGATGGTTCCCTGTAAAGTTTATTTTATATAACAGATGGTTCCCTGGATGCAGAGAGAAGTAATGTTACAGATGTAGTTAGTCAGATAGACCCGAGTGGTAAACGAACAATCTTTGTCCTCACCAAGGTGGATCTAGCAGAGAGTAACCTGTATAATCCTAACAGAGTATGTTTATATCTTTCTTTAATGTTAAAGCAGACATCGAAAAAATATTTTCAGAGTCACTTGTCCTGCAGGACTAGTAGCATCTAAATCCAAGGTGCAGGCAACATGTTTCTACTCTTCCTACATCAAGTTCTCTTAAATTTTACTTGTAATCACTAGCGGACAAGTGAAATTATCAATCTCTGGCTAAAATGTTTTCTGAGTTTTAGCTTGACTATTTGAAGAATAGGGAGATCTTTTGTACTCACCTGTGCTTCGGGTGTCACACTTTGGTCAAGTTTTTTGTGTGCTGGTTGGTATTTCCAAAACTACTGAATTGAAGGGTGTCACCTTTCAAGGCCAATAACTCCAACATGGTTAGATTATGACACTATTTGAACATAGAAAATTCTATAGTTTACAATCTCAAGCACCAAGAATAGTCGAGTATGTTGTCCTAACAACAGCTCATGTTGAAAAGAAAAATGAAAATATCCACTGTGTTTCAACCTCTTTATGTAAGAATTTGAACAACTCAAACCTGAGCAGGGGGAGGGGGCTACATTGCTGAAGAGGTTATTAGTCCCCTACCGGTTTAACCGGAGGGGACTTTAGGTTTACCCTCCGTCCGTCTGTCTGTCTGTCCGTCTGTCTGTCAGTCCGTCCGTCCACAAAACTGGATCCCGCGATAACGCAAAAAGTACTGAAAATATTCTTATGAAACTTGATATATGGATAGATGGCAGTATGGAGATTATGCACGTTTTTTTTTTCTTCCTATGTTGAAAATTCTGGTTGCTATGGCAACAAATAGTCTGAAAATATGGCAAATTTAACACATAAACTGGATCCAGTGATAACTCAAAAAGTACTGAAAATATTTTTATGAAACTTGAAATATGGGTAGATGCAGTCTGGAGATTATGCACATCTTTTTCTTTTCTTCCTATGTTGAAAATTCTGGTTGCTATGGCAACAAATAGCCTGAATTTCAAGATTTCTGATTTAAATTTTTCAGCTTTTTCACTATATGTTCTTATATTTCTTAAGGTTGTTTACTTCAAACTTTAAATATAAGTTCCTGGTCATCAACCGCATCATATGTGACAAGGTTTATAACTCTTAGCACAAAAAATATCAGTATTACCTCCCTTGAACTTAGATTTTTAGGGAAAAAATGTTGTCTTTTTTTAAATAACTTCTTTATTTCCTAATGTATCTACTTCAAACTTCATATATATGTTTCTTATTATCACTCGACATTTTTGAAAGAAGTTAAATACTCTAGCAAGACTATTTCCAGAATTATGTCCCCCTTGAACTTAGATTTTTTTTCGAGAAACTGGTATTTTCACTCCAACTTCTTCATTCCTTATAGGATTTACTTTAAAATCCCACATCGTAATAATATGACAAGGTTGTTTAAACATAATTCCTTACTAAGCATGGAAACTTAACCCAATTTTACTTGTGATATAGACCAAACTTATTTATTATGTTTTGCTGGTCTATATTTTCAAATACAGACTTCATCCTCAAATTCATATAAAATGGCAATACACAGGAGTGTATGACAATTAAAAAGAAACTTTTTTGAGGGACCGGTAGGGGACTACTGTTTATTGCCGCAATTACTATCAAAGCTTGTTTAATTTTACTTCAAGAAAGTGGTCTTTTGCTGGTATAAGTTCGAGGGCAGCTGAATTTTCAAAAACAAGAAACCTAACAATTTAATTAACTGATGGAGATATTTCTGCTCATTGTTTCTTGTCCTGTGTGACATAAATCTTGGAGTCTTAAGAGCATGTGGTAGATACATTTAACCAGTAATGCTAAGAAAATTACCGTATAACCTTTGTCAATGAAAACATACTATATAGCTTGTGAAATATTACTGAAAGATAGATTATCATATTATTGTGTGATTGTAATTTGAATAACCTGTATTCTTGTGTAAGTTATGATGTTGAAGTATATGTAATTTGTTTCAGATAAAATCAATATTAGATGGTGAATTGTTTCCAATGAAAGCACTAGGCTATTTTGCTGTTGTTACGGGCAAAGGTATATTTTCTTTCTCAGTGTAAAAGACATAAAGATCACGCTAATCTAACTTACAGTCAATGCCTGTACTTTGGTTGTGCCAAAATTTAGACAAAAAAAATGGAAAGATTCTGTTTTAATTTTAAAAAAAACCCAACAGTTTTCATGCAAACTTTGTAATTTGTAGAATAAGCTGTGTGTGATAATGGTGCAATTTTGCACCTTGAATGTTTACTGATATTTAAGAAATATTATTATGATGTTAAACCTTTATAAAGAAGGTTCAAATTATTATGATGAGTCAAAAAGTAAGGTGATAGGGGTTGAGACCCTCTTTTGTTTAAAATAATACCAGTTCTTTGACTATAACCCTGCATATCAAACTTGTAAATGGGTATAGTGATTTGAGAATGTTGGTATATCTGTAGGCACAATCTTTTGTTTCTTCTCTTAAACTGCTCAACCAGTTTTTAAAAAACAAAAACATATATGCGTTATTGTCATTACAATAGAATTTTATGCGTGATCATTATCGAAGTAAATTTTAGAGCTTTTCTCCTCATAACTTTCTCAACTTATGAAGAAAAAAACAACTTGATATGGGTTATTGTTATGAAGAAAGAATTTTATATAGAAATAAATGACAGATTAACGGTCAGTTATGTATGAATTATTTCAGGTAACTCTAATGACAGTATCGACACAATAAGAAAATATGAGAGTGAATTTTTCCAGAAATCAAGGCTACTGCAGTAAGTTGAATCACCGCCTTTCTTTTGCATATTACATGAGTAAATATTTTAATAAACATAAATGGACATACATTGAATGGAAATTGTTGATTTCTTACTAAATATGGTATTATAAACGTGAATAGTCAGTGTTAGTGTTTTTATACACATATGAACTTTAGCTCAGCATTTTGCTATATCTATGCAAATGATTGAATTAATGAAAAAGTTAATTATTTATTTTGTTTTGACTAGCTTTAAAGTAAAACCAGAAGTAGCAATATTTTCTGTAAAATAATTACATACATGAAATAATTCTGGATGAGTCCTGAATTCAGGGTTTTCAAACTAACAAAGCTCATTGTCTACTAAAATTTCTATATACAGGATTTTCAGGTGATTCTTTTTTCAAATTTCTTTTATTTCTAACTATGAATGTTATTTTTACATTATAGAGATGGGGCATTGAAAGTGACACAGACAAATACCAATAACCTTAGCATGGCTGTGTCAGAACTGTTCTGGAAAATGGTGAAAGACAACATTGAACAACAAGCAGATGCATTTAAAGGTATGTGAGATAATAATTGTGGCCTTTTTTACCTCTGTTGCAGAGTCGTTTTAGTTGCTGCCTTCTAATACTGTGCCCCTGACTGCTATGGGTTTGAATCATGGACTTGTATTCTGTAATATTAGGAAGCTATCCAGCCAATTTTTATGGAAAGTTGGTGGTTCTACTGCACTTCTCACATATGGCTCAGAGGTCTTTCACCATCTGTCAAGCTGGAAATTTGCCATATGGCCTTAATTGTGTGGGTGTAAATTGAAATCGAACAAAATAAAGAGAGAAAAGCAAATGTGCATGACTCACAAAAGCTGTAGCCCTCAAAGTTATAGAAACAGACTTGAACTTAAGAATAAAAAAGGTTCTAATGGGTTTGCCTTTTGCTTGAATTTTTAACTTTCTGTTAAAAGTGTAATTTTTTTTTCATGTCAGAATATCAGAATTAAGCCGAGTATGATTATTCTGCTGGGATAGCTTTATGCTGATAGCATGAGCCTCTTTTATATGCACTGCAATTGAAAAGGTTATACCTTAACCTGCTGAATTTGTTGAAACCTGCTGAATTTGTTGAAACCTGCTGAATTTGTTGAAAAGATTGTCTATTTTTGGACCTGTCAATCATCTGTATATTGGACATGAAAATGATAGTCAGTCAGCTATCAGTATAGAGCCTGGTTCAAGAAGGTTAAAGATCCTGTATGTTGTTATTGAAGTTGTTACCAATTGTGTGTATTTGCGTTTATTTATACTCGCCACCAGTTGCCCAGATACAACACTTAATTGAAATTTTTTATACGCCCGTTTGAAAAACGGGACGTATTATGGGAACGCCCCTGGCGGGCGGGCGGGCGGCGTCCAATTTTGTCCGGAGCATATCTCCTACATGTATGGAGGGATTTTAATGAAACTTCATATAAATGTTCACCACTATGAGGAGCAGTGTCGCGCACATGAACCAGGTCTCTAGGTCAAAGGTCAAGGTCACTATTAGAGCTCATTGAAAAATGCTTGTCCGGAGCAAAACTTCCACATGTATGGAGGGATTTCAATATTACTTGGCACAAATGTTCACCATTGTGAGGCGGAGTGTCGCGTGCAAGATTCAGGTCCTTGCGGCCAAGGTCAAGGTCACACATAGAGGTCAAAGTTCAGATAAAAATATGAAGATGTGTATATGGACCATTTAGTCATCATTTATTGAGGGATTGTAACACAAATGGTCATTATCAAGACTATGGCTGTGATACATATAATTTAGGTCAATATATACAAGGTCAATGTCACTAAAGATGATGAAATATCCAGATTTTGTAAATAGAATTTAATCAAGGGAGACAACAAAGTTATTACTTTGTTCATAAATGACTTACACAATTACTCCCCTTGATCTATTTTCACTTTCAATTCTAAAAATAGAATTTAATCAAAGGGCATGAAATAATCCTCTTTCTTGACTTGAGTATGTTCTAAAGAATGTAACATTTATTTACACATGTTTCATTCATTGGTCAAGATTCTTAACTGTGAGATAACTATGGTGTTCTGTAGACTTGGTATTTGTTCATAAAGATCATACAGTAATTACCTTATCAAATGTAAATACTTTCTCATAGAAATTTAATTATATTTTAATTTTCAAGTAAATATCAGTTCAGCTCATTCAAAGATTAAGAATTGTAATGAAATGTATTTCCCTAGAATAAAATCTTAAATCAGAATTTTTTAGTTATTAAATTACATGTACTTTTTATACGCCCGTTTAAAAAAAGATAAAAATATGAAGATGTGTATACAGTGTTCCCACTTCTATTTTTCATTGGGGGTAGTTTTACCCCTTACCTTTGAAAACTGGGGGTAAAATAAAATTTCAGGGGGTATATAGATTTGTACAATAATTATATGAAATAAAAGAATAATTCCAAATCCATACATCAGACAATTATGCTGCTGTTTTTTTTCACAATGCCCCTCAACCAGCCCCCCCCCAACCCCCCCAGTTAAAATCCCCCCCCAGGTTAATTTAATGGTGACCAACACATTCTGGCATATATCTCTATCTCAATTAATGTAACTATTTTTAAGATATTTTAATTCATAAACAGCCATATAAATTATTACTACACACCTTTGAACAAAAACAAAGCTTCCTTTTTGGTGATATTTTTAATTAACAAAATCGGCATCGCGAAAATATGTGACAAATGAAAATTTGTCTATTTTCTGCAGAAACATTCACAAATCCAGTTGTTGCTGATTACAATTATATAGAATTAATATTTTTAATATTTCAAGATTGTTTTTCATCGGCTATTCTTACAGGCATCGTAAAACAAAAATTTCAAATTTGTATTTTACGGCAATAATGTCAGTGGGGGTTCTGTAAACTTCATTGTGAATTGGGAGAATTTCTCACATTTCATCAATTTCAATGCACTTTAAGTAATTTTTGTTTGAGAAATTGCTCAAAAAAACTAATTTTTGAATTATACATGATTAAGTTTACGACTTTCTGTGCGTATTTTTACCCTCTTGCCAAAATTTCTGTACGTGAATTTTGTTATTTATGCGTAAAATACGCACATATGTGCGTAAATGGGAACACTGTGTATAGGGACGATTTAATCATCATTTATTGAGGGATTGTAACACAAATGGTCATTATAATGACTACGGCTGTGACACATGTACTTTAGGTCAATATATGCAAGGTCAAGGTCACTAAAGATGGTGAAATATCCAGATTTTGTCTGGAGCATATCTCCTACATGTATGGAAGAATTTTTATAATACTTTATGGAAATGTTCACCACCATGATATGTATTGCTCCATGCATGATCCAGGTCTCCAGGTCAAAGGTCAAGGTCACACTTAGAGCTCATTGAAAAACGCTTGTCCGGAGCAAAACTTCTACATTCATAGGGGTTTTCAATATAACTTGCACAAATGTTTCACCATTGTGAGGCTGAGTGTCGCATGCAAAATTCAGATCTGCGACCAAAGTCAAGGTTACACATAGAGGTCAAAGTTCAGATAAAAATTTGAAGATGGTTATAGGGACCATTTAGTCATCATTTATTTAATGGATTGTAGCACAAATGGTAACTATCATGACTACAGGTGTTACACATTTAATTTAGGTTAATATTTGCAAGGTCAAGGTCACTGGAGATGATTAAATATCCAGATGTTGTCCGGAGCATATTTTCTACATGCATGGAGGAATTTTAATGTTACTTTTATAGAATTGTTCACCACCATGAGACGTAGTGCCCTGCACATAAACCAAGTCTCTAGGTCAAAGGTGAGGTCACAGTTAGAGCTCATAGAAAAACACTTGTCTGGAGCAAAACTTCTACATGCATAGAGGGATTTCAATATAATTTGGCACAAATGTTCATCATTGTGAGGCTGAGTGCCGTGCATAAAATTCAGGTCCCTGCGACCAAGGTCAAGGTCACACATTCTGTGCATATCTTCCCTATTGATTTGTTTTAAGATTCATTTAACAACACAGTGCCAAGAATAAAAACTTGCTTGCTAGATAACATTTATCCATAATGCCCCCATCTCCATCTAAAGCTTTTTCGTAAACGGGCGTATTTTGTGACTATGGCACCCTTGTTTATGTATATTATTATGCTCCTGAAACAATTTTCAAACATGGAAGAATATGTAAAATATGTACTGCAAATATTTATCCACATAATATCAATCATTAAAATATATGCATTATTTCTTATTGAAAAATTTGACTTAGACTTTATAGAAAATAAATTTCTAATTACCTCCCTTTATTGACATGAAATGTGAATTCGGTAATATCCTTACAAATAATGCTTTTTGGAACTTACAATATAGGGTTAACGCACGTTTTTCCGTGTTATAACGTCTGCAGAGTCCCGAGGAACTCTTCAGACTTTATAACACGAAATAAACGTGCGTTGACGCTATTATAGCATACAATTTTAAAACAGATTCATGATGTATATTATATATAAAACACAAACATTTAATCCTTGTGCTTGAACGGTATTTATCCAACTCTACATGTTTTACGTATGCGTTTTATTTTTTCCGGGGCCAGCAACTTGAGGACCGAACGAAATTTCAAATTTTAATTGATTTTAACAAAGTTTAACTTTGGAGATATATTAACTTAAGAAAAAACATAACATTACTGTACCCAAGACAAAACAGGCGCCTCAGAAATTCCTAGAATGATTACAGATTGGCGGTAGGAAAAAGATTAGTGACATTAGATTCAATTTCAGAATCGTTTTTTTTTAAGCACGCAACGTCGCAAGTTTAAAAAAAACAGGCATGAAACATTATTCTCTCAAAGAAACATACAAAACATTTATCAATATAAACATCAATAAAACCAACGTTTTCTTATATTTCATTTTGTTGCTTTCCATTTTTGTAAGTTAATCGGGGGGGGGGATTATAACTGAATGACAGATTTTTATTTGTTTACATTGACAACTGTCCGTTTCTAAGAAAGGGCGACAACGCAAGATAAGCGGCGATGTCTATATGCCGTATTGCCGGGCATTAATTATACTTGAAGGCTGCTCGCCGTTATGCGACTGAGGCCCTCGAATTAATAATTCCAATATAACAATAGCGCATGACTCTGGCAAATAGGCCAAATCGTCATTTTTTGTTTGTTTACTGGGCCCTCTATGTATTGTGCATAGGTAAAACCGGGCTATAACAAGAGCGCGTGACTATGTTAACGCATGGTTTTGGCCCCGTTATAACATGGGCAAAAAAGGGAAAAATAACCGATTTTATGCTATAATATTGATAAATCTTCATTTGAGCATTACATTTATGATATAAAAACCATAAAAAAATGAGTTACTGTAACTTACAGGATCTTTAATAATATGTAATGGTTGGGCATCAATGTGAAAATAGTTATAGACATTGTCTGTGAAATGTATATCCCAAGTAGATATCAACTTAGAAGTGAAACAGGTTGAAATTAAATATAAAAAAAAGCATCTGGTTTCTTTAAAGCAAGGTATATCTGGAATACATCTTAAGCAAAATAATAAATAGATTGTTTGAAAAAATACATTTACTCTTTATTGGACTTTTCTTTTTATTTTCAGCAACAAGATATAACCTGGAAACAGAATGGAAAAACAATTTTCCAAGATTGAGAGAGTTAGACAGAGTAAGTGTACCAATTAACCTTCATATAACATAAAAATCATATTGATCTATTAGTATTGCATCCTTTTAAATAATGTTATAAATTTTTTAAGAACATGTTTTCTGCTGTGTCCTTATTAAATTTTTATTTAGAAAAAAACACTATTGAATGTATGTTTAAGTACATACAGCTATTTACTTGTCATTTCAGGATGAGTTATTTGAGAAGGCTAAAGGAGAGATATTGGATGAAGTGATTAGTTTAGGGGCTGTAGTTCCCAAGGCATGGTTAGTGATTTTGTTTCTAGTTTATAAATCATTTAGGGGGCATATGTGGCAAAGTGGTTAAGGTCGTTTACTTCAAACAACTTGCCCCTCACTGCTGTGGTTTCAGATCCCCAAAAGGACGTTAGATTGTTTCATGTAAGGGAGCTATTCAGCTAGCTTAGGAAATATCGGTGGTTCTACTCCTTTTTGTGCCTGAAATAATGCAGGAAAGGACTCATAAGGTCTTTCTCTGCCATTTAAAAAGCTGGAAAGGCGCTACATGACCTATACTGAATTGGTGCAACTTTAAAACCAACCAAAATAATATATACCACTATGATCACTTTTAGGGTGTTTAAAGAGATGGTTGTTATAGTCTTATAGCTTACTGTATTATTACTAAATAGGAAACTTCCTTGTAGCGAGTATTTCAAGCAGACTTGTATGGGAACACAAATAAAAGCACAGAAGGAAACTTTTTAACAAGCAGGAAATTTGATAAATGGGTAGAAAGCAGTTAAAGGAACATTCTGCTATTTTAGACCAAAGCATAGAAAAACTGAAGTTCCAATGCAACATTTCTCCTTGTGCATCTCAAAATATATATATGTTTTTTTCCTTCAGGGAGATGATGTTTCGTAAGAAGTTATGGGAGAGAACGGCCACACATGTGTTTGAAAATATTTATTTACCAGCTGCTCAAGCAGGAACTGTAGGGTAAGATAATCTAGATATAGATTTATTGTCATGATAATTTGAAATATATTTTTAAGAGCATCATTTTGTATCATTCATGTCATCACAAATTTATTGCCTTTTTACATAGACTTGGTTTGGTTCATATATAAATGTATATTATTAGTTATAAAGATTTTTGACAGGTTATATGGTCCTATATAAATGGTTGTTTGGAAATATAACCAGAGCCACTAAGTTTTTACAAGGTCATAGAACATGTCAGGAATATTTATAACTAATTTATAATACAGCAAACATCCTTTTTTGAAAAAAAATGGGATTTCTTCTTAAATTGACAGCAGCGGTGTAAATAAAACTATATAAATGTTGTGATTATCCAATGAAATTCGACATGACAAACATGCAGTAATATAAAAGTGAATTTGGAACTCTTCAAAGAATTATAGATCTTTAACACACCAACAAAACATGCCAGAAATAAAGATAACCAGATATTAAAGATGTTACTGACTATATCCAGCCAGCTTCTGTTTGGGTAAATTTGACTTTAAAAATATGTTTTCTATGCTTTGATTTATAGAAGAAACATCACCTTGTGTTACATTCAAAATCAGAAATTCAAGTAAATGGATTTTCCCCTACATTTAAGTAGTTGCAAGTGTAAAGGCATTTTTTTTTGGGTTTTCGGGTAGATGCAAAAGCCCCCCAAAATTTTGCATAAAAAACCCCCCTTAATTATATTTTTCCAGAAAGGGGGGAAAAAAAAAACATGTACTTCAAAGTGTTTTTGTAACAAAAACTTTTAAACATGACTTTTTAAATTTAAAAAATTTTTATGATTTAAAACCTATTTAAAAAGGAAATTTAAAAACAATGGTAAAATTTTAAAGGGTCAGAAGGGTTACCACGTTTTCCCCTAAAAAAAATGTGGGAGGTTATTTTTTATCTCTTACCACAACTAAAATATCTTAATATGGACTTATCCATCTTTCATATCTTGGCAAAACATTTGTTTTGATTATTGTGTTTGAAATATTATAAACCTTAAAATTTTTTGTATAAAAAAAATAATTTGTCAATCCAACGGTAGTGTAGGGCAGGCCGTTTCTTCCTCACCTGCAACTTTTGGGGAATGATGCATAATGTTTTGAGGAAAATTCATGGGCCACTGATCCAGTGGCACCTGCAGCATCTTGAAAGTTGTTTGCTATTTTAAATTTATTAAATCGTCATTTTTGATTAGTTTAATAAAAGATGAATGTTCAAGTTTGTTGAAAAATTGATTCATTACACACACATAGTGTATTCTCAGTTCCAATTTATCCATTACACCCTGTCAAATGGTATGTTAGATATTATAATGGATGATGAATTGTTCACAATAACGAATTGTTATTAGGTTGGCTGGGATGTGTTACATCAAGAGTTTGCACTTCTGGCAGAGAAGGACAAGAAGAAGAACCCTACTGAGCATGATGAAGTGTTTAACCGACTTAAACTTGCTGTGATAGAAGCTAGTAAATCTACGCATAACTGGGAGAACAAGGCTGAAGAGAGTCTGGTAGATAAATTCTTTAATATTGAACCTGCTGGAATAGAATGTGTTTAGCTTTAGCCACATTCAGTATACAGCTAGGTCAGCCTGATTTACATAAGTGCAGTCCGACTAGGTTCTATACTATTGTTAGCTCGCTTCTATGCTTTAAAGTGAATTGGTATAGAAATGGAAGGTCTCTAATACACTTAATAGATGCATTGATATTTATATTTAGTATCAAACATAACAACAAAACACAAAATGAGCCGCGTCACGACAAAACCAACATAATGGGTCTGCGACCAGCATGGATCCAGACCAATCTGCGCAGTCTGATCAGGATCCATGCTGTTCGCTTACAAACCCTATAGCAAGTAGAGAAACTGATAGCGAACAGCATGGATCCTGATCAGACTGCACGGATGCGCAGGCTGGTCGCAAACCCATTTTGTTGGTTTTGTCGTGATGCGGCTCAAATAATGACATATGGATGTTGTTGGTAAGTGTGAGATACATATATTTATACCGTAGATGATAAAATGTTCTAGAACAAAAAATCATGATATAAATGTTCATACTAAATACCTTAGAACTTTTTCAACATATACTTTTCAAGAAATGTTTGACAAGAATATACAAATGATAAAAATAATTGTTTGTATCAAATTGTGTAATACTTATGGAATATGTGTTAATTTTAGACTAATCCACTTCAAGAATTATGTTATGTCTATACATTTGTAATTAGAAATTTATTACAAGAGTAAGGCAAAAGTCCTTTTCATTGTGCCTTTATTATCATTGTTGAATATAACCAATTAATTTACTTCACCTTGTCTGAGCAGGTTTTGAACGAGTTCTTAGTATTTTACAGAATTTAATATCTGAAAAAACGTTTTTTTGCTCTCCCGTTTTCTACACACTTTGATTGTACTATATTGCAGAGAGTGATGCAACGTAACACACTAGAAGACAGGTCAGTACAGGATAAACAACAGTGGGATGCATCTGTTAATTTCATGGAGGAGGCTCTTAAAGAACAACTAGAAAAGAGTAAGTCTGGTATCTTTCTTCTATAGATTTTGAAATTGCTTTTGCAAAACCCAGTTGTAGGGTGTTCATGGGTCGGTGGGTTAAGGTTGGTGACTACAAGCCCACTAACCCTCAAACCAATGTGGGTTTGAATCCTGCCAGGAATTTAGCATTCTTTCATTTAGGAAAGCTTATCCAGCTAGTAAATAAAATGATGGTGGTTCTACTCAGGTGCTTGTGTGTGCCTGAAATAAAGCACATAGGGGCACCAGTGGTGTTGTAAGTCTCTGTTTTAACATAGCTTTTGTTAATATTGATATATCAATTAAGATAACAATAAACTGTTCCTGCAAGCCTGTTTCACGCAGGTCAAGTCAGTAATTAGAATGAAGCTTTGCAAAATGTGATGATGAAATATGACAATGTCTTACATAATTATAATGTTTGTGCCAACAGATGAGAAAAAGTTGCGTGAACTAACGGGTCCGGGATCCTGGGAGCAGTGGAGACACTGGACACACAGAACATCAGAACATAAACATAGAATAGCAGCAAAAAATGAGTTAGAGAGAATACTGAAACCTCAACGTGTAAGTATTTCTATGAAATTCAAACTTCCTACACAGAATGTGTGTTATAATTCAGAGGAATTTCTTTCAATTAATAACTAAGTATAAAATTATCATAAACTATTAATGCTATTGATTTTCAGCTATAGAGGCATATCTGTAATATAATTTTTCAATTGGTCAGCGGCTCAAACGTTACGGCTTCATAGCTGTTATAGTTAAACCAATTTATCTGCAAGATTTTTAGTGAGAAAAAGAAATGTTAACTAGGAAGGAAACAGGGCTCCAGATAATTTTTTAGGGCAATGAGTATTTACTCATTGATTTTTTTGTGAATGAGTAAAACTTGAAATCTGAAATTTGGCAGGAGTATTTTTAGCTCCTTAAAATAGTATGTAAAAGAGTAAAGGATTTATTATTGTTTCCATGTTTATTGTATTATTATACTTTGTGAATACAAGATATGTCAAAGTCATTTCATTTGCTTTTTGGACTCCCTTGGTTTATAATCTTGCATTTCCAAACGGCATACGTCTTAACCTGAGGCATGTTTCTGTTGCTCATACGTGGCAGCGCTAATTATTTCATTAATTAATTATTATAACCTTCACAATGACTTTTGGGTCGATTTTTTTGGCTGAAATACGAGTCAATCGTTTTAACTTTTGACAGTGACATTGCACCGGATGTTTATGAAATTGCGTTAATATCACCACCTTACAATACATACGATAACAACCGATGATAGTCGGAACTACAGAAAGTTACCGTTCCACATTGCAAAGTATTCATACGAAGTTAATTCCACTACCATAATATACATACGATAACAACCGATGATGGTCGGAACTACAGGAAGTTACCGGTAGACGCTTGCAAAGCGTTCAGACAAAATTAAAAATAAGATAATCACAGAGTTTACATTCCGTTACGTTTACGCGAAAGAAATGTTACTCAATGCGTAACCTGAATTTTGTGTGCGTTTTCATACGCTTAAATTTTGTTTTGAATGCGTAAATGTGTTATTTTCATGCGTAATTTACGCGTATACGCATCTTATCTGGTGCCCTGAAGGAAAGAAAAAAATATAAAAAAAAGAAGTGAGTTTTAAAGGGACTCCACTGAGGTATTTTGACATGGCAGGACTGGAAATATTTTTTCCGAGGTATTGATGTAGGTCTGGAGCAAGTATTTGTGTGTACATTTTCAGCTTATTCCCTCTCTCCGCTTTTCCAGAATGATCATTTTTATAATATAAAAGGACTGGAAAATGAAAAGCGTTCTAATGTTTTCACCTAAAACCGGCTAAAAATTGTACAAAAATTGATTTCCAATTCACTTCTGTGTATACTTTTTTGTCATCATTTGCAGATTTTTCCATTTTAAGTGTTTCACTTGATATTCGTTAGATTTTGAAATAATTATGTTTTTAGGCATTTGGACCTCAGTGGAGTTCCTTTAAGGCAGGCTTTTACATATTCTATAGTATATGTATAAGAAATATGATTTAAATAATAGAGACATAGGAGTTTGCCATGTTATAGTATGCTTTACATATATGTTTTATAGAGACATAGCAATTTTAGCTTATTTAACAGTATGATTGTACATGTATATTATAGAGACATAGACCAACATTATCACAAGATGAACTAACTACAGTAAAACAGACATTACAGTCACAGGGTATAGAAGTAGATGCTGAATTTGTAAGTAAAATATTTGTATTTTACGATGTAAACCAACAAAATGTATACATATGTATTGTCCGTGAGTATACCCACCATTACATTTACAATCATGAGGGGCGTCCGTGGCCAATGGTTAAGGTCGTTGACTTCAAACCACTTGCCCCTGACCGCTTTGGGTTCGAATCCCAACAGGGTCTTTGGCTTCTTCCATGTGAGGAAGCTATCCAGCTAGCTTACGGAACGTAGGTGGTTCTACTCAGGTGCCCGTTCGTGCCTGAAATAATGCACGGAAGGGCACCTGAGGTCTTCCTCCACCAGTAAAGCTGGAACGTCGCAATATGACCTATACTGTGTCAATGTGACGTAAAACCCAAAACAAACAAACAAAAACATTTACAATCACTTTCTTCGCATGGGCCACGGTTGTAGGTTCGAGCCATGCCATTAGTCTACGGATTCCTTTATGGAGAAAAAAGTTATCCAGATATAGATTGCGGATCAAAGGCGGTTCTTACTAAGTTGCTTTTTGTGTCTGAAATAATGCTTAGAGGGGCATATGAGGTCTTTCTATACCTTTCTATAAAGCTTGATAGTCGACATAAGTGGCCATATGATCTATACAGTGTTGGTGCAACGTAAAACCCAACAAACAGAAAAACACACACACACAGATCTCTGTCCATACCTGACAAAAAACAGGGATAAATTATTTTTCTCTACTATTAGTGCTTGAAAAATGCCATGTGAGGGAACAGACATGTGATATATCTATGTGATGTTGTTTTACAGATAAAACAGACCTGGTACCATGTATTTAGAGAAAAGTTTATAAAGAGAGCCCTACAACAGTGTAATGATTGTAAAAAAGGTTTTTACTACTACCAGCATAATGTTCCGAATTCAGAGGTAAATATTTTTGATATGCTTTAAATAGTTTAAATGCCATTTAGCTTAACATTGCTCTTTGATTCTTAACTAATATCACCTTCTAAAGAAAAAAATAAAATGCATTCAGCCTAACTTTTTATAAAGCTTTACTTTGTCTGGTGTATAAAGTTAGAATTTGTGTTTGTTATTGCCATGACCATTTGTTATTGTCTTGGATTTAACTCGCTACAGCGTTGGAACAGTACCTATTGACGCTTGCTGAGATCATGATCACAAAATAGAAACATATTTCTTTTTTTTCACTAATTCTGACATTTTTCCGTCAAGATTGTACATAAATCTGTGTAAAGAGATGAATTAGACGTCTTAAAGTGTGTTTGGAGAAAAGGCGAGATTTAAGCATTTAATCATTCAGTGCCTTGTCCAGTTTATACCGGAATACAGTATTTAGTGTGGTGCTCCAACACCCTTTTTAAGTCTCACTCAAAGGTTTTTGTATGATTGTCTGTGATTTATGTTAATGTCTTCTGTTTTGAAAGCTGAGGGTGACTGTATTACTTAAAAAAGCTATGTAATTTGAAAGTTGTCCAACCTCTGATTTTATTATGAAAGAAGTATGGGATATTTATTGTATATATATGGTATATATTGTAGATGGATTGTCATGAGGTGGTATTATTCTGGAGGATTCATAGAATGTTAGAAATGACAAGTAATGCCCTACGGCAACAAGTTGTGAATAATGAAGGTAAGTACACACGATACTATTCTTATTAAATTGAATATATTTCAAGAAATTGACCAGTCTGCATAGCTTTATAGGATGAGATTAGGTCTGCAGACCTTGAATTGGTGACTAAGACACATGTATTTTCCTGTGAAGATTGGTTGAATACAAAATCTGTTTAATATTTTTCACTGTCTATCACTCTTTTAAATGATTTATGTGAAGGAGTTTGCTAAAATTTGCATGAAAAAAATGAGTAGAGAATCCATAAACCTGCATTACATTTGTGAGTAATGACTGAAATATTGTTGACCTGGCAGAGGTTCAGGTTGACCTGAAAACTGGTTGCATATGCAAGTCCTTACTGCACCATGCATATAAAAAGTTTATCTGAGAATCTATGCATATAGATCTATTGATATATTACAGCTAGAAGATTAGAAAGAATCATAAAAGATGTTTTGGATGACTTCTCTGAAGACACTGACAGATTGAAAAAATTATTAACTGGAAGAACTGTGGACTTAGCAGAGGAACTTAGTAAGTTTTATTACTTTACATAAATATTTCCTTCATACTGAGGTATTTAATAGAATGTTTTTGTTCCATAGTTTGTTTAATAGTTGATTGTTTGCTACTCACCTCTTTTGAAAGCTGGGAAAATAGTCTAATAACCATAAAGCGCGGCATGCCTCCAGGTGAGTTAAAATATTTCAAGAAAATGAAAACTGAGAAATATGTACTAAGATTTTAAGAAAAGTAAAAAAGATTCAATATGTAAGTAATAATTTACATGTTATGTGCGATTAATGACTGATCTTGCAGTATTCGTCACCAAATTTCTACTTCATTACAAAAGCAGTATAGGCTACTTTTGCTTATTTTGACCTCCTATTTAGCTCACCTGTCACAAAGTGACAGGGTGAGCTTTTGTGATCGCTTTTCGTCCGGCGTCCGTCGGTCCCTCCTTCGTCCGTCCGTCCGTCCGTAAACTTTTGCTTTAAATGACATCTCCTCATAAACCACTGAGCCAATTTCATCCAAACTTCACAGGAATGTTCCTTTGGTGGTCACCTTTAAAAATTGTTCAAAGAATTTAATTCCATGCAGAACTCTGGTTGCCATGGCAACCGAAAGAAAAATCTTTAAATATCTTCTTTTAAACAACCCTAAGAGCTAGAGCTTAGATATTTGGCATGAAACATCTTCTAATGAGTGTCTACCAAGTTTGTTCAAATAAAAGCCCTGGGGTCAAAATTGGCCCCGCCCCAGGGGGTCATTGATTTTCCCTATATGCATATACATGTAGTAAAAACTTAAAAATTCTTCTTTTAAAGAACCCAAAGAGCTAGAACTAAGATATTTGGCATGAAACATCTTCTAGTGAGTGTCTACCAAGTTTGTTCAAATAAAAGCCCTGGGGTCAAAATTGGCTCCGCCCCGGGGGGACATTGATTTTCCCTAAATGCATATAGTAAAAACTTAAAAAATCTTTTTTTAAAGAACCGTAAGAGCTAGAGCTTAGATATATGGCATGAAACATCTTCTAGTGAATGTCTACCAAGTTTTTTCAAATAAAAGCCCTGGGGTCAAAATTGGCCCCGCCCCAGGGGGTCATTGAGTTTCCATATATGCATATAGTAAAAACTTAAAAAATCTTCTTTTAAAGAACCATAAGAGCTAGAGCTTAGATATTTGGCATGAAACGTCTTCTAGTGAATGTCTACCAAGTTTGTATAAATAAAAGCCCTGGGGTCAAAATTGACCCCGCCCCAGGGGGTCATAGATTTTCCCTATATGCATATAGTAAAAACTTAAAAAATCTTCTTTTAAAGAACCCAAAGAGCTAGAGCTAAGATATTTAGCATGAAACATCTTCTAATGAGTGTCTACCAAGTTTGTTCAAATAAAAGCCCTTGGGTCAAAATTGGCCCCGCCCCAGGGGGTCATTGATTTTCCCTATATGCATATAGTAAAAACTTAAAAAATCTTCTTTTAAAGAACTCAAAGAGCTAGAGCTAAGATATTTAGCATGAAACATGTTCTAATGGGTGTCTACCAAGTATGTTCAAATAAAAGCCCTGGGGTCAAAACTGGCCCCGCCCGGGGGGGTCATTGATTTTCCTTATATGTGTATAGCAAAAACTTAAAAATCTTCTTTGAAAAAACCCAAATAGCTAGAGTTTAGATATTAAGCATGAAACATCTAAATACATTTTCAAAAAATTTATGAAAATTAGCAAGAATCTAGAGGCATGCTGCTTTAACAGTGTTTCTTTGACTTGAAACACGTTCAAAAAATATTTCGGTTTTTTTAGCTCGACTATACGAAGTATATGGAGACTGAAAAGGCTGTCCTATTCCCCCGGGTCTGCGTCAGATTTCAGGGTTAAAGTTTTTGTTTTGCAGTAAATATTTTCACTGTAACTTCGTCATTTCTTAAGGTAATCACTTCAAACTTCAAATTAATGTTCCTTATCTCAAACCACAATCTTATGTGCCAAGGGTTTCATAACTCTAGAACAAATATTTTCAGATTTATCTCCCATTGAACTTAGAATTTTCCCTTAAAAAATACTATTTTTTTACTGTTAATTTTATTTCTTAAAGGGATCAACTTACATACTTCAAAATATATGTCCTTATCATCATCCCCCATCTATGTGACAAGGTTCGTTTATCTCCCTTGAACTTAGATTTTTTTTACTAGAAATTAATTTTTTTACTGTAACTTTTTTAGTTTTAAAGGTATCTACCTCAAACTTCAAATACTTATTCCTTATCATCAATAATTATTACGTTTCATGCGACAATGTTCATAACTCTTGAAGCAATATTTACAGATTTATCTGAGACTCTTTGAACTTAGGATTTTCTTTAAGAAATATTATAACTTCTTTACTTTTTAAGGTATCTACCTCAAACTTAAAATATATATTTCTTATCATTACACACATGTTGTATGACAAGGTTCATAACTCTAGCATGACTAATTTTTAGAATTATTCCCCTTGATCTAGGAATTTATGTTAACAATGTAATTTTTTTACATAATTATACATAATTGATTTTTTTTTTTTTCAAAGTTTTGTCTTCCGTACTGCATCCAGTATTTTATTAGTCGAGCTTCGCTGTCTCCTGTGACAGCTCTTGTTATGGTATGTATCATTTCAGGTTAATGTGACAGTGTAATTAGCTTTACATAGTACTGGATATATGCCTTAATATTTCTTTTTTCTCTTTCAGAGAAAGTAAGACAAATACAAGAAAAGCTAGAAGAATTTATTGAAGCTCTGAACAGAGAAAAGTAACAAGATGTTCTAGGATGATTATAGACAAAAATCGACAGACCTGAGACCTTCATTTCAGGTGTATATTTGAAATATCTCACCTGTGTGACCGTGAACTATCATGATATTAACCTGCATCATTTCCAAGCTGTGTGTAACTATTGTTAATCACAAAAGAGATGAAACTTCCGTCAACCAATTAGATTCAGAACATTTGTATTTGTTTAGTAATTTTTTTTTTTTTTTTAGAACACTCTGAATGTAATGTGTGACAGTGACTGTACTTGTAGTCAGGACTGTCTACAATTTTATGTGGACAGACGGGATGCCATAATACTGATGTTGTTTTTTTTGGCATTTGAGTATCAGAGTCTTTTAAAAAGCATGACAGTGGAAAAATGCCAAGGTCAAGTAATGACAATTCATATTTCAATATTGAAATCCCTCAAAATTAAAGTGGTAAGCCCCAGTTTCAAAGTGTTTAAAGGGTCCTTTTAAAAAAATTTAGGGGGGAAAAGGGTTTAAAAGAATTTTTTTAAAGAAAACGCTATAAAGGGGAAAAGAAAATTAAATAAAAGTTTTAAATGTCTGAATTTTTTTAAATGTTTCATTTTTTGGGGGGGGGGCCCCGGTTTTGTTTAAAGAAATCAAAATTTTCTTGATATAACACGTGTTGTACGTTTCTTATTTTTTGTTTTTTGTCTTTCTGCAAGATTAATTGTCAGGGAAGGGGAATTTGAAAATTTCATTTATTCTCTATGCTATTATTGTTGTATACCGCCCCTGTTTTTTGTTAAAAGGGTCAAAAAAAATTATTTTATATTTCAAAAATTTTTTTTTCCGTTTTATTTGTCCTAAGGGGTGGGGGCTGTAAGAAAAAGGACATTCACGTTTTTTTAAATGTTAAAAGGGTTGTTTTTGTAAGGCTAAAAACAGATCAAATTGAATTTTTTACCCCCTTTTTAAAAAAGGGGACGTTTAAAGGGGAAACGCCCGGGGGGCGGCGCCCAATTTTGTCGGCTTTCTTTTCATGTATGGAGGGTTTTATAAAATTAAATTTCACCACTATGAGGACCCAGGTCGCGACATAAACCAGGTCTTTGGGTCAAAGGCAAGGTCACTTTTTGAGTCATTGAAATGTTGCCCGGAAAGAAAAATTTCCCACTGAAAGGGGTTTTAAATTTTTTCTTTTTGGGGGGTGTTTCCCTTTTGGACGGGGGCTTTGAAAATTAGGCCCTTTCCCGGCCCAAGGTAAGGTCAAATGGGGGTAAAAGTTCAGAAAAAATATAAAGGTGTTTTTTGGACATTTAGTTAATTTTATTGAGGGTTGAAAAAAATGGTCTTTCGGGATTTGGGCGTGTAATAAAATTTGGGGAATATATCAAGGCCCAAGTCATAAAGATGTAAAATTCCGATTTTGAAAATAAAATTTTAATAAAAGGGGGAAACAAAAAAGTTTTTTTTGTTCATAATGTTTAAAAAAATTTTTCCCCTTGATCTCTTTCATTTTAAAATTCTAAAAAAAATTTAAATAAAAGGGCTGAAAAAACCCCCGCTTTCTTGGATTGGTATGTTCTAAAAAATGTACATTTTTTTAAAACATGTTTTTATTGGTCAAGATTTAAACCTGTGCATGGGGTTTGTAGATTGGTTTTTTGGTTCAAAAAGTTTCTCGAAATTAAAACCTTAATAAATGTTATTTTCCCAATAAAAATTTAAATTATATTTTTTTTTTCAAGTAAATTCTTTTCGGGGTCATTCAAAGATTAAAAAATTGAAATAAAATGTATTTCCTGAAAAAAATTCAAAAATCAAAATTTTTTTTTTTAAAATTCCCAATTTAATGATTTTTTAACCCCCTTTTAAAAAATAAAAAATTAAAAAGTGGGGTATGGGAAACGTTTAAATATCATTTTTGGGGTTTGTAAAAAAATGGTCTTAAAATTGCTAGGCTGTGACCATGTATTTTAGTCTTTTTTGAAGGTCAAGGTCACAAAAGATGGGGGGAAATACCCAGTTTTGTCTGGGGACATTCTCCTAATGAAAGGGGAAAAATTTTTATAAATTTTAAAATGTTCCCCCCTGTTGTTTTGCTCGGGCATGATCCGGTAAAAGGCCCAGGTCAATTGAGCTATTAAAAAACGTTTTTTGGAAAAAATTCTACATTTGGGGGTTTTAAATTTAAAAATTGGCAATGTTCCCATTTTTGGGTGGTGTAAAAATTGAAAATTCAACCCTGCAAAAAAAGTAAAGGTTACAATGGGTAAATTTTAGAAAAAAATTTAAAGGGGGTTTAGGGAATTTAGTTCTTTTTTGGGTGGTTGTGCACAATGGTACTTCATGACTAGGGTGTGGCCCCCATTTAATTTGGGTTAAATTTTTTGAAAAAAAAAAAAAAAAAAAAAAAAAAAGGCCCCAGGTCACTGGAGTGTTTAAAATATCAGATTTGCCCGGAGCTTTTTTTTTCGATGGGGGAAATTTTATGTTTATTTTATAGTTGTTCCCCATGAGCGTGGGCCGGGAAAAAACCCAAGTTCTGGGTCAAAGGTAAAGGCCCAAGTTAGAGTCTTTAAAAAACATTTGGGTGGAAAAAAACTTACTTTGCTAGGGGTTTTCAATATAATTTGGCAAAAAGTTATTTGTAAAGGCTAAAGTCCCGTGCATAAAATTCAGGTCCCGGGCCCAAAGGAAAAAGGACCCACCCTTGTGCTTCTTCCTTCTGTTTTTTTTGGTTCATTTAAAAACACGTCCCAAAAATCTTGCTTGTAGAAAACCTTTCCTTGAAAAATCCCCCTTAAAACCCTTTCGAAAAGGGGCCCCGTTTTTTGGCTATGGCCCCTTTTTTTAAAATTTTTGTTTTTTATAAAATTAAAAATAAGTGTATTTTTGGGTTGATGAAATTTTTTTTAAATAGTCAAAAAAAACCCCTTTTTTCCTGTTTCAGTCCCTATAAAAAATTTTTTTTTTTTCTTCCCAATTTTTAAAAAAAATTTTTTCTTTTTTTAAAGGATAATTTTTTAAATTGAGGGAATGAATTTGGTTTTTTTTGATCCCCAGAAGTATATTTTTTTTTCAAAATTTTTTCAGGGTTTTGAAATTATTTGTAAATTTTAAAAAAATTTTTTAAAGGTTTTTTGTTTTTAATTTCAAGGGAAAAAAAGGGAAAAAATTTGGTTTAAAAAATTATTTTCCCTTTTTTCGTTTGGAAAAGTTTTTTTTTTCAATTTGGGGCCCAACTTTAAAAGGATAAAAAATAAATTTTTTAAAAAATGTTTTTTAAATTTTTGTTTTTTTTTCCCAATGAACTTTTTATAAAAAGGGAATTTCTGAGAAAAATATTTTTTTTTTATTGAATTGAATAAATTTCCCACTAAAAATAATATTATGTTTGTTATTATATTTTTATTAAAAATCCCTTTGGATAAAAGGGAAATTTTTTTTTCTGGTAAAAATTTTTTAATTTTTGGTTTTTTTTCAATGAAATTAAATGTAAAATTTAAATTCGTTTTACCTGAAATAAAATTTTTTTCTGATTCAAAAATTTTATTTATTATTTTTTTTACATTTTTTTTTCTTTCCCTTTTAATGTATTCCCCAATATTGGATTTGGTTAAAAAGTCATGAAGCAAATTTTTTTAATTTAAAAAAGTGGTTAAATTAGTAGGTGTTATATTAAAATTACATTTTAAAATATATTGTCGGTTGATGTATTATGATTTTAGTGGGGTTTGGGAAACCTAAGTCCTTTACTTTAAAAACCCATTTTTAAGTTTATATTTTTTGAAATTTTACAAAGAAAAAAATAATAAAATTTGCTTTTAAAACCCCTTTGAAAATGATTTTTTTTTTAAATTAACAAAAAACCTGATTGAATTTTTGTTGTTTTATTTTTTTCCACATTTTTTAAACTTAATGTTTTTTTTAACTTGACAGTCTTTTTTTTATTTTATCTATGTCAAAAATCCCTGTTTTTTAAAATGTTTTTTTTGAAAAAAAAACCGCTTTATGTAGTATTATATAAAAACTTTGGGAGGGGTTTTTTGGGTTTCTGTTTTAAACATTGTTTCCCAAACATGTTGCAATTTTAAAATTTTATTATTTTAAACTTTTTGTTTTATTCACAAAAAGGTGTGACGAAATTTTTTAATGATGTTTATTTTTTTATCTGAAAAATTTTTGTTTCTTTAAAAAATACTGTTTTGAATTTTTTGGGGAAAAGGGAAATTTATTTTTGATTTTTTTAAATTTACTTTTTTTAATTTTTTAAAAGGGGTTTGGTTTTAAAAAAGGGAATATTTGGTTTTTTGGGGCTTTTTTAAAAAAGTTTTAAAATTTGTAACTGCTATTTTTTTCGTGTGTGGGCTTTAAAGGATGCAGTTGTTTTTTAATATTTTCCTTTTAAAAAAAAAAAAAAATCCAAAAAAAAGTTTTTTAAAGGGGAATTTTTGATAATTATAAAACTTTTTAAATTATTTGCTGTTTTTGGGTTTAAACCCTTAAAGAAATTACAAGGGGCCCTGTTGACTGTTTTTAATTTTTTGTGGGGCCAGTGTTGGGTGAGTCCCCTCCTATTAGATTTTTGGTTATTTTTCCCTACCTTTTTCAAAAAGTTGAATCCCATTAAGCTTTCTGAACTCTTTTTCCGGTTTTTGACGTCATTATCCGAATCAGAAAAATAAATTTTTTTACTGGTTTGTTTCGAAAATTAGGGTTTGTTTTTCCTGAAAAATTTTAAAACTACCAAAAAAATGGCCATGAAACGCGAAATTTTGGAACTTTTGTTTGGGGGGTTTCCCCCTTATATTGTGAAAAAAAGATCAAATTAAAGAAAACCCATCAAAAAAAACAAAAAAAAAGGGTTCTTTATGTTGGCTCGAAAAAAGGTTTTTTTTTACAAAAATTTTGGGGCCAAAAGAAAAAACCCGACCCCCCAGTTAAAACATGTACCCGATTTATTGCGGGAAAATTTTTTTTGGCCTTATATTGTGAAAATAAGACCTTAAACTAATAAAAAACGAATTCGAAAACGTTCTGTCAAGGGGTTTTTTAAAACGGTTTTTATTTATATGCTTTCAAAAAAATTTGTATCCTTTTTAAAAAAAGGGGAAAAAACGTCGGTTCGAAGAATGCCCTGGCCAAAATAAAAACCCTGGTATTTTGGG